CTATTTATACAATACTAGCAGCCCGTCCCGGCTTCGCACAGGGTAGACAATTATTTATTTTGCGACTGCCGAGTCGCACTTGGGACCACTCGGTCAACGAGGCAGCATATTTTTAATGCTAATTCTATAAATCACCTTTCTGCAGACCTTCTCCGCACACTTCGAATGCACCATATTTTAGACATAACGACAATATTAAATAAAACGTAATGCAAAACTATCTCCACATTTAAAACGTACCACAACGGTCGTAACCTCATTATTTAGCGGTCAGCATTGTCGGCTAAATAAAGGTAATGAGCTATGGACACAGTTCATCAATACGGCCGGCCGGAATTACGGGACGCGGCCCAAATACCGGACAATTAGGACCATGTGGCTATCTGTTAGTTTTTCAGCGAGTTCGTTTATTTTATTGTGTGTTTCTGAAGTGGGGGAAATTTTGTGAAGTAGTTAGTAGCTGTGGTGGCCCGGAGGTTGAAGACACCTGCTTCTCATGCACGAGGGTGCAGGTTCGAAACTTACCAACGGCAAGTACCAATGTGACTTTTTCCGAGTTAAATGTACTTTCTAAGATTATTTAGACACCACTGACCAACGGTGAAGGAAAACATCGTGAGGAAACCTGGGCTTATAATTTCTAATTATAAGTTTGAAATCGCCAACCCGCATTGAGCAAGCGTGGTGATTATTGCTCTAACCTTCTCCATGTGAGAAGAGGCTTTGCTCAGCAGTGGGCATTTATAAGCTGTTGATGATGATGAGTTAGTAGCTATAGGTAATAAGTGGGTCAGGAAACTCGAGGAATAGGATGGTTTTTAGTCAGTAAGAGTCTGACATTCTCACTCGTTTCACCCGGCCAGGGCGGGAGAAGTTATGATCGATGATTTCAACCTGATTATTAACCATTTGTAACAGTCTTCCTATTTTTTTTAAACGTTGCCCCACACTAGGATTTTCTCCTGTGTCGTGGGTGCGTTTACAAACATACAAGTTCTCATACACAATATGACATCCAGACCTGGAACAACAGTCTTTGGATCACATCAAGTGTTGTTCCGTGTGGGGATCGAACCCGCGACACGTTACGCGGCAGCCAGTTGCCCAGCCACCGCGCTAAACGTGCAGTCTTACTTGTACTATTTTTTAAGGTGGGAAAATCATCGAATGACTGCTCCCGCCTGGGTGAGGCGGGAGGGAGTGTCAGACTCTTACTGACTAAAAACCACCCCGTTCCTTCTCCTGCACGTCGAGCCGGAGCCCCGGTAACCCGATAGGTTATCCGTGACAGTCTTACTTGTACTTGACACGTATATCTTACGTAATACTATTGTAAGGTATTATAATTATACGTAAGTATACACCAATCAATTTGTTATCAACTTAAAAATATCATTCCATAAGATTTCACATTATTTTTGCAAATCATGCAAACTTTACAGTCATTCAATGATCATTAATTATCAGATGATCTCCCATTCTTAGGAGTCCGCACTCAAAAAGTGAACTGCTTACCTAGCGACTATGAATATTTAATGCTATTTAGACACGGCCCTATTCGTTTAGTCAAATTCAATACTTTTTTCGAACTGTCAAAAACGACAGTTTTCTATGGATTTCGTACGAGATTGTGAATTGTGACGTCACATTTTTTTAGTGTCAAACAACATACTCGTTTCTTAAAAATTAGCGGGAAAAATACCAAATTGAATTGGTCATAAAATCAATGAATTTTGTTTTTTAGTATTTTATTGTATTGAATAGTCGATTTTTTTTATTTTTGATCAGGGAAAGTACCCAATTGTAGACCTTACCAGCATTTATGTTCCGTTTAAGATTTAAACGGATTTGCGCCAATGTATAAAGTTATCTATTTAAACTTTAAATACGGATAATACTTTATCATTCGGAAAATTACGGGAGAGATGTAGAAAATTAAAAATACATAAAAGTAAATTCTGCGGTAAATACGTAGAAGAAGATAGAACAACGTTATCTGTTAACATCTGGTTCTGCAGTTGAGCTCTATAAATCAATGATCAATTTCTTGAAACTACCTTTGGCACTAGTATTTGTGGGATTTTTCTTCAGTACGGAACCTTTTAAACTTTTGATATAAGTACTCTTGACCATCCAATCGCGTCAACGAACAGTTTTCTATTATTGTATTTGTCTTAACTCTTACCCAACAGTAGGTAACAGTGGGTAACAGTCGTGTCATTCAGTGAAAGTGTACGGTTCAAATCAAATATTACCTTTTTACATAGTATTATGTGGGTACTATCAACTATGACATAGACTGGGTTATGTAAAGAGTTCAATTGTAAATGTAACGACTTGATGTTTGATCGATTGATCTTATCGTCTTTGTTACTTGTCATTTTTACGTGATTTGATCAAGGATGGACAACGAGTCGATCGTGATTAAGTATAGAAAGATTCTTGTTATATAAAAGTTCATTTTTTACTGCTGATATAGCGTTCAGATTCAGACCAAGGGTCAAACTAAGACATTTTTTTAAGGAGGGAAAATCATCGAATGATGTCTCCCGCCTGGGTTAGGCGGGTGGGAATGTCAGACTCTTACTGACTAAAAACAACCCCGTTCATACTCTTGCACTTCGAGCCGGAGCCCCGGTAACCCGTTAAGTTCTCCGCGGCTCCGTATCGGTATCAGCCCTCCTAATGGGCCCTATCTGTGGTGGTCTGATGGCTCTTTGAGGCGCGCGTGAAACGCGACGCGCCGTACGCCCCAAGTACCTTAAAAAGTAGATGATTATTTACGATTAATTAGGATGCCAAATAATAGGACTGTGATCAGTGATCATGTGGTTGGTGGTGGCAAGGCACATACCCCCGAATACTGAAGGCTACTCAAATTTAAGTTTTACTTAAATATCGTGCTATCTCTGTCATTCTATAAAGAATTTGTAGTGATAGAACGCGCGTCTCGAAATTGAGTGATGTTTGAGTAGGTAATTGGACAATGCAGAAAGAAAGAAAGAAAGAACAAATGACAATGACCAAATTTGTATGGAGCGTGGTGCCTTTTCATTTTTTCGCGGCAGTTGATCGGATGTGGAAAAACTGATGCAGAATAACATTACAAACAAAAAAATATATGGGGTCTTATACCAAAAATTCAGTCCGAACCGACTTAAATCAGTTCAAAGATGTGAAAATAGTGCTATACTATTCCTCTTATTTTGTTGATGGTGACCGTATACAACGCATATTTCTTTAATTACACTTGTCAAAAATATTTTGTAATAAATGTTTATAAATGATTTCAAGGAATACAATAAAGCTTATTGTGGACTTTTTTACTTACTTTTTTTTTGTTTTCATTTTTTTTGTTTTAATTTTTTTTTTGTTTTATAAGGCCTCGGAATCAGAACAAAGTGAATCATTAACTGGCCACTGCTGAAGTAAAAAAAAAAACATTTCGCTTGATTGGCTAGTGTGTTCACGTTATATGTTATGGTTTATGGCCTATGACAGATTTTAATGATCAATATCCTCTCAGTCGATAACCCGCAAAATACTTTACTGAGCCCTATCATGAAATGCTATGTTTATCAGCTGCGGCGTCGGTAGCGGATTGAGTAGCGGCAGTCGTCAAAACAAGAAAAAATCATTTTTCTGTCTACTTCTCCCGTCTTAATTCCGATTAGGAACTACTCTAACTACAGTTAATACTTTAATCTACAGCTAGCATAAGATTCTGTACAAAGATATCATCATTCAGTCACAAAGTGGTGGATAATATTTCGACTGATCGCATTATATGGAAAAATTATGCGCTCGTCTGACGTATAGTCCATCACTTTACAAAGTCGACGGTTTCCTTTCTTCAAAAGATTATGCTAACTATAAAGTAGATGAGTCTATCACCAGGAGTCAACAGCAAAAAAATAATACTTTATTAGATGTTTGAACGGCTACCACTACTCAACCCACCACTGATACCATAGCTGACACTCATGAAGCTTCATGACACAACTCCTAGAAGTATCCCACAAGTTATCGACTGAGAGAAAATAGCTAATAAAAATTAGTGCCTGGCAATATGGATATATTGTGGTGTGAATCTACACTTTGGAACGAGCAAATAGCTTCACTAGAGGACTGACCTACAGACTGACATTTTTTCTTATTTTTTCTTATTATTTAATATTTAAATATTTTGTTTTGACGTTCAAAAGTGCCTTACTGGTCTAATTGAAATAAATGATTTTGACTTTGACTTGACTTTGATATGGTTATCCTGTGCCCGGCGTATAGTGGCGCGCAATTTGAAGTTAGGAATGGTGACAAAAATATGAATAATTTGAATAAAAAAACCAAAGTAAAATATTTAACTCCAGCTCCTTTCAACGCTCATAACTCAGTCCAGACTGAGATTTCCATATATGAGCCCATAGACAATTTCGTTTCGTTCGCCCATAGGCACCAATTTTAGTCAATGCCCTTTATTTCACACGCTAAAACAAGTGACACGTACATATTTTCCACATAAGTTTATAAATATCTACTAATGTCCCAAGTCTGCGGTGAAATGGGACTAGTTCAGCATGTGCAAGACAGGGCCTCGCGCTGGTATTCTACTGCCCCTTAAGTGACTCGAACGACGACGACGAACAAGCCATCAATCAGATAACATTCAGCATTTAGTAATAAAGATATTAATTTAAATTTGTATTTGAAAATGCACAAAACAAAATAAATAATCATAAAAAAGCAACCAAAAAACGTGTAGTTACATACAGCCTATCAATATCAATAAAAACATATAAGATATACAGTGTCTATTTCATTGCAAGATGGAACTAACTCAAGTTCTTCTTTATACCAAACTTAAATTGCTAACATAGTTCTCCTTTGTTCCAGATCAAACTGTCAGTCCAGTAGTACCGGCGGCGAGTGCAGCTTGGGCGGTCGAATGATGAGCGGCGCCGGCTGCCGTAGCACCCCGCGCCCCTGCCGGCAGCCCCGCCGAGATGGCCGCACTCTCCTGCTACCAGCCCTGCAGGTCGCATCTCGCGCAGCCTGCTAGGTACATACCCTTACTTTACAATTTCCTTTGCAAATGCTGCTAGGCTGCAAGCATTCTCTAAATTCTTCACAATTTCTTTAAGTACTATATCCTAATGCACCAGCGTATTCAAACACCAGCATCAAAATATTTTAATGCCACCTTCTACCGACATCTAGCCGAAAAAAATCCAGATTAAAGCAATTATTTCGCCAGCCAAGTGAAGTTAGCTATTGTAGCTATTGTAATCATATCATGTTTCGCCAACAAAATGTGTCAAATCTGTGTCAAATGGTTGCATTACTTAAATCTTATTTACTGCCTCTACAAACGTAATGCTATGCAAATTCTACTAAGGATAAATAAGATTTACTGTACCTAAGAAATTCCTTAGTAGAATTTGCGTTCTTAAGTAAGAATGATGATATTATGGTGGCATTAAAAAAATAAAGATTCATTGTGAATTTCATTAAAAATAACTGAGTAATCTGATCCAAACTTGAGCTAATTAAATAACTAACACAATAAACTCCAAATTCCAGGTGTCTAGACGACGAAGAAGATTGTCAGCAAGTGAACTTCTCGCTGCGGAGACAGCAGTTTATCGAGAGATGTCACGAGGCGCGAGGTCAGCGCCCCCGTGACTCCATCCCGGAGGTCTCCGTCAAGAGGACCAGGGAGGAGCTGGCAAAGCATGCCTCGCAAGCCACACCGCTAAACCGCCGGCTCAACGTGGAAGCCGGCTGGTCCAAGGTCGAGGAAGTGAGGAAGAAGTTCGAAGGAGCTGCTAATTGCCCCTCGTTTTCGAGGTCTTTTGAGTCGCCGCCCAGGTGAGCAATTCAAGTGTTTGAGTCATTTGACTGGATAGTCCTAACGTTAAACGTAATCGTTATATTCCTACACCTTTCATCTACCAGGCACCGTCAGTTCAAAAACCACTCTAAACCCATCCATAATAAAGTTTATTCTACTCTACCAGGCGTCGTCTCGCAGACTCGTTGTTCGCGAGTTTCAAACTCCCGCGCAAGTCGAGGGAAGGCATGGCGGCCCCCAGGTCCCTGGCGCCGCCGCAGCAGCAGAAGAGGAAGTCCGCTGTCGAACTGCTGGCAGAGACTAAAGCCTTCTACGTCAAGTCCGAGACTGTGCTCGATAGGAAACAGGAACTACCGTTGAGGGTGAGTCGAAGTTGGAAGGCAATGTTAAAGTCAAAGTAAAGTCTAAGTCATCGTCTATTTCAATTATAGATCAATAATAATAAGGCACCTGTGGCGACGCATGTCACAAAATCAACGGATGACGTCACAAAAATCCTACATCGCATATGCAAGTTTACAAGCGAATAAACACGGATAGAAAATCCCAACGAACAACTGTTGGGCAGAAAGCCCGCCAGGCACGATCACCTCGCCTGGTCGGAGGATCCTCCTTTGCCGATCTTAGGGAACTTCCCACTCTGTTCCCTTTAAAAATCCGGCAACACGCTTAACACGTCTATGGTGTTGCACGTATTCATGGCCGTCAATGATTGCTTACCATCAGGGGCATCAGGCGACACGTCGTACGTCTGCTCGTTGGCCCCTAACAAGAATAATGATTTCTTAAAATATTTTCCTTAAGAGTTTTGGAAGTCTACTTTGATAATCGTGTGCTGAAAGTATATTATGCTCATCATTAAGTGATTAGCTCAATTATTTTGAAAAATCCACTAAACCTCTATTAACCTTGTTTTCAGATGAGCAGCGGTCTGGGCCAGGCGATCGCAGCCGGTGGCTGTCACCTGGTCAGCTCCGGCACTCTCAACCAAGATGCTTGCTGTAATCCTTGTAAGTCTATAATTAGTAAATTAGCTACAAACCTTACGATACGAAGATACCGAGCTTCTTTCTAAATGCATGTCACCACGTATTGGCTACGAATCATTGTTACGACTTCTGACCACAAAAGATAAGATCTTTGTGTTATATATCAGGAGGATCTAAGTACTACAATTTATAAAAAATATATAACTCAGAGGAATTATCAATTTACAGATAAATCTGCAAAATTTGCAAAAACAGACAGATAATGATACTAACTAAACAAAATATCTCCTTGCAGACGCCACGACCCGCAGTACAGGCGCGAGGCGAGCAGTGAGCGCGGGCGAGGGCCTGCAGAGCACGCTGCGTCGCCTGCTCGACCATGCAGACAGCCGGGAGAACGTCTACTCACCACCCTTCGCTGTTTGTAAGTACCAACGATCACATTGGAATAGCGAATAATCGAGGACACCTCATCATCATCATGATAGCAGAGGTGCACATTACGGCACTTAATGTCACTGTACAATGTAACACCCACTTCACACTATTTATGTTGTGAGGTCCATGTAATAGACGAGGGTGAACCAGCCAACAACGAATATAAAGCAATTATGTCATTCAAGTATTTAACCTTTATCTAACTTTGTTCCATACTCTCATTTAACTTAAATCTCCTATAACATCACCAATCTCCTCTTCCCAGGTACACTGTCAGCGCACAAAGTATATGCTGACACGAGACGGCTAAAAGACTCTTACCCAGAACGGGAGACCATGCCTCGGTCACAGCACAACTCTGGAACCTTCTCCGGAACATTCTCGGGCACCTCCTCATCTGGAACTTCAGGGTCTAAGGCTCAGAAGTCAGACCCTGACCATAGAGAGAAGATGAACAGGCCCCTGAGTTTTGGAGACGCAAGGGTCTTCTTCCCGGAGTCATTTGTAATACCACGGCAGAGGGCCAGCGAAGTCGTGATCAAGGGTGGATACTCTATGCGTAAGTTTTAAAGGTTATTTTAGCTTGCTTCCTGCTGTTATAGTCTTCTAATCATCAACCTGTCTATTATCCTGCTAGAAAATCTTTATATCGTTAATCCTTAATGTTTTTTAGTATTACTGAAGTAACCTGGTCCTTATTTCTATGTCCCCAGCGAGTTCCCACTCAAGTCCAGAGAACATGGAGCTACCTGAACCAGTGGTGAGTGGGTCTGGGTCACCAGCGGACCCCATCCCCACCATCAGTCCGCCGGCGCAGTATGCACACTCCGCACCTCGGTATATCAGGTATCAAGAGTAAATATCAATGTGTATAGACTTTTATATAAGTAATTTGCAGTAATTAGTTGGCTCAATAATCAACAATTGATTATTGTCCTTGTACGGATCAATTCTTAGAATGTTCATCGACACAGAAATAAGTAACTACTGTTCGAAATAAAGATCAAAGCTAAAACAATAAATTTGAGTTTCATGCAGTTCGGATTAGCTTAACTTCAAAACAACAAAACTACTGAATAAATTATTATGTTTTCGGCTTACTCACGTAATAATTTGACGAGGAACTCGACTAGTTTCAAGCCATGTTAAAGGCTCATATTCATAAGCAGCATTTCACGACCCGCGACGCGGCGACTGTCGCGCTGCTACTGTGTACGTGAGACGTGAGTAAGCCGAAAACATAATAATTTATTTAGTATGTCTCACGAAAGTTACAATAGAAATATAAAACTACTGAATATTTGTCCTCCACAAAGTTATAAGAAACTAGCGGACCCGACAGACGTTGTCCTGCATATCCACTTAAATGTATAAACAAAAAATCATTCAAATTAGTTCAGCCGTTTAGGATAACTAACTTAGACATCGACTGCAGCGCCATCTGCCGGGCTGATTTGTGAATCTAAACCTTGCAGGGCACCACTCAAACGCGTACGGATAAATTCATTTAAATCGGCCAAGCCGTTTAGTTCAATGACATACACACGTACAGCAGAATTATACATATGAAGATGAAGCTGGACTTATTTAAAACTTATCATTTGTACCTCCTTAGATCGAACTCCCACTCCCAGCCAAGTATGCGCGAGGACGACAGTGGCTGCCCCAACATCAACAGTCACAAGTCGCTGCCAGACTTGCACTCGCAGACCAGGTGCTACCCGGAACAGTAAGTAGACTAACGTCAATATCACATACTCTGGGAGTGTGATCTCTGGCAATATGAACGTATAACTCGGTTCATTAAAGAAAGGAATCTAAAATGGCGGTGTTTATCATGTTTTCTCGCTTGCACACTAGTGCTGTCTACACTCACTCTCGCGCGTACCGTAGACATACAAATAATCCCGGTGAAGGACCGTCTCATAGATAGTAGTATTAATAAATGAGTTAAAAGTAATATTCGTTCTTTATTTATACCACCAAAATCATAATAAAGATCCTCAAAAGTGTTTTTCAAATCTTCAACAGGTTAGAAATAAATACGGCCCGATCATGTTTTTATTATTTGTATTTTGAAAAAGAACGAATTTCCGTGCGTTTAGGCGCTTTTGCCATACCTATTATTGGAAGCAAGTATAACAGCTCACACATAGGACCCACTTAGTTTTTAGTCAAATTTCTGTGGTGCTTGGCGACTGGGCTTCACCCAGTTGTACAGTGTCTTCTTTGTGCCTTTAGGCTTAATTCATTCTGTCTCCTGCAGTAATTCACCGAGGGAAGTGGAAACTATAGTTTTTTCTTCTTCTCTTATAATATCTTCTGATTCACTTCGTTGCGGGAACCAAGACAGTTACTCATGTCCCTGGGACGCGCCGGACTTCAGTGTTCCGGTGTTTTTATGGTTGTATCTACTGTAGATCCTGGCTTACAGGAGTTGAAGCGGTTTTGGGAGGTTGTGGCGGGCTTGTGCCACAAGAAAAAAGACAAACGTTAATATGATTGCTATGATAATAATAGTCCAGGTGGCGTATTATGACGTCTTAAAGCCAGAGTGATTCCGTTGAGGGAACGAGATCGCGCTAGACGACTTGTATAGCTCTGTTTCTTTCCCTCAATGGAACTATTCTGACTTCGGGACGTCAATAATAACCGCTGGTGCCCCAAGTAGGGGGAGATGAGGGTAACTTTATAACACTTATGCCAGAATACTGAACCGTTACTCAATTTTAAGTCGTGCTCAAATATCGTGCCATCTCTGTCATTTTACAAAGAATTTGTAGAGATAGAACTATACTTAAGCACGACTTAAAATTGAGTAGCGTTTCAGTATTCCGTCATTTTTTTATGAGTATGTTATTGTTCTATTCAGTATACCTTAAAACTTTTGGCGTTTGGAGACCTTTTGGGGTCTTTTGTCAAAAACCAGGCTTAATTTAGAGTATAATATAATCCTCTGAAGTCCTAAGGCCTAGAGATATCCTCAAGTATAGTTCAGTCATTATGGTTTTGAACCCGAAATCTTAAATGGGTGATTTATGCCTACCCTGAGAACTTAGTACGAGTTTGTTTTACGCTTTTCGAAACGAGTACCTATGCGTTCGGCGCTCTGATTGACCGGCTTCAATGAACCAACCAATCAGAGCGCCGAACGCCTAAGGCCTCAGATAAGTGGACAAACGACTACATTTTCAGCCACTGGAGAAACTAATAACAATCAAACCACTGAAACAATAAAGAATTAACATGCACATCAAGTAACACATGTCTCCCCCTTCCAGCGCCAACGTAGGCCACACAGACACCATCGGCCGGTCCCCGCGGCGCCGGCGCCACTCCACGCACCAGCGCACCGCGTCCTGCTCCTCCAAGGGCACGCGCTCCAACCACTCCTCACTCATGTCCTCCTGCGAGGCCTTCTCAGAACACCCCTCGCCTGGAGAGGAGAACTACCAGTCTTATAATAGGTGAGTTTCTTTATTGTTAGCCTGTGTACCTTCAAGGCTTGAGTGAATAGGTTGTCTTTACTGTGTCGTCCACTTGAAATAGGATAATGTGATCTCCATACTTTCACGCGTACTTACATAATTACGCGTCACTTGATGGTAAGCAATCAGTTCCACCTATATACACCCGCAACACCAGGGGAGTTACAAGTGTGTTACGGATCTTTTGGAGGAAATGGGATTGAGCCTTCCCAGTAATCTGGTTGCAAACAACGCAAGCGTTATTTCACGTTGTTTTCCTTTGAGGCCATGGTGTTACTCCAGTTGAGCCAAGAACCTCTTTTAACATACTTTATCATCGAAATTGTTTACCCTACAATACTTGAATAGTAACATCATCATCATCGCCTCCCCCAGTCGGTGCGGCTCGTCGTTCGCCCGCGACTCGGGCGGGTCGAGCGGGCACTACACGCAGCGCAGCGCCCCGCACGCGGCGCCCGCGCGACACTCGCACCGCCGGACTGACTCCGGCTCCTCCACGCAACACGAACATGAACACGCCAGGTAAGGACTTTTACTCTTGGAGGTGGAAAATGACATCTCATTAGGTACAGCTTATTTTCTACGAAGGATTAAGTACAAGTGCGCATTTTGTAAATGTTACACCCTCTTTTCACCAATTATGTTATCGGTATCATGTCCAATAGACCAGACTCCGTGCTACTATAATAATTTCCTAAATTGAAAAACCTCGTAGCACTTTGCCTGACCCGGAAATCGTACGATAATCGTACTTAGGGTCATTCGACCAACGAAGTTGATCAGGGGGCTTACTCTTGAATCCATTCCGATCGATCTACATTGGTATTGTGAAATACTAGCGCCTATTGCATCCGTATTGCGTTGACATTGAATGAACTAAATGGTATTGAGTTTGGCATTATATTCCGTACTCTGAATGCTAACGCTATGATAGGGGTTGTATAGTTTTGACATTGAATAATTATTGAGATTTTATTGGATTGAAATCGCATTGACCTTAAGATTGGTTTCAAGAGTAAGCACCCAGGTATGGTGGAATATGGAAAATCCACTCTTACCACGACACCCATGGAATGGCTGATGACAAATGTGTCCTTCTCTAGTGTGAACAAGTCACCATACTTAACTTCATTATTTTCTTCAGGGGCTACAACTCGTACGTGTCGGAGTACGGCGCGCCCCTGGAGTGCTACGTGTCCGCGCCCCCGCAGTTCCAGGACGGCGCCCCCGACCCGCCCGCGCCCCCCGCGCCCCCCGCGCCCCCGCCGCACCACGCACACCACCATCACTATACTCACGCGCCCAGAGTCGGGATACACTTCCAGGTAACATATTGACAAATTGTGTAAAATCTTTTATTTCTGAAGGGAACCGCTTCTGACTAATTGGCAAATGAATAAAAGAGTTTTTCAAAAATTCCATTAGTTGACTGATGAATAAAATCTAAGATATCCTCAAAAATCATACAATTTAGTGTAACAATTGCAGCTATTTTTTTATTTTTCTGCTCAAATCATCTGAGGTCTAACGCGTTCGGCGTTCTGATTGGTTGGTTTTTTGGCGCCGGCCGATCAGAGTGCCAAACGCGTACTAGTTACGAATACTTTAAACGTAAATCAAACTCGTACTAAGGCCTCTGTACGGAATTACAAATAAATGATTTAAAGCTCAATTGTAAGACTGCAATAAATAAATTAATTGCCTTCACTATAATCTTCTACATACCTAGATATCATTTATTTGTCAATTGTTCCAGGCGAGCGCTCCCCCGCCCCAGTTCCAGGACGAGCCTCCAATGTACGACTACGGAGACTACGAGTGCACCTACAAGACTCCGCTGAAGTGCCTCAACGTGGGACGCAAGGAGTACGCCAGAGAGTATACGAGGTAAGGGTCCAAGACACCAACGTTTTATATCATTAATTCATTAGTTTTTTGTAAGAGATTTGGGCAATGCTATGGCAATACAATAATATGATGGGGCCCGTGCCCAGGCCCTCCATCCCCAGGAGAGTTCGAAGACCGAGAATTTCTACGATAAACACACATGTAGCGGGTTCGATATCCGCACGGAGCAAGTCTTTGTGTAATCCACAAATTGTTGGTTCTGGTCTGAGTGTCATGTGTATGTGAACTTGTATGTTTATAAACACAACCACGATACAGGAGAAAATTCTAGTGTGTGGCAACGTTAAAAGAAAGAAACATTCCACAAGAGCCTCGACATATTATGTGCCCAAGGGCACCAGGGTGAGCTAAAACGACCATGGATTTGGGAAATCATTATCATCAGCCAGAAGGTGTCACCTGCTTAATATAGCAAATAGCAGGAAATGTTGTCATGATCTTCAAGTTTGATGCACTTATGGATCCTAGGTTGGGCACCGATTAGATGATCTTGCTATCTTTTGGAAGGTGATCGCTGTTTTAGGACAGTCTTCTTAGTTTAACACAAGCCAAATTGGAGATTATCGGCAGTTAGCACAATCTTGTGACCAGAATAATGGGTGTTTGTTATGCTCTTGTCTCTTAAAATTAATGTCCAATTTCCCCCTTTCACAGATACCACGAACCGAGTACGGAGTTAGTAAACAAACAGCCGCAGTACCAGGAACTGCGCATGCGGCCGCGACAGGATGACAACCAGGACTACGTCAATACCACACAGGTCAGTAACCCACTACACAACAAACGGTCTATTGTTTATTTTTTTATGGCATAAGCCGGTAAACGAGCAGACGGATCACCTGATGGTAGGCAATCGGCGTCGCCCATGGACACCTGGAACACCGAAATACGAAACACAACGCAAGCATTGCTTCACGTCGGATTTCTGTGAGGCCGTGGTATCACTCCGGTCGAGCCGGAGCATGGCTCTTCCACACTTATTAATCATTGTTACGTCAGTGGCAAAGAGCTCTAAAATAATAGTGAATCAATCTTTAGTTTGGCGTGATTCTAGTACTTACGCTTCTCCGTAAAGATTAAATAGTAATTGCTGCACATTCTGGACTTTTTCACGTTTTATGGAACTGCTGTTCATCCGTTTAGAATTTTTAGCTTTCAATATTTCAAATGACTTGCAAAAGTACACTAAACAAGTACTAAAATTGATTATTTCCTCTAGATATGTCCACCGGAAGAAGTAACGTCACCGCTGGGTACCTTTAAGCGACAGCGATGTTTGCGGTACAAGCAGAGACGACCCAGACCTATACTGCGCTCTAAATCTGATATCTCGGATAGGTACGTACCTAATACCTATATATACAAGTACATTCATATTTTAAAGGCGAGAAATGAACTTTATCGTCTATTTTCGGATGGAAACAGAACCGATTCTATCCCTTCACGTATAAAAGGCATGATCACAATATTACTCACTATTACTATACAAACCTGTGAAGTGTTGGAACGCAGATAACGCGAGATAATGCGTTTTCTATTGTGTCTCATATATTGACAGACAAGAGGTTAAATAACCACCAAAATTACAGGTACAGACGCTCAGACGGACGCAGCCCAGCGTCAGCTCCATGCGAAGGCGAGGACTCGCCGGACAGTCCATCAGAAGAGGCCTCGCGTCTCCAAGACTTCTTCGAGCGGCTGGGCCTGGAACCCCGCCAGTATGATGCACTCGTACGGGACGCTCCACCTGACAGTCCTGTGTTCTTCTCATCTGCTTCCACTGTAGACTCCAACCAGCTTGCTGCTACTGCTGACTATACGGTAAAAAATAATACTTTATGACTAAGAGACTCCTAATATCGATTCCCAAATCTAGAATAATTTAAATGGGAGTTTTGAAAACCGAAATGTTCAAAAATACGAAAATTGCAAAGAAAATTATCCTAAAAATAAACCCTTGAGGTTTGGAGATTTCGCAATAGAAGTTTTATGTAATGGGAGTTCTAGAATCAAAATTAAATCTGTTTCGAAAATATTTATTTACCCCTTCTTGTCTCCTTCCAGGTCCAAGGTCCAGGCGTTCAGAAACAAATCTACAGGAACACAGAACCCCCTAGCGTCGTAGAACGGAACGCTCGCATCATTAAATGGCTCTGTCAATGCCGGAAGACGCAAATGCCACCGCCGCAGTGAACCACTCTAGAGCTATAGACAAAACTGTCACAACTACCCCTTAGATAGGCACAGCTCTAAAGTTCGCGCCATAAAAGAAGATGCCCAAAAACCTAGGATCTAGCTAATAGTTTAGAGAATTTGGGTTTAATTTACAGCAGTACCGAAATACCACGTTCCAAACTTCATATATTGCCATACCAAAAAAGGCAAGTCAATAATAACGTAATATTTTAAAAAGGTTTCATAAAATAGACCCATTAAAATAATATTTCTGGGTGTTTTCAAATGATCTCAAAAATTTCTTTTTTCGTGGCGCGAACTTTAATCAATTTAATTCGATTTGAAGTGTGGTCTTCACTCGAAGATTATAAACACTCTGCTAAAGACGCTAATATTCATTAGAATACAAATTAATAAACGTAGAAATCTCGATATTGAAAATCGATTACCTACTGAATAAAAAATCGCTCAAATGACTGATTCGTAAAAATCGATTTAAGAATGACTATGAACTAAGTCAGTCGTAAGCTTCTACTGATACGGATGCGATTACATCATCGATAAGAATACTCGACTAAACTTAATAATCGATTAACGAAATGTTACTAAATCTAATGAGAGAACCAAATGTTGCTCATACGTCGATATAAAATGACGCTTAGGTAATTTCTAATTCCTAAAACTAAGACTAGATTTAGGCGTTTAATAAAAGTTAGATTTCGATATTTAAATAATTCTTCGTTTATAAATTATTGTCTTCACAATGATAATAAATAAATAAGGTTAAATCATGAGATCTGGTCCAGATAACACAAGCTTAGCTATCTATCACTCATCAAACAACGTTATTAATTTATCGTTTGACTGCCTTATTCCAAAAAACCGATTACAATTGAGCCTAATTAGCAGTTATAATACAAAAGTTAGAATTGCCATTGATCTTAAAGCGTTGTCCCTGCTAAAATGGGCCTAATAACTATAACCCCGACGTGCCAATAATCGAAAAGGTCTAGCTCAAACTGAAGCACTGTTTTGCAACAGGAATACCTAACTAATATCTATTAGGTAAGTCGTAAAATATCTAAACAACAAAGGCTGTGTGTATCTGGATGAGTGACACGGCGAGCGATCGCCGTCGACTGCTGGTATTATCTAAGCGATACTAGTTCATTAGTCTGTATGGTTGTTAATGTAAGCGTCGACATTATTCTAAACGTTTTAGTAACGATATTGCGATACCGAGTGTAGGCATGGCTGGAATTTTAATTCAAACTATATTGGCCTAAGAAACGAATTCAAATCAATAACCCCATTATTGATTTGAATTTCTGATTTCTGAACGTAGTTTTGAATGGTCACAATATAGTGATGTCACCACTGTTCTTCTTAGTCGATTAGTAAACGATATTAATTATCGACTAAATAAAAATGTCTAGCCACGCCCAATTCGGTTCCAACGTATAATAACGTACGGCAAAATATTATCTTATATATTTTTGGTCGTAAAATTGACTATATAGAGTTGAAAAAGTTTTTGATTGTAAATAGTAAAAACATATTTTTGTCTCGACACAATGTACAAGTCGCGAGCTTAGCCACGAGACGTGGAAAATGTTATTTTCGAAAAGGAAAACATAACTAAAATGATAGTTTGACTATCCTTCGGTTTCTATATTTATTTGTATTTATTAATACGTAAATTGTTTTGGGACAGTGTTCGTTGAACCCCGACTGCCTAATTGTACAATAAGGCATCTCAAGGCCTCAGAAATTGAGTTTGTTAATTTACCTAAGTAGATATTTCTAATTATATTACTTTTTATACTTCTTGGGCTTTCATATTTTTATTGACAATGTTAATCTACTCTTGTTTTTAAATTTAATAGATAATTTAAACTTTCCGAATTGAAAGTTTGTTGAAACAGTAAAAATCTATAAATAATTTACTTGGACATGATGGATAGTGTGAAAATCAGAATCGAAACCAAAATATTTGTAAAAAAAACATGTTCCTTATTATGGATTTGTCTGTATTTATATTATTTATTAATATTGTTATAGTTATATAAGACTTATCGTACCTACATCCGAGATTTGGGAGCACAAAATGATCGAAATAATATATTTTTGTGCCAAAAAATTAAGTAATATCTCTAAGTAACTATATTTAATTTAAATACTGCTTGTGTCGACTAAGTTCTGTTGTAAAAGTTAAATAAATAATTTCAAGATTTTGCAACATACAAATGGTAGGCTTTTTATCGACGTAAATCAATAAAAATTAAATCTTTACTTATGTATTACAATCCCAATGAAATTCAAATTTATCTGAAATTCAAATAATAGTGTAAAAATAATTGTTTTCCTTCCTTTCTTAGAAAATCTTTTAAGAATTTAAACAAGAAAATCGTGTGGACTAAAGACAATATTATATAATCGAAATAGTTTATGTTTTACGTCTTAAAGCATAATATTTAACTATAATTCCAATAACGCAACAATTAAAGTATTTAATCGTTCATAATAATATGTAAATAACCATTAGACTGGTCTAATCTCAATAGTTTAGTTAGAATAAGTAAATTACGTTCATTTTCATGATTTTTTTTATGAAATTTCGCTTTTGCGCAGTCAAAACAGACCTCTCTGAAGTGAGCCACTCTTCTGAGTGAGTGGGATGCAAGTATACGTAAATAATAATGCGTGAGAGAGACAAAACAATGCATTTGTAGCTTACTTCACTTCTTTGTTTGCTTGACTATGGTTTTGTTTTACAAAATTTTATTTTCTGTGATATTGGTGTCTAGAATTTGCGAGAAACCGTTGATGAGTGACAACAATTATGTTTGGATTGTAAATGGATTTTAGACAAAACAAAAAAATAAATATTGTGTTTATTATTTTGTATTTACTGGTGTATTTGAGCTCACCAAATGAAGACTCTGGCGGTTTAAGTCATGCCGTTGCTCTTTAAAAACTTTACCAATGTGATGTTAAATGTTATGAAACAATAAAGTATCTATCTATTACTATCTAAAATAATGATGAGTTCAAAAACATCAGTCCATAATTTGTTTCTCTTTAGATCTACTAATTTCCAATTAAATGAATTGACATCGCATTGTGATACTGTAATGAATTATACCATTAACAGTTTTCACTTCGTATTTATTTTTGTAATTGATTTTCTATTCGCCTAGTCGATTTCTGATTGTTAGGCGATTCCTAATCGATTTTAATTTAAACTATCATTAAATTTTTCAGTACATTATAATTATTTAATCATTTTTACATGTTGTGCGAAATAATTAAGATCAGTTAAATGATTTCAAATAAGTATTTTGTCTAAGTTACATCATTGATAAATATGAAATTGAATGAATAGAAATTAATATTATAACAACTCGACTAAGGAAATTTACCTTCAATTTAATTATTCTGTCTGTATAGTTAAAAATGTATTGAGAATGGTTAGCATTACAGTATTAGAAAGTTTAGCATTCGATGCTTCCATTAATTGTGTAAATAAGATTTACGTAAATTGTTAGAAGTTTATCGTGAAGAAAGAATTATATTGTGGTCTGATATATCGTTGTTTTATTTTATTTTTCTTTCTACTCTATTAATATCGTCCTTTCCTCTTCCTTATTGTACGTAATTTGATACCAACTTATCAAAGAACTATTATTTTTTTATAACGAGACCTCTTGCTCGGCAATCGCACGCGACCAGTGGGATTAGGAATGGATTAAACTTTTCTTACCCTTCTTATGGGTTTTTTAATCCCACCTCCTCCATTGGTGATACGTAGTGAGGTTTAAGACCACCCCCCCTCCCCCCTCAACATCAAATAATCTTAAAATTTTCTGAATATTATCTTAATTTAAATACAGGTATAAACTATAATCTTATTTTATTCTGAAATTAAGGACCATAATAAAAATGTCTACACCAGGTTGGAAGTTTTCTTTATTGCCATAACAATAATAATAAACGGAGAGTGTAATCATAGGAAAAACATGTATTGTACTAGTACATGAATATATTTTATGTATATTGTCCTCGGACCACGGATTAGCAAGACATTCTTCAACACTAACAACTGGATAAGCACCTTGCAGGTCAGTTGTTGGTACTGTGCTTTGTTGAAAATCAACATCGGTTTCATCAAGCCACTCAGTTTATTTAAAGATCGCGCGTTTGACGAAAAAATAAAACATGAGATATCTTACTACACCCCCCTCCCCTTTGTGTTATTTTCGTGATTTTTATCAAACCCCTCCCCCCCCCTTTCACGTGATTAATAGACAACCCCTTACAAGTTGGGAATTTGTGATAAACAATTTAAATTTCCCGGTCATTTCGTCTAGAAATGATATTTCTAATTTCAGAACGCAGTCTCGGTATGTCTGATTGTCTATACAATACAATGCAGGTTATTTTTGAGCACTTTTGTTTGAGTTACACCGAACAATACACGCAAATCATCATAGTTTCACAACTATGTGGCTATTGTACGTTACGAAAATCAAATTTTCTACATCTAATGAACTGAAATTATTGATAATTCTTTATTGAATTCAAGTTATTGATAATTAGTATAAAGTTATTGAAATTATTGATAATTCTTTACTGAAGTTAAGTTCGTTTTTTTATCATGTGTTGTCTATGGTTACTTACGTCAACCACTTCATAAATGACGTCAATGAACTGACACATTTTATTGAACTTCATTCTCCATTCAATGATTCAACGAAGCTATTTTTATTTTTGTGTTCGAGTATTACGCATCAGAAGCTGAGTAACTTTATGAGCAGCTTGCAAACGTGTTATTGTTGTTTTTGTTTTGAAATCTGGTGACATAAGATAGTTAAATTAAAGAGACTTTCTAAGTAAAAGACAGAAAAACATCAGGAGAGCTAAAGTAAATAGTTTCACAAGTAAAAGAACCACATCGGTCAGTGCGTCACAGTTTTCTGGAAAATACAGTTACATATTGTCGCAGAGCTTTGGTCAAATCCTTGTTAGACCTATAAAAGTGTGTTGGCAATCATTATAAGTGAATTTAAGAGTAAAGAGCGGCGACTGTCGTAGAAACAGTTTGATGATATTAGACGAGCTTGAGGAGTTCTTCGATATGGCTCCAACCAAACGCGGGAAACGAGGAGTCAGTGACGCTGATGATGAGGATGATGAGTACCGGCGGAAACGTGACAGAAATAATGAGGTAAAGTTTCATTTATGTTGCTAGAATATAGGTAAATAGCTGCATAGAGATTACTATTGCTACAGGGCCCTTAGAAGACTGTGCACTGAGAAATTACCTCAAAATTATATGTAGTATTATAGGCAGACTATAATCTAAGAATAAAATCGACAAGTTAACAGGTGTAAAGATAAATAAAAAGACAAATCTAATAATTAGTCTTCGGGACCAGCACACTTTTAGTTCCTGAAACTTGCCGGTCTATCTGCCTGATTGCCCGGTATACTATAGTGGTCTTGAGAACAGTGTCAATACAGTTCCCTCAATTAATAAGAATCAGGTAATAAATGTATAGAGAAGCTGAATTTAATCCAATACCTTTCCTATATTACTTGTTTGAAAAAATGAACATTTATGAAGTAATACTAAATTTGATATTACTCAATCACCTACAATTTTTATTTTGTAAATCAGTCAAATTAAAAAAAATAAGCATTTTATAGAAAGGTTTTACCCCGACTATATTTCAAATGAGGAAAACATAAAATTATTACTGGCAGAAAAAAAAATATTGTGAAATAATCCAACCTACTTCTGTGCTGGACTTTTTTAAACATAAATTACTGGTTGGCATAACAAGCCTTATCTGTTATTCAGCAGAGTAGTTCTTGGTACTCAGGTCTTTTTAAAAAAGGTTGTGCAATTTGCTGTATGTTCACCGTAATCATGATGCAATAGTTTTACTATATATCTGTTTGAGTTTCTATCATAGTATTGTTTATTTCAAAATGGCACCGCAGGGCTTACATCCCTCTTCTATTAGTATTAATTTTAAAATATATTTTTCATAGTATTTTTGTAGTTTATAGTGAAAATGTTGTGCTTATGATTCTAGTGAATTGTGAGAGTGAAGTGCAAGCGTGTATTTTTGAGCTAGAATGGTACAGTTTAAGAAATTGCGTCATTATTATTGTTTACTGTAAAATGCTACTGATAAGTAATGCATAACAACATTGAGATTTCAAAATATTTATGTCTTACTATGTAACTAGAGAATAGAGAATTGTATTGTAAACCTGATTGAAAAAAAGTAACGGAGTTTCTTGCTCGTTCTTCTCCATAGGAATCTACGCCTTGGAATGAGCAACTAGCTTCACTTATAAATTTTTGTTGTTTGACATTCAAAAGTGCCATCCTGGTCTAATTGAAATAAATGATTTTGACTTTGACTTTCTTAACATATCTTCTTTGTTTACAGGCCGTAAAAAAGAGCAGATTCAAGTCTAAACAGAGGACACAGGAAACTTTCACACGAGTAAACAAACTGAAAGCTGAGAACCAAATGCTTGAAGAGAAAGTCAAGACACTAACTAAAGAACTCCAGTTTTTAAAGGAATTGTTCTTAGCGCATGCATCAAACACGCCCAATGCAAAGTTCGATGGCATAGACCTCGACAAACTATTAGAAGATATACCGGATGACAAGAAATAGTTTCAAATCAAACGAACTTGCCGTTACTAGTGATTTTATTAGCAAAATACAGTGAGAGTGATCACAGGATTGAAAGGACAGTTGAATTCAGTGTACTGTGGCTCAATTAGAAAGAAATTATGAAATATTATGTGCTATCGACCGTTGTACATGTAAAGAATAAACAACTCGCTTTTGGGTTGTGAGATATGACTCGGGTCATAAGGTCGTAAGTACCTAATCTGGTATATTGTATACTATGTATACTATTATGGAGAGGTATATTATACCCGGCAGATATATTATATTCATGTATACACAATTAATTATGTGTTCTATGTAGTACAGTTCTGTTTTTCATGTTATTGTATTGTTGATATAGATATTTGTTTGTAAAAATTAGTGATTTACTTTTTTGTTTTTATTTTCTGTAATGGGTTAAAATTTTGCAGTTTCATTGATATTAAACACAGCTTCATTCAATGTGTTTCCAATAAACTATTGTTCAGTTTGATGAAATATACCTTCTAAATTTTTTTTAATTTTTTAAAGTATGTAGATAAAAAATGTTTGTTTATAAAGTGGAATGTTTACAGTTATCATGCACCAACAAACAATAGCTAAATGCCATGCTAATAATCTGATAGCAGATAACTATTTGAAAGGAACACATTGCTGTTAAAACAAACCAATAGTCACCCATTATTTTTTATCTGTGTGACTTGCAAATTGTATGTTTATCTGTATTGTTATCATGAATTTACGCAATAATACGCGGACTATTGCGTAGATAGCTAATATGTATTATGTATATTCTATGTATTTTATATAAACCCTGTCCAGTCTGATTTAATATATCTTACATTATAAAATTGGAAACTTAAATACTGGCATAATTTATACATTTGAATTTCACAATCTTACTAAATACCACATCAACACTTGTTTTTTAAAAAAATATTTCATAGATTTTCTCTATTCTTTATTTACTTTTAAAATTGTCTCAGGAGAACTGGAATTAAACATTCAGCCAAATGTGGTGAATTCTTAGAGACGTTCTAATCTAAAAAAAAATAATCAATTTGGAAAAGCCAAGAGAACATAAGTTTTGAGGATTGGACAGGGCTTAAAAAGTATACTATACCATGTATATCTGTCTAAATATTTTGTCCTCTGTGTTATTGTTGCAATAATAAAGCATTTATTTAATTCTAATATATTATAAATCTTTATATTGTATTTCTTTTATGAATTCTGTATAAATTTCTATTCTTTCGTTAATATTATGTATGTTGTATTAGTATGTAAGCTTAATGTATTACTTGGTTTCAATATTATGTTATTTACTTAATTTCTATTTCACAGTTGTTAAGTACAAAGAGTAGAGAAATTTTATTCACACACTAGATAAAATATGCCTAAGAGAAACTGCACAAAATTGATCTATTATCTAGGAAAACATTTCTTGAAAAATATATTTTAAAATTTGTTAATTGAGGGAAATAAAAAGATATGAACATGATGTCTATGTGTTTTTGTTTTTTAATTTGGTAACTATTAAACTGCAGTGATCCTTTTTTTATATTTGATGGGCCGACGTTCGGCCACTATCTCGCCTGGTGGTAAGCGATGATGCGGTCTGCGATGGAGCACGTCGTCCCAAAAGCAACCTATTCGCTTGGGCCATGAAGACATTCTAGTATTAGTATTTTACTATTTGGGTATTCACTAATTCATCATCATCATTTATCAGTCATAGGATGTCCACTGCTGAACTTACGCCTCCATAATGACTTCTAGATAGGCCGATTGGAAGCGATTTAATTATTACCTATGCAACAAAATATAACAAAGTATTAGCGAAACCGGTACTGTAATTCTTGAGATTTGCGCTGAGCAACACATTCAGCAATTAATTTTTAAATTATAAAAGGTGTAATGTATTCATACCCTATCTTTTTGGAATTTCAGACACCATTTAAAAATAGTATCGTAGTAAAATAACGTACAATATCAGTTTCACAAACGATAATATAATTCCTTTATTTTATACTTATAGGGAAAAGAAACCATTGTACAAAATGATGAACGCTATTTAAATATTATAAACTAAAATACATACATCACAATCATAATATTTTAAAATAATATGTTAGTTATTACACTTTTTCAGTAAAAATAATATTTATTTTTTTTATCAACACCATCTATGTAACGTGGCGAGAACTTACTATAAGAATTTTAATATGTTCAACAAAATAAATATGATGGTTCTAAGATTTCATTTAAATTATTGGTACACAATTAACATGATAAATGATATTTTTACTGATTAAGACGAAAACAATTTAATAATATCCAACATGATATTAGATAGAAAATAAAACAAAATCGATTATTACGTACTTACATAAAAAAATCAGTGTGTCAGATGACAGAACTAAAATGTAAATACAGGGGAATTCCCGCTGATTTCCCAAATTTAAGGGTAGTTTTATACAAATTATCATATGGAAAATAAAAAAAACATCTTCAAATAACAAAAAATATCAAAAGAAAGTATTCGTTGGTTAGTCAACAATAAATTTAATTCATATACAGTTATTTAGAAATGTTTACACAAAACAATATAATCAAAGTTATAGTTTTTGGGTGTATTCAATTATAAATTGGCAACATTTATAGGCTGGCTGATGAAATTTCGTTCAACTTCACACACAGTCACAAAATTACAATCTACGATCATTTTCATTCTGATTCAAGGCGAGACTCGTGTGTTGTTTACAAGTGAATTCAATAGAATTAACTAAAGCAAATTCAATTATTTTTTCACAAGTTAATCAACCCAGACTATATACAACAAATCTGTGCGAAACACTCAATTTGGTAAGTTGAATAATGATAAAATTGTACAAAATACTTGATCAATGTTGCGTCATAATTTCATGTAAACTTAAACAAGTTTCTAAGTAAATTTTAACTTTAACTCTTTGTGTTTTTATTACAGAAGTGTAAATAAGTGTTAAAAAGCTTTGCAAGAAGATTTCGCAGCGGTTTTAGCAAGCAATTTGATGACATTATTCGAGTTGGACGAATTCTTAGACATGCCACCAGTTAAGCGAGGAAGGCGAGGAGTTAGTGGAGACGAGGATGACGAGGAGTACAGGAAAAAGAGGGAGAGAAACAATGAGGTCAGTACTTAACATAGAACAGAAGTTACTTCTACTAGTCTCTCATCAGAGGCTCGTGATGGCAAAACATCACGACTTCTTTGTTAAAACACCATTTTAATTTTAATTGCGTTAACTTTCCTACCAGTGTCACTGTCAGTCTACTAACTTTGTAACTGTGAGACAAATTTTAAACCTCTTATTCCCTGAAAATAAAGTTTATATTCTGAAAACTGTACCTTACCAATGACTCTATTGCACTTAAACTACTTTTCTAATGAGGTACTACATATATTTTTAGTTTGTCATTCACCCTTTTAATTTGTGTTATAATAATAACTTAAATTACAAGTAATTATAATTAGTTTTATTCAACTTTACTAGAAATTATATACAAGAGCTTAGCACATTATATCTTGTAAAAATCAGCAGTATTTCAGATCTTAATTATTGTGTTTTCCATTGAAAATGGTAAATTTTTCAGTTGAGCAACATGTTATGATGCAATTGTTTACACTTTGCAAGGTGATGTAATAATTGCAATACTTGACTTAAATGTTGCTTGTATGGTAGAAATGATTGAAATGATGACTCAAAATGTATTTGTTAACATGAATTTTGTACTGTTTGATACCTTAATAAAACTAGGTAGTTTCTTTATAGAGGATATCCCTTAAGAAGTACTTACATTTTAAAAATTATCTCACACTATAAAAAGCTGTCTTATAAATAATTTTCATCTAGATCTGTATCATATCGCTTGTTAAAACAAAATAAATATTACTTGTACCATAAACTTGCTTCTGGGTTTTCTAGTTCTCTTCTCATTCCTGTCACTGGTTTATTAATTTAATGAAAAAGAAAAATATTTATCATCTATGAATTAGCAACTCGATCAAGCAGAACTATTGTAGGCGTGCGAAGTCTACACAAGTCTATATTATTTCTACTATTAATATAGTATTATGTATTGTAGTACTTTTTTATCAGATGTAATAAATGGTTGTATCATAATGGAGATAGCTAATAACGGACCTAGATAATGCCGCCTTAATCTTTGATCAATTTAACTCGAAAGTTGTGTAGCAGATAATTTAAGATCATTGAAAAACAGCCACTTACCTATAGATTCCCAAGCGGTCACCGGTGACCGCTCTCCACTACCTACATTATAGACCTTATTTCCAATGCTTAGAGGCTACTTTTTTATGAACAAATTTAGGGGATGAATTTCAACAGGTCAATTAGTATTTTTAATTTTACAGGCTGTTAAGAAAAGCAGAGTGAAGTCCAAGCAGCAGACACAGGACACATTCTCCCGAGTCAAGCGACTTAAAGAAGAAAACCAACAACTGGAAGACACCACCAAACGGTTGACCAAAGAACTGGAGTTACTGAAGGAGCTCTTCATTGCTACTGCGGCCAACAAATCAAACCCCAAGTTTGAGGGCATGGACCTTGAGAAACTGCTGGAAGATACTCCCGAAGTTAAGTTTTAGTTGTGTTTCAATAAAGCTGTGTTTATTGCGCTCTACTGATCTAGAAAGTACTGTTAGAATATTATGTTGACTTAATTAGTATTAAGGTTTTTTCTGTGTTTTACATACACATCACATCAGAACAAAGTCGAGACTAGCATTGACTAAAAATACTGTCGCTGTTGATAATTATATTATAATTATCCAGTATTCATATACGTATATGTAGTTTTAGCAAGACCTTTTACAATTTTAAGATCAATTTCTTACTAAGAAAGGTAGTAGAAACGTAGACGTTAATTGTACGAAGTACTTCTTAAGATATTCGACTTATACCATAAGTACACTATCCTAGGAATAAATCGCGAATTTATCTCTGATATATAAGCTAGTATTGCATGTTATTTGAGATCGATCTGTGATTTTACTGTGATTTATTTATTTATAAGTCGAAGCAATATGTATTCATGTTATGTAATCATTATTTTGTACGGTTTATCCATATGATAGCTGCACTTACCCGTTGAAAATCATCCCCTAAATTTGATCATACAAAGTAGTCTCTAAACATTGGAAATAACGTCTATAATGTAGGTAGTGGAGAGCGGTCACCGGTGACCGCTTGGGGATATACGGGTTAAAAACATTTTTGCTGAGTCATGTATAGGGTCGGAATGACCTTGGGAAAAGTGACTCACTTATAAAATTTTGACCAAGGTCGTTTTTACGTTGTGTCAGTTCTATACATTTTGATTTTTTTTATTGTATTGTCTATGACTAGTGTTTATGCAGTATGTTTTGTATGAGACAATGATGATATTTTCTGTGCATTAAATGTTTCATTAGCCGATGTATGTACACTTGTAAGTTGAAAAAGTCTTTGTGGTGTTTATAAGGTGGTTTTTTGTACAAATATTTTTAGAACTTCTTATGTTTGGATAATCTATTCTCAAAGCTTTCAATAATAACTCATAGAAGGAGGAAGAAGTAAATAACAGTGCTAAAAAAAGTTACATGAAAAGCCGTCTAGACTATTGTTTTCGATTGGAATTTTATTATAATCTGTGATAGTTTAGTTCATACGACACAAATATTACCCGCCAAGGTTCGTGTCTGCTAGAACGGGATAGTAGTAACGACTGTTTTGATAGCCATACTAAGTATTCGCTGTCCTTCTCGCACTTTTCAAAATGGCTACGAATTTTGGCGGGTTGTATGCACAAAATATTTCTGAATAAAATTATGGGTGAAATGTGGTATAGTATTATTATGTTTTATAATAAATCTGTTGTTATGTATTGTCTTATGTTAATTTGTGTATATTTCAATGAAAGAAATATGATAAAATTGTTACATTATCATTAAAAAACAAGGTAATATAATTTTTTTCTGGAAAATTAAAACAAAATAAATACTCATAACATTTTTATTATGCAAAAATAGAATCTTACCAACTACAATAATTATTACGTACAAACTATTTGTTTCGGGATACCCCGAACACTTTCGGGCTCGAATCGGGTCCCAAAACAAACATCCGTACTGAAATATTATCCACGAATTTTATAATTAAGTATTATGTAAGGATTTATTAATTATACTATTAAATATACATTTGATACAATTATATTCAGTCGTTTTCTTTCAAAATTACCTACATTGACTGTAAAAAATAAAAATTTTTACTTTTCAAAAAAAGGTTTTACTTTTCATATTGGCGATATTTTAACCAAGTTACTGATAGGAAATTAATTGATTTAAAGAATATTTAATACGCATTCTTTTTACAGTGTTGATTATATAATTGCATGTATATGGAATAATTTTAGTGATACGGGACGGCGACGAGACGAATATGCTATACTTTTAAATTGCCATATGAAGCAGTTAGTTAGGTTTTTCATTTTTGTGCATTGTAAACAGTCATCTACTATGTAAAAATGAGTCGAGTTTTCTTTCCTGCCGCTATAACTCCAGAACGCATTATCCGATTTCCAAGGTTTTGCATTCGTTGGAAAAGTCTCGGGCTCCGTGAGGTTTATAGAAAAGAAAATATTTTTTTCATCTTTTAATCACCAAACGAAATGTTACATATAACGAAGCCATCTGGTGGCGAAACGGAGTTCGTCGGGTTTGCTAGTTTCTCATAAAAAGGACATGAATAACTGTCTTGCGGGAGCAGTTATTCATGTCTCCGGGACTTCAATGTCCCGGTGTTTTCATGGTTGCATCTAAAGATCCTGGCTTACAGGAGTTGCAGCGGTTTTGGGAAGATGTGGCAGGCTTGTGCCATCAAAAAAGGCATCTCATATAACATCGCCAGTTTGAAAAATAAAACCAGACATAAATAAACTGGGGGACAATAAAATTAAGCCATCGAACCGACTACACAAAGAAGGATGTGACTGCGATGACTTGTTTCGATATTTTAACAGAAATAATAAAGAGGAGACGAAGTTTTAATTTGTCGTCCACCAGTTTATTTTATACACAAAATAAAAAAGCTTATATTGTAAAAAAGTTGGATCACAGATACAAATCTAAATAACTCTATGCATTAGCCGCTCATTTGGTTCTTACGAATGAGGCGCTAATGAGACGTAATAATTATTTATCAATAGTAACATTCACGAACGGTAAACGACCAGTCTCAATTGAGGTAGTTTTATGTATGGAGCTCATTTTCAAATTATAAATAAAATAAATAACATCACGCCTTTTATCCCCGAAGGGATTGCACATTACGGCACTCAATGCCAATGTACAATGTACCGCTTTTCACTATTTATGTTATGCGCCCCATGTAATGCCATAGGGGGTGAGCCTATTGCCATATACCGGGCACAATTCCAGACTCCGTGCTACTAATGGCATTTCTTTTTAAAACTAAGTAATACTTTGTCCGAGCCGGGAATCGAACCCGAGACTCCTTGCCCAACAGTCATACTTGCGACAACTCGACCTTTCAAATAATCCTTACTATTATAAATGGAAAAGTGAGTTTGTTTGTTTGTTCTGCTTTCACGCCGTAACTACTAAACCGATTGTTTTGAAATTTCGCAAACGTAAAGTTTGAAGTCTAGATTAAAACATAGGCTACTTTTTTTCTTTTTGTGACGCGATCGAAGCCGCGGGTAAAGTAGATAAATCTACGGCCAAACAATACAATGAGACTGGCTGTCAACTTTTAACTTTGAATCACAGAATATAAAAGTATCTCACGTCTCACTAGCGCCATATATTGAGCATAAAATCGCAAACCTAATATACCTAATTCTTGCCACGCGGTTATACCCGCATTATTCCTATACATAATAAAGTTCACATTACGATCAAAATGAATGATCGGTCATTATTTAATAAAGTCATAAGACTAATGTCAATAACTAATTATCGGTATTTTGTGAGAGCTTAGTACGAAATATTTTACGACTACGCGATTGAACCGTTACCGCGTTCGACGGTCTAATTGGTTGGTTTATTGGAATAGGCCAATCAGAGCTCCGAACGCGGTATTGTTTGGATAAGCCGGTAAACGAGCTGACGGATCAACTGATGGTAAGCAATCGGCGTCGCCCATGGACACCTGGAACACTAGAAGCGTTACAAGTGCGTTACCGGCCTTAGGAATTAGGAATTTGAGGATTCAAGGATTAAGAAGATTGAGGCGGGGGGGAGGGGTAAACGGGCCTCCGGTAACGTCACTCATACGACGAAATACAACGTAAGCGTTGTTTCATGTCGGTTTTCTGCTCGGCCGTGGTATCACTCCGGCCCATTCGTGCCGAAGCATGGCTCTCCCACACTTAATACAAACCCGTACTAAGCCCTCTATTAAAAACCTAGATCGGACTTAGACCCTAGAAATTTAAGTCTAAGTCTAACCATAAATAGATTATTGACACTGTCCGATGACCACACGAGGTCAAACTATGCAAATCCAGCTACACAGCAAAAGTCCATAAAAATATAAAAAAACAAAAAGTCGATAATGTAGTAGCATGCAGATTTTTAACAATATTTTTTTTCTGCAAGTCAAATTCAATACTTTTTCCAGATTATCACAAACGAATTTTTCGTTGTACATAGGATTATTTGATTGTATTATAAGGCGTCCGTCAAATTAGGATAACATATTTAAATGGTTTTAAAAATCGAAACGAACAATTTTTGATTTGAACTAACATAATATATCGGAATTGCTAATTTCCATCCAAGATTTCGCTGACATCGGTAAAGATTATAGAGAAGATATAGCTCATAATTGACGTATTAAAAAAAAACAACATTTGTCATTTTTGGAAAAACTAGCCTCCAATTATAACACCCATACCTATTTAGCACTTATGTCGGAATACTGAAACGCTACTCAATTTTAAGTCGTGCTTAAGTATAGTTCTATCTCTACAAATTCTTTGTAAAATGACAGAGATGACACGATATTTGAGCACGACTTATAATTGAGTAACGGTTCAGTATTCCGGCATTAGCTCATCAAAACCAATTTTACCTAGCAAACGCACACAAATAGACACAAACAATAATTCATCAAATACATAATCACATTTTTCTTACCAAAAAAATATTCAAAATAGCTTCTATTTCCATACATTGATAACGCCGTCGGCCGAAGCACTGACTAGATACGGTTTGGTTCCTTCGACGACGGTAAGGTCTGTGATTGGAGCTGTATGGTAGAACGACCTAGATTCCACGCTTCTATATATGTTGTCGTCTGGCATTGATGCTGGAGTCGAAGGGTTGAGCTTGCAACATTCTTGTATCACTGTGGTGCCATCTATTATTCGGCTCCTGAAATAAATAAAGGTGGTTTTGAATGGCTGAAGAAGATTTTAAGAAAAATAAATCTGAGGAAAGAGGGCACTGTTTGTTCATTTTCTCCTCTAATGATATCTTCATTGATCAAATACTTGAATGGTTTGTATAGTGCCATGAAAGAATATGGAGTAAACTTTAGAATATAATTATGTATCAAGAAAAAGGACACAGTAGGAAAAAAGTTCATAATCAAAATAAATATTACGAAGCAGGGATGGATCTATGGAAAAATGTCAAAAAAATATACAAATAAACATCAAGTACATTGATAATAGACAATTACCTGTATTTAAGTGCTCCAGGCGAATTCTTCAACGAGTCATTATGCGCATGTAGCAGTATATAAGAGTCCTCAGGGTGCTCCAGGTCCCAGTAGCGGAGTCTTTGGTCGGAGCCGCCTGTCACCACGAAGCGGTTGCCTTCGCGAGTGCCGCAGTATATAGCGCTTATATACTGAGAGGCCTGGAGAAAAACAAGAAAAACATATAGTGATATACACAACTTAAATATTATTGTAAATAAGTAAAAAAACGTGTTTTTTCAGTTGTCGCGCAGTATTATTTAAAATCATTGCTGAACAGATCTGAATAAAATTTGACACAGAGATAAATTGTATTCTGAAATAACACATAGGCTGGAATCTTTTATCCCTGGAATACGATAGAAGCCGCGAGGTTAGCAAATATATCTTAAACCTTAGCCTAGACATATTACGTTCTCCGGCCATCGTAAGCGCGGGCCTGCGGACGGCGAACATGGGTAGCTCCCCGTCCGACTAGAACCAGACCCGAGCGTACGGCGCGCCGAGTTCCGCGCGCCCCTCAAAGAGCCATCAGACTACCACGGATGGAGCCCAATAGGGCTGAAGCCAATACAGAGCCGCGGAGAACTTAAGGTTACCGGGGAAGTAATTCGGTGACTTTCCCTCCTTAAAAAAGCCTAGACATATTAAAACACTCCAACCAACAGCTTCACTCGCAGTAGTGATGTATACCGCATACATCACATATCAGACATAAAACGTCTACTGTAGAACATAGGCCTCCCCAAACTGCACAAATCGATCGGTCGGTTGTGGCGAGAAAGAAAGTATTTTTAAAGCTCAAAAACGATGCATTAGAGCCATGTTTGACCTAAAAGTAACTGACAGCTGTCTACCTATATTTCAGTCTCATAAACTGTTAACCTTCCCATGTCTTTATATACTGGAATTATGTCTATTTGTTAAAACAAACTCGCACTTGTTTACCACCTTGAAAGAAACTCGAAATAGAACAATAAGCATTAGATCTCAATACAAAAATCTTTTAAGCACGGGTGTTTTTAAAACTACTCTTTTAAGGAAAAGTGTTATTTGTATGGCACCACTTGTTTATAATAAGTTACCGAATAATATCAAGGAACAATCACTAACTAAATTTAAGAAGCATGTTACAGAATTACTTTTGCACAAGTGTTATTATTCAGTACAAGAGTTCTTGGATGATAAGTTTTGATAAATTCTTTTCAAATGTATATTTGCATGCCAATTAAGGTAGAATGTACAAGGAACCTTAAAATTTTGTAACACCTAATAATTTGTACCTACATTCATAGCAAATAAATGATCTATTCTATTCTATTCTATTCTAGCAGCGTCCGTGATTGGGCCTCCGATAACCTCACTCAGACGAAAAAACACAACGCAAACGATGTTTCACTATGGTTTTCTGCTCGGCCGTGGTGCCGGTCGAGCCGGCCCATTCGTGCCGAAGCGTGGCTCTCCAACACTTAAAAGCAAGATGGAAGCATTTTTCATTTCACCTATTGTCATTTGTAGGTTACATGCACTCGTCAAATGGCGTGTCGTGGCCAGGTGTAATGATACGTACGACGGGCGTGTAGTGCAGCGGTTGCAGACTGTTGGTGCAGGTCCAGAGCGCGTGCGTGCGCTGCGTGGACTCCAGGCTCCAGGCGGCCGCGTCGCTGTGGCCCGCCGCCCACACGCTGCCCGCCGCGCCGCCGCCCACTATGCGCCGCACGCGCTCCGCTGGACACACGGCAACAATATAATATTACGACTTCAAAAAAGAGAAAATATAATATTCATACTTCAAAAAGGGACGTTCTCAGTTTTTTTTTCTTAAAAAACGTTGCCCCAAATCAGGATTTTCTCCTGTGTCGTGGGTGCGTTTACAAACATACAATATCACATACACATGACACCCAGACCCGGAACAACAATCTGTGGATCACACAAAGTTGTTTCGTGCGGGAATCGAACCCGCGACACATTGCGCTGCAGCCGGTTGCCCAGCCACCGCGCCAACCGTTTCACTTATATGTATGTATGCTTATGCACGATTATCTCACGATTCGCCAAACTGATTTTGATGCGGTTTTCATTTAAAGTGTTCGTTACACTTAGAACCAAGTTTTAGTACATTAATTAACCGACTTCATAAAAATACGAGGTTGAAGTCGGTGTTTTAAACGTACTTTGTAAAAGAATAAGTTATTTTATGTTTGAGCACTAACAATTTGGCCCAAAAGACTCCCCAGATCCCTCAAATTTTCCAAAATGTAATCAACGTGCTTGTAAACTCATTTAATTATCATCCAAGATTGCTTGCCATCAGGTGATACGTTTGCCGGTCCATACCATAAAAAAACTCATATTAGAATTTATGACTAAGAAATGACTAGACAAAAATTGCTTAAATCTATCATTCTATTTTGATGAAAAAAAAATAGGAAACATACTAAAGCTCACATCTTTTATTCATCCGCGCGGACATAGACAGTTTAACATCCACATTTTACCCGGTATGTTAGAAGTTTCATTAATTCGTTTTTCATGACACTTCATATAACAAAATTGAGCGATAGGGTAGTTGCCAGGGTACCAAAATTAAAAATCTAATTAGTCCGTTCAAAAAATGATAGACACGAATTTTTTTCTTTTCTCATATTAAGTTACAATACTTATATAAAATGTCGCTAAGTTTAGGAGTGGGAGGTCGTTACGTCACACCGTGCTACAAAATGTGGCACGCTGTGACGTCACACGATATTTCAAATTAATATATCGTCGAAAGTATTTAATTTTGTGAAAAAAAATACGTATCTAATGTTTTAAATTAATGTACCTACCAGACGGACATTATAATAAAATATAGGAAACTACCCTATTATTGCCAATCTAGGTTTCTTGATTGCATCTTGAGAATTACCTAAAATCTAAAATACTCAACAATACTTCACCCGTCCTGAAAGCAAACCCGTTTCAAATGACAGGAAGAAAGATAAAGTAATAACTGAGTGACTCACAATTAGGATGTCTAACAGAAGTGATCGGTAAATGGAACCGCAGATCCCAAACACAGATGGCGCCACTAGACGTGCCCACTGCCAGGTACCCAGTCGGGTCCGCGTACAGACATGTCGTCACTCCCTGCTTTAAGTCGCCTTGTAACTTCCACGCGTTACCTGAGGACAAAATACCTTGTATTACTTACTATAAGGAGGGAGACTATAACTTATTATATTAAACACTAGCTTCTGCCCGCGACTTCGTACGCGCAATCCCGTTTCTCCCATTTCCGTAGGATTTTCAGGACTTTTTTCTGTCATAAGAACCTTATCCTGACGATAACAAACACAACAAAAAAAAAATTCTGTCAAATCGGTCCAGCCGTTCTCAAGATATGGCGTGACAACGGGAAACGCGTTTCATTTTTATATGTATAAGATAAGATATGTAAAAGATCTAAAATAATTAAGAATTTTTAGAATAAAATCGATTTTTCACATCAATCAATACATACCAGGCGCCCGTAGGTCCCACCCGACGATATTGGCGAACAGCGTGGCGTATGCGATGACGTTGCCATGCGCGGGCGCAGCCACACACAGCGCGTCGTCGCCGTCGCCCTCCAGCTGACGACCTTGCGACAGGTTCATGCGGGACGACGAGCCGTCCACTCTGACGACAACAAATTATTCTTATTTTGGTGAAGTAACTAGTAGTAATGTTTCTTTGCTTTTATGGGATAAGCCGGTAAACGAGCAGACGGATCACCTGATGGTAAGCAATCGGCGTCGCCCATGGACACTTACAACACCAGAAGCGTTACAAGTGCGTTACCAGCCTTTTGGGATTAGGAATTTGAGTATTGTTGGGGATTCAGGGATTGGGAAAGGGGGGGGGGGAGTAATTGGGTCTCCGGTAACCTCACACACGCGACGAAACAACGCAAGCGTTGTTTCACGTCGGTTTTCTGCTCGGCCGTGGTATCACTCCGGTCGAGCCGGCCCATTCGTGCCGAAGCATCACTCTCCCACATTTAGTTTACTAGTAATTAAAACGTTGAAGTATTATGTATGTATAGTCTTTGTCAATATTTTAAAAATTGATGTAACGAGAAGATGGTTAAGTTTCTTTTAAAATCTTGAACCTCTTGCTTTCGACTTTTTGAACTGTGTGTCGTGATAATAATTAAATCTCAATTTATTCCATTAAATATAATATACTGACCGTAGTACGAAGACAGACTCCTGCGTGGCGGCGACCAGTGACTGGCCAGCCTCGCACGCGGCCAGAGACACCACGGGACCTGCGTTTCTATTGTACATCGACTTCGATCTGGAAATATAAATAAATAAATATAATTATCATCATCATCATCAACAGCCTATAAATGCCCATTGCCCACTGCTGAGCAAAGCCTCTTCTCACACGGAGCATTAATCACCACGCTTGATCAATGCGGGTTGGCGATTTTAAACTTATAATTAGAAATTATAAGCCCAGGTTTCCTCACGATGTTTTTCCTTCACTGTTTTTTAGTGGTGTCTAAATAATCTTAGAAAGTACATATAACTCGGAAAAAATCACATTGGTACTTGCCATTGGTAGGTTTCGAACCAGTACCCTCATGCATGAGAAGCGGGCGTCTTAAACTTCCGAGCCACCACGGCACAATATAATTATAGTCTAATTAAATTAACACACTACAGATAAATCCACGAAGACGCGTCCCACTATTTCTCCTAACCGTTTATAATGTATGCAAGCTTCCGTCAATGTTTCAGTGATGTCGGTACACACTAATTACCTACGAGTGCACACGCACACTACAATAAATACACTAATCAGTGCCTTTAGCCAAACGCCACTTTAGCGCTTGTCTACAGAGAGAGTAGAAAACTTGTGGCGACACATGCCACATGTCAACGGATGACGTCACAAGAATCCTACATCGCACGTGCAAAGTTTACAAGCGAATAAACACGGATAGAAAATCCCAACGAACAACTGTTGGGCAGAAAGCCCGCCAGGCACGATCACCTCGCCTGGTCGGAGGATCCTCCTTTTCCGATCTTAGGGAACTATACTCTCTGTTCCCTAAAGTGGTGACCCCGACGTGATTGGAAAAACAACCTTCACTTCACGGAGCAGATCAGCACCGTCATCCGTATCGCCATCCCTCTCATTCATCACTTCTCCGCTGAGCGGTAATCAAGTCGCAGCCAACCAGCATCCTCGGCCTCATCAGGGACCACCATTACCTGCAACGAAGTTGTGCAGCCTGGTTCTTCCCTACGGCCTCACCAGCGTCTAGGCACAGCACTTCTGCACACGGTTCTGAAGGACACCTCCTCCCGTCAACGCAGATGCCGGCCACTACGCACCTACCCTCGCAGCATCTCTTCCCCGACTCACCGTGGGACACTGCGAACGCATCTCTCCGACTCACTGGAGTTTCACCCTGCACCGCTGACCCGACTCACTGGGCACTCAGCGGCACGGTTCCGACCCACTGGAACTAGGGACGTTCTACACTGGTTCTGGCATCGCTCATCTCAAGCATCGACAGCCGTCTCAGCGGGATCGACCTCCGGTCTTGGGAGGGAGTGATGTGGCGACACATGCCACATGTCAACGGATGACGTCACAAGAATCCTACATCGCACGTGCAAAGTTTACAAGCGAATAAACACGGATAGAAAATCCCAACGAACAACTGTTGGGCAGAAAGCCCGCCAGGCACGATCACCTCGCCTGGTCGGAGGATCCTCCTTTTCCGATCTTAGGGAACTATACTCTCTGTTCCCTAAAAACTAAATGTATGGGGATGACATCTGACAAGTGTCAAAATTTACGTCAATTCCATATAATTTGGTTTTATATTCTACATGTAGACAAGCGCTAAGTGGCATTTGGCTACAGCTGCAGGAGAGAGCGATCGATCGATCGCGATCCCCTCAACTAAAAATTAGTGGGAAGCGTCTTCGTGAATTGAATTATCTATACAAAGGTTTTTTTAAAATTTTTGTTAAAATTTTCTGATACATCACTTACATTTCGGTTAAATAATGATTATAGTACACTGACTTCAAAAACATACAACAATATAAAGTTAATTTTACAAATGCAGTGTCGCAGTATACCTAGCTCATGAAAGTAGTCGAACTCGACTTTTATGAGTCCCTCGCTTGGATCGAAACTAGTCGTCTTACCTCGTCCACTTTTAAATTAATTTATGATACCTTACGAGTTATATTATTTATATACTAGCTTTTACCCGCGGCTTCGCTCGCGTCACAAAAGGATAAAAAGTAACCTTTGTGACATATATCAATACACACAGCGCCATTTATACCAATACTTTTGTTTTCCCTCGGGAATATCAAATTGTTGCGGGATAAAAAGTACCCTATTATTTAATCCGGACTTCTAACTTTACGTCTGCAAAAATTCAAAGCAATCGGTTTAGTAGTTACGGCGTGAAAGCGGAACAAACAAACAAACAAACTTACTTTCTGATTATAATATTAGTAAGGATATTTTACCTGTTAATATGCGCTTGAGTATGTAGCCTGGCGGCGTCCCATAACCTGACGGTGCCGTCGTCGGAGCACGACGCGAACACTGAACGAGACGCCGGTAGACATACCAACTGGTTCACTCGGGCTCTGCAGGCAAAAGGAAATAATAGACACATACTCACATTTAAAAAAAGTTACCTCAAAAGGATATTCGTCTTTGGTGTGAATATATTTTTAAGTAGTATATTTCCCTAAGATCGGCAAAAGGTGGATACTTCGACCAGGCGAGGTGATTGTGCCTGGCGGGCTTTCTGCCCAATAGTTGTTCGTTGAGATTTTCTATTCGTGTTAATTCGAATGTAAACTTCAAGGATGTGTGATGTAGGACTTTATGAGAAACAGCATACTTATTTCTAAAAAAATTGCTATAAAAATACTAAATTAAACTTGGTCACAAAATCAATAAATGAAAGTGTGATTATTTTTTAATATTTAATTGTATTGAACAGTCGAAATAATGTATTTTTTAACGAGAAACAGCATACTTATTTCTAAAAAAATTGCTAGAAAAATACTAAAATTAAGTTGGTCACAAAATCAATAAATGAAAGTGTGATTATTTTTTAATATTTAATTGTATTGAACAGTCGAAATAATGTATTTTTTAACGAGAAACAGCATACTTATTTCTAAAAAAAATTGCTAGAAAAATACTAAAATTAAGTTGGTCACAAAATCAATAAATGAAAGTGTGATTATTTTTTAATATTTAATTGTATTGAACTGTTGAAATAATGTATTTTTGATTAAGGAAAGTACTCAATTGGCATACATACTTGTGTTCATGTAGGTAGGCCAGTAGTTGATTCCCGGGCCGCCAGCCGGACGGGGGCACCGTCTCGTCATTGCACTCCACCGGGTCCTCCGGGCTCCTGCAGACAACAATAATTATTAATAGGGTAGTATTACAGTATAAAAATCAGTCGTCCAACGAAGACGTCTAGACAGGGCAATCGTGCGGGGTGTGAGGGGCGAGACGCGGGTAGGCCAATTCCGAACTATGAACAAAACTTTAGCAGCTCGGGTTAGCATCCAGGGCCAAAATAGGTTATTAGTACTGATAGGTTAGACGTGAAACAACGCTTGTGTTTCACGTCGGTTTTCTGCTCGGCCGTGGTATCCACTCCGGTCGAGCCGGCCCATTCGTGCCGATGCATAACTCTCCCACACTTAACAAATAACACATAAGCTATTTGTTATCCTATGGGAACAGGGCATAAGCTAGTATTGAATAAGTAGGGATTAAAAGATATCCGTCATAACATCAAGGTCAGCCGAAAAACGTCCATTACCTTAAAGTCTTCTGATACTTCTGCTGCATGCGCGCTGTAAGATCTCTTAGCTCAATACGACACGGAGCCATGCTGTCTGTAAACACAAACAATTACATATAATTAAACATTGAATAAACATTTTTACATAAGACAATTTTTTTTCTGCTGAAATAATAATCAAGAACTAAGAACTTGGATATTTTAGATTGCCTCGTTGGCCGAGTGGTCGCAAGTGCGACTGCCGGGCAAGGGGTCTCGGGTTCGATTCCCAGGTCGGGTAAAGTATTATTGAGTTTTTAAAATAAAATTCTCAGTAGTAGCACGGAGTCTGGAATTGTACCCGGTATATGGCAATAGGCTCACCCCCTATTACATGGGACTCATAACATAAATAGTGAAAAGTGGGTGTTACACTGTACAGTGGCATTAAGTGGCGTAATGTGCACCTCTGCCAACCGGGGATAAAAGGCGTAATGTTATGTTAGATATAGTAAAACACTAAATATAGAAATTCTAGTACATAAACACAGGTGTGTCGTAAAAGTGACAATTTCTGGCTAAGTAGATAAATCATTAAATAGAAATCTAGATTGCACTTAATACAGGGTGTAAACTGAACGCTCTCGGAAAACGCTGACAGTAAAAAACAAGTTTTATTTTCATTTTTTTTTAAACGTTGCCCCACACTAACCTTTTCTCCTGTGTCGTGGGTGCGTTTACAAACATACAAGTCCACATACACATGACACCCAGACCCGAAACAACAATTTGTGGATTACACAAAGAGTTATTCCGTGCGGGAAACGAACCCGTCACACATTGCGTGGCAGCGGTTGCCCAGCCACTGCACCAACCGTGCAGTCGAAAAGTAAGGAACTAAATGTTTCTTTTATGTAATCAAATATTAAAATTAACGAAAACAAATAACAAATATTAAATTGTACAAAGAAATTTTTTTGAGCGTTTCGGGAGCGGAACGTTTCATTTACACCCATGATATATTTTGAATACAGTGACTGCCATTTGCCCTCTACAATCCACTAGGTTAGTTATACTGGCTCTATCATTTTACAGTTTGTACATTGACAGTTGTTGTATAACGCTAAAAACTGTTTGCACATTTCTTGCTATAATTCTCGACAACAATCGTCATATCGTCATGACACCATACGTACATTGTACATAGCTAGCACTATGCGCGAGCTGTGAGTGATGCGGCGGCGGGGCCTGCGACATCGCGGCCGCGGCACTCGCGCCCACCGACTGGGACACGCTCTCTGACACTGCGCGGTAACATCATTGTACTAATTATTATATCATTTATAGTGGTCAAAAGTCAGTCCCAGTTGATATAAAAGAAATATATATCTAAAGCAATCCACATTGAAAATTCGACCGACGTCTCAAAAAAAACAATAATAAATGCTTTATTGGTCTAACAGTTATCTTTGTTCAAATATCAGTTTTTCTTCAGTGTCGTGAATCCATTTATAAAAATATCAACCGAGCAAATAGCTTCTAGAAGTTCTAGAGGACTAACCGATAGACAGGCACTTTTTATTTTATATGGGTCTAACTGATTAATTATTTAACTCGTCGAGTACCGGTTTTATAGACACAATTAAAGAACAATAGGTCGCGGTCACCGGTGACCGCTCGGTGTTTGACAGATTAACGTTGACTTAATTCACAATATAAACAATTTAAAAAATTGTTGAATACATGATTCTGACTATAATTAAGAACTAGCATTAAAAAAATCGCATCATCTACAATAAGATAATAACATTAACTCATAACTATGAGTCCTAGAAAGGCTTGAAACTAATCGAGTTCCTCGTAATCGTAACGTGAGTAAATATAATAATTAATTTAGTATGTTTTACGAAAATTATAATAAAAATTAAGTAAGTAAAATTTGTTATGCAATAATTAAATTAATTGTTTAAATAATTATAATAATTAACGGTATAATATATATATGTAATATTACCTTTAGGATGTTCGTGTGAGTGTCCGAACATATGTTGCCACTCAGTGTTCATGTGAGACTCCTGCGACCCGGACGTTTTGTGCGTGCGACTGCGCATACAAACAGAAATTAATGAAACATAAAAAAAAAATACTGCCTGGCAAGGGGTCTCGGTTTCGATTCCCGGGTCGGGCAAAGTATTGCTGGATTATAAAATAATCTCAGTAGTAACACGAAGTCTGGAACTGTGTCCGGTATATGGCAATAGGCTCACCGCCTATTACATGGGACTCATAACATAAATAGTGAAAAGTGGGTGTTACATTGTACAATGGCATTGAGTGCCAAAATGTGCACCTCTGCGTACCCCTTCGTAGATAAAAGGCGAGGTGTAATGTTATGTAATGAAAAATAGAGATATGGAATATTGAATTTACTTTCAAAAATCATATATTGTATATTAATATTTCATCTTTAGTAGCTCCATACAAAATGTGTCTCATGCTAATTTTTAATAGGTTATTAAAATTGCCTTTTATTAAAGACGTAGCGTGATGTTTTATAGCCTATAGCCTTCCTCAAGAAATGCAGTATCTAACACAAAAAGAATTATTCAAATCGGACACGTAGTTCCAGAGATTAGCGCTTTCAAACACGCAAACAAACAAACAAACAAACAAAAAGCTCTTCAGCTTTTTATAATAGTATATAAGATATGTGTCGTGGTGGCCCGGAGGTTTAAGACGCCCGCTTCTCATGCATGGGGGTGCAGGTTCGAAACCTACCAACGGCAAGTACCAATGTGACTTTTTCCGAGTTATATGTACTTTCTAAGATTATTTAGACACTACTGACAAACGGTGAAGGAAAAACATCGTGAGGAAACCTGGACTTATAATTTCTAATTATAAGTTGAAAATCGCCAACCCGCATTGAGCAAGCGTGGTGATTAATGCTCAAACCTTCTCCGTGTGAGAAGAGGCTTTGCTCAGCAGTGGGCACTTATAGGCTGTTGATGATGATATAAGATATAAGATTTTACACTCAAAAAGGACCAAATAAATTGAATAAAATTTCATGAAAACCTGTTTACTTGTGTTTGTAATTAAATAGTCAGTAATATAAGTATGTCACTCACCGGTTCTGTGTGGAGGCGTACATTTTGTCGACGTGTGGCATCGCGTCCGCGGCCCCCGTGTCCAGCTGCACGGCGCGAGATATACCCGACACTGGCAGCACTAGCCGACCCGGCGCTTCGGTTATATGCTACAGCACAAACATTCATTAAAAATTTAATACTAATATTAAATATTATCATCTTTACGATTGCTTAATGTTGACAACACGGTTAGTGCGGTGGCTGGGCAACCGGCTGCCACGCAACGTGTAGCGGATTCGATTCTCGCACGGTCAACTCTTTGTGTGATCCACAAATTGTTGTTCCGGGTTTGGGTGTCATGTGTATGTGAACTTGTATATTTGTAAACGCACCCACGACACAGAAGAAAATCCTAGTGTGGGGCAACTATTTTTTTAAAGAATAAAAAAATGTGTGGTGTTGTAGTCTAAAAGCAAAATATATTAACATTTCATTTCATAAAAAATCATTCACTGCACAACCAGTCCGCTTTTCACATGGATGGAACTACGAAGCTTACTCAATGCGGACCGGTGATTGGATACTTGCCAACTAGTCAAAATCAATACTTATTTCGAACTGTCAAAAACGACAGTTTTCTATGAATTTTGTCCGAGATTGTGTATTGTGACGTCAGGATTTTTTAGCATCAAACAGCATACTTATTTGTTAAAAATTTGCTGGAAAAACACTAAAATGAAGATGGTCATAAAATCAATTAATAAAAGTGTGATTATTTTTTAATATTTCATTGTATTGCACAGTCGAAATAAATTCCTTTTGATGAAGACAAGAACGATATATATGTTCACATACACGTGGCACCCAGACTCGAAACAACAATTTGTGGATTACACAAAGAGTTGTTCCGAGCGGGAATCGAACCCGCGACACGTTGCGCGGCAGCCACCGTACCAACTGTGAAGTTAACGACATATTCTAACTACTGACCTGTGTAGACGAGCCTTGTATCTTGATCAAATGAGTGCTCATCGCCAGCAGTTGATTCTCGACATGTTCTGTCATACCATCTGACGCGAGTCTACGGAACAAGTTCCTGAGCTGCTGACCCATCTCTGAGTATTGAGGCACTGTGCCTTGTTTCACCTGCGAAATATAAAATATGAATAAGAATGTAATAGGCTATTCTCCAACTTTTTGTTTTTTTTTTAAATGTTCGTATATATCTTAAGCTACTTCTGCGCGGTAGCACCCGCTCTGCTCGGCTCCTATTTACCGTAGCGTGATGTTTTGTAGCTTATAAAGTTCCTCGATAAATGTACTATCTAACACAAAAAGAATTATTGAAATCGGACCAGTAGTTCCGGAGATTAGCGAGTTCAGATTAGCAGTCATACTTACGACCACTCGGCCAACGAGGCACATTATAGATTTTTATAATTCTATATTATACTAGAATTTTCTCTATAGGTATAAAGGCCCTTTGAAATATCGTTATAATCTACTATATAAAAATAAGTAGGTTTTCCTTCCTGACGCTATAACTCCAGAACGCACGAACCGATTTCAACGGTTTTGCATTCGTTGGAAAGGTCTCGGCCTCCGTGAGGTTTATAGCAAAGAAAATTCATTAATCACCAAACGAAATGTTACATAAAACGAAGCCATCTGGTGGCGAAACGGAGTTCGCCGGGTTTGCTAGTTTATTATGTTTTCGGCTTACTCACGTAATAATTTGACGAGGAACTCGACTAGTTTCAAGCCATGCTAGAAAATTATTACGTGTGTAAGCCGAAAACATAATAATTTATTTAGTATGTCTCACGGAAGTTACAATACAGATATCGTTATAATTACCTTGAGCCGAGTATTTCTCCTCTCGCGTAGAGTCTGTACGAGTCGGTCCACGTCTCCGTGCCGCAGTACTGCGTCCAGCACCTTGCGTGGGATCGGCTCCGATAGACTCTCCAACAAGAGTTCCGGCCTCTCCACCTACAATATATTAAATTATTCTAGTTAACTGCTCTTTTATATCCCTTCTCTGGATAATTATATTGATGATCAAAGTCAAAGTCAAAAAAATTTATTTCAATTAGAACAAAAATTTATAGTGAAGCTATTTGCTTCACAAGAAACTTCATAGGTACCTACACATGGCAATTTATAAAAAAAATATTGATAAGTCAATAATTATTTCATTGGTCACAATAAACAGGCAGTCATTCGTCGATCCATTTCATCATCAACAGCCTATAAGTGCCCACTGCTGAGCAAAGCCTCTTCTCACACGGAGAAGGTTAGAGCATTAATCACCATGCTTGCTCAATGCGGGTTGGCGATTTCAAACTTATAATTAGAAATTATAAGCCCAGGTTTCCTCACGATGTATTCCTTCACCGTTTGTCAGTGGTGTCTAAATAATCTTAGAAAGTACATATGACTCGGAAAAAGTCACATTGGTACTTGCCGTTGGTAGGTTTCGAACCCGCACCCTCATGCATGAGAAGTGGGCGTCTTAAACCTCCGGGCCACCATGACAGGAAGCTATTAGCTCATTCTAAAGTGTAGATTCCTATGGAGAAGAACGAGCAAGAAACTCCATAAGTACCTACACATTGCAATTTATAAAAAAAAATATTGATAAGTCAATAATTATTTCATTGGTCACAATAAACAAGCAGTCATTTGTCGATCCATTTGACTTTTATAATAAAAAAAACTATACGAAACTTTTCGAGAATGACCTATTAGTTTCAAGCCATACCGGAGCTCACATTCATAAACTTTGCGCAACTAAGTCCATATTATTAAGGACATCGAAAACTTCAACAATACTTATTCTCACATTAGAATCCAAGAACTTGCTTAAAATGTTTTGCAATCATTTTTTCGATAATTTAACCGTCATTTTTGAAGTAAATAACCGTAATATTTAGTATGTTACGAAATATATATATACCTGTATAAGTTTGTGTTTGAGATGTGGCCAGACGAGTGGCAGTATCTTGCAGTGCACGTCGATCGGGTTCATTAGACTCGCCACACACGACACTAGCCCACATACTTCTTGCCGGATCTACGGAGATGGTGTGATTAATATTATTTATTAGTATAAATATTGCGGTGTTTTAGATTTAAGTGAGATTCTGAAAGAGTTTGTGGACTATTTTGAGGGGATTTTTTTAAGGAGGGAAAATCATCGAGTGATTTTTCCTGCCTGAGTGAGGCGTGAGGGAGTGTCAGACTCTTACTGACTAAAAACCACCCCGTTCCTTCTCCTGCACTTCGAGCCGGAGCCCCGGGAACCCGTTAAGTCCTCCGCGACTCCGTATCGGCATCAGCCCTATTGGGCCAGTGATTTTGAAAGGATATAGATTAAAAATTAGGAGAATTAGGTTCATAAACAAAAATATTTCAATATCGATCGAAATCGAAATGTAGGTATGTAAAGAGGTAACTATGAATGTACTGACCCACAAGTTAGGGTGTGCCAGGAACACGGCGCTCTCCGCGACGAGGTCACACAGCGTCTGTTTGTTCAGCAGGCCCAGCTCCGACAGGCTGGTCGTGGCGCGGACTGCCTTCGAGATTATCCACTCCGACTGGTCCGTCAGGCCCTGGGTACAAAGTAATGATGTTTAGACCAGGGCTGTCCAAACAAAGGCCCACGGGCCGCATGCGGCCGCGTCTTATTGTCATGTGGCCCGCGACACACATTTTAATCTTAACGTCTACATCGAATGTGTACAACAATAATAAAGTTCAGTGTTTGTCTGTGAGTAAAGAATGTAATGTTAAACGTCATTATACAACTGAAAATATTTTTCTGGCCTTTTAGTTTTTGTAAGAAATTTAGTTAGCCCGCAAGGGTAAATAGTTTGGACAGCCCTGGTTTAGATAATACTAGCTGCTGTCTGCGGCTTCGCCCGCGTGGGATAAAAGTAGCGTCTCTATTTTTCCAAACCAAAATTATTTATTTTTTTATTTATTTATCTTTATATCACACAGGTAAGTATTTTATAATCTAAGCCCCACAAAACCGATGCAATGGTTTGACTGCGGGGTCAAGTCGCTAGATATTACAATTAAATGTAAACCCGTTTTAAATTTCATTCAGCCGTTCTGAGGTGATTGAGTAACAAATATACACACAAACTCACAAAGTTTCGCATTTATATTATTATTATTACATATAATAAAATCGTAGAAAAGGCAAAACTGTTCACTGAATATTTTTTTAAAAGAATACTTGGGGCGTGATCTACAATCGATACTGAATCCAAAAATATGGTTTTTAGAAGTTTTGTCTGTTTGTCTGCATGTATGTTCGGGATGATCTCAAAAAGTACTGCATGGATTTTCAAATTTTGCATGAATATTACTGACTACTACTACCCCAAATCCCCAAAAGCCAGGTAATGCTCTTGTAACGCGTCTGGTGTCCCGGGTGTCCATGGGCGACACCGATTGCTTACCATCAGGTGATCCGTCTACCCATTTACAGACTTATCCCATACAGGCTTTTCTTTCTTCTCCTCTTATAATATCTTCTGATTCACTTCGTTGCGGGAACCAAGACAGTTACTCATGTCCCTGGGACGCGCCGGACTTCAGCGTTCCGGTGTTTTCATAGTTGGTATCTACTGTAGATACTAGCTTACAGGAGTTGCAGCGGTTCTGGGAGGTTGTGGCGGGCTTGTGTCATAAAAAAAGGCTTATCCCATAAAAAAAAATACTGTATTATAATAATACCTGTTGCAATAGCGGCACGAGTATGGGCGCGGCATGGTGTCCGACATATGCGGCGACTCCTACAACTCTCTCGAAGAAGCACCCGCGCAGTGCCGCCTCCTCCTTGTCGTTTAGGAATGTAACCATATGGGAGAGGATCACGTCGTTTGCTATAACGAGAAAAAACTTTTAAATCATTCATTGAGGTGATTTAGGTCATAAACTTTGTGCCTTGTTTATAAACAGTTTTACTAAGCTTTTTTTTATAAAGGGGGAAAATAAAATAAAAGTTTATAAAGGGGGAAAATAAAATAAAAGCTTGTACATAATAATTCTTTTATAAACTACGTTCATAATACTTTTACCTGCTTTTACCCGCGGCTTCGCTCGCGTCACAAAAGGATGAAAGTAGCCTATGTGACATATTATTATACCAATACACACAGCGCCATCTATACCAATACTTTTTTTTCCCTCGGAAAAACAAATTTTTCCATGATAAAAAATACCCTATTATTTAATCCAGACTTCTAACTTCACGTCTGCAAAAATTCAAAGCAATCGGTTTAGTAGTTACGGCGTGAAAGTGGAACAAACAAACAAACAAATAAACTCACTTTCCGATTTATAATATTAGTAAGGATTATTTATTTATTTATTTAGACTTAGTACAAAAACAAATCTACAGGTGGACTTAATGCCTTGGGCATTGTCTCACAGTCGACCTTAAGGTGGTACAGAGATGAAAGTGGCAGGTGACTAAGCAAATATTAATAACTAGCTACTTGCGCGCGGTTTCACACGCTCTGCTCAGCTCCTATTGGTCGTAGCGTGATGTTTTATAGCCTATAGCCATCCTCGATAAATGCGCTATCCAACACAAAAAGAATTATTCAAATCAGACTTGTAGTTACGGAGATTAGCGCGTTCAAACAAACAAACAAACAAACTCTTCCGCTTTATATAATAGTATAAGAAATATAAGATAAATAATTACATATAAATACTTACTTAGATAATTATATATATACAGCCATACATATATATGTACACATACATCCAAAACCTATATCATATAATAGCATTACTTATTTATAAGTGGCCTTAAATTTGAAATATATCTTTTACCTTTCTGTTTCCCAAAGAAGATGCACAGCTTCGTGATACCGTTCTCTACCAGCGCTCGCTTCACGACCGCTTGGGAGTCTGTCAGGAGATACGATACTGTTGACCGGACCTGGGACGAACCGATAAACAGTAAGTCACATTAATAGGGTAGACGACTAATTTTTATTTTAATGTCCGTCTGATAGATTATTTAAAAACATTAGACACGTATTTTTTATTTTCTCACAGAAACGAATAGTTTCGAAGATATATTGATTTGAAATGTCGCGTGACGTCACTTCTCAGTACATTTTATACTAAGAAATGACGTTTTAGCCCCCACTCCTAAACTTTGATTCGTTTTATCTAAGTATTGTTTTATTATACGACAAAATAAAAAAATACGTGTCTAATATTTTTTCATTACCTAACTTTCGGACTAATTATATTTTTAATTTTCATACCCTGTCATCATCCCCATTGCCCTACTCTAAGGTGTTATATCTTTCGAGGATGTAATGGTGCCAATTAAAGTCCGTTAATTCCAAATATACGTTTATTACAAATTTTTAATGTTACTCGGTCGGTGGGCTACGGGTAAGTGAACGATGATGACTGATTTCTATTTAAAGTAATATGCGCCTGAACAAAACATAATAGCAGCAATAGCGAACGCATTTTATTTGCATTATATTTCTTGAAGGCGTTTAAGTCTGAACAAAAGGTATTTAAACTGTCAAACACCAGACACCGGTAACCGCAACCTATTGTTCTTTCATCATCATCATAACATCACGCCTTTTTATCTCCGAAGGGGTAGACAGAGGTGCACATTATGCCACTGTACAATGTAACACCCATTTTTCACTATTTATGTTATGAGTCCCATGTAATAGGGGGTGAGCCTATTGCCATATCCTGGGCACAATTCCAGAGTCCGTGCTACTACTGAGATTTTTTTAAAAAAAACCAATAATACTTTGCCCGACCCGGGAATCGAAACCGAGACCCCTTGCCCGGTAGTCGCACTTACGACCACTCAGCCAACGAGGCAGTCTTTAATTGTGTCTATAATGACGGTACTCAACGAGTTAATAATTATTTAACCCAGCCTTTGGTAATTGGGTAGTTTTCAGGGTAAGAAAATTAAAAATCTAATTAGTCCGTCAGTTAGATAATGAAAAAATATTAGACACATTTTTTTTATTTTCTCGTATTAAGTTGCAATATTTAGATGAAATGGCGCTAAGTTTTGGAGTAGGAGGTCATAACGTGCTACAAAATGTGACACGCTGTGACGTCACATGATATTTCAAATTAATAAATTGTCGAAAGCATTTAATTTTTTGAGAAAAGAAAAAAGAAAAAATACGTGTCTAATGTTTTAAAATAATCTACCAGACGGACAATACAATAAAATTTAGGAAACTAGCCTATTGTTTTCGGAACAAAATCGTCGGTAATGTCGCCACACCTTACACTTAAAAAATTTACGAGTAAAAGTGCTGCCTTGTAGCCTATTTGCAGAAATAAATTCACTTGTACTTTTTTCTTTATTTTTTTAATCATTGCCCCACACTAGGATTTTCTCCTGTGTCGTGGGTGCGTTTACAAACATACAAGTTCATATACACATCACACCCAGACCAGGAATAACAATCTGTGGATGACATAAAGAGTTGGTCCGTGCGGGAACCCAACACGCGACACTTGTAACGCCTCTGGTGTTCCAGGTGTCCATGGGCGACGCCGATTGCTCACTATCAGGTGATCCGTCTGCTCGTTTACCGGATTATGCCATAAAAAAAACGTATGGAAATAATTACTTCTATCTACTGAGTTAATAACATACCATTTCATGCAGTGCAGATAATTCAGTCTCATAATTAATGTTAGCTGCCTCTTTATCCACCATATTCTGTGTCTGATCTAGAAATCGAACCGCTGTTTCTGCCAATCTCGCTGAAAACAATATATTGTTTAATAAATATATAGTATAGAGCAATTAGTTGTTGCGCAAATATTGCGCTAATGTTGTGTACTGGCGCTAAAAGAGAAAAGTTAGCGCAAACAATATAAATAGCTAAAGTGAAAGGCATTTTTTTTAAGGGGAGAAAATCATCGAATGACTGCTCCCGCCTGGGTGAGGCGGGAGGGAGTGTCAGACTCTTACTGACTAAAAACCACCCCGTTCCTTCTCCTGCACGTCGATGCGGAGCCCTGGTTACCCGTTAGGTTCTCCGCGACAAGTGAAAGACATTTGTGGTAAGTTTTTAGCCAGATTAAGATGAAAATCGTTTGTTCGTTCGATAAAAGGTCTGGAAATAGATTTGTTGTTTATTTTTCCATACGCGCTAAGTAGGCATGAATATAATTGTAGTTTTGTAAGGGTTTTGTATACTAAACAACAATAAAATTAAAGTTCAAAACTCACCAATATTATTAGCATAAGCGATCCTGACAGGCACACTGGGGTCGGTGGCCCTGGGCGCCAGCTCGGGCAGTATGTACTCCGGGAACACGTTGCAGTCCGCGTGCGGCAGCCCGCGCACGGCCGCCACGGCGCGCGCGCAGGTATACACGGCGCGCGCGCGCACGCGGGACATACTGTCGTGGGACAACTGGATCTGTGGGGGGGAGGTAATGATTCATTATCATTTTCACTAACATATCACCACAAGATCAACAAAGACCTAAGAATTTTAAGATATTTTAAGCCACGGTAGACGAGTAAACGGATCATCTGGTGATAAGCAATCGATGTCGGCCATAGACACCTGGAACACCAGAGGTGTTACAAGTGCGTTACCGGCCTTTTGGGATTAGGAATTTGAGAAATACAAAGAAGTGGGGAGATTGGGGAAGGGGGGGGGGGGTAGTCGGGCCTCCAGTATCCTCACGCGACGAAACACAACGCAAGCGTTGTTGAAGCGTGGCTCTCACACTTAACGGTATTAGTCACAATACTTAAGTTTATTCCATTTTATAGTTATAAATGAAAATTTTGATAGAATGATTTTAGTTTGTAAGGTTTGTAGTTTGAATTCTGCCAATCATATAAATTAAATTGTTCTTTTTACTATGAGAATCCTCGTCCCTTAGTAACAGTGCGACTAAGGATAAAAAGTCAGAGAAAAAATGTCCAACATTATCTTGAGTTAAAGTATTGTTGGGTACTTTGTTAGTACTATCAGTCATGATAAAAATGTTCGCAACAATAGAGTACTTTCCTAAATTTTATTTTAATGTCGGTCTAGTAGATTAATTTAAAACATTAGACACGTATGTTTTCTTTTCTCACAAAATTAAATACTATCGACGATATGTTCATTTGAAATATCGTGTGACGTCACAACGTGCTACATTTTGTATCACTTTGTGACGTCGACCTCCCACTCCTAAACTTAACACCATTTTATCAGAGTATTGTAACATTATACGTGAAAATAAAAAAAATACGTGTTATGTGTTTGTGGTATAGTCTATGGTCATAATATAGTCTATTATTATAATACGTGTCTAATATTTTTTATCTTCTAACTGACGGACAAATTAGATGTTTAATTTTCATACCCTAGCAACTACCATATTACAAATCAATGAAACCTGTACTTACGATATACGGCAAAATCCTGTCCAATATAGTTTCTGAACTAGAGTTCTCACACAGCAACTGCAAAATCTCCAAACTATACAATTTCGAGGTACAATGATGCAAGCCTCTAATACATGACGTCACCAGTGACGTAATCAAGATCAACCCTTCACTGTCAGGGCTCAAATCTTTAATCTCAGGCGCCTTATCGTCGTCATCGTCAAAATCTGTAGTATTTACATTTAATACTTTAAAATTGTCTTTTAATTTGTCAATATTGTCCACTGATTGGTGTTCTGTGGTCTCTTCGACTAGATCTTTATAGTTCTTGGCGTCTGAAGGTTGAGTGAATATTTTTATTATGTTCTTAATGTCTTGGTGGATGCGGAGTATTTTCTCGTCTGCTGGTAGAATTGGCTGGCCGGAGAATATCAGCATGTACGATTGGAGGAACGAGTAAAAGTACTCAGGGAATAATCTGGAACAAAAATAGGAGGAAATTATAGGAATTTAGTGGGTGTCCTTTTATAAAGTTTGGTTTGATGTAGAAAAGAATGCAAGAGCATGCACTTAAGTTGAATAATGAACTTTAATTTCTACTGAAAACAAGGTATGATAACAAATCTGAGAATGTATTAAGTACTAAAGATTATTAACGAGCATTTTAAGTATTCGAAGTAATCCATAACGTACAATTGTTATTTGTAACACAGTAACAAACTCTAGATGTGTATAAAAAACAGGGAAACAATTGGGTACTTTCCTTAATCAAAAATAAATTATTTCGGCTGTTCAATACAATAAAATATTAAAAAATAATCACACTTTCATTAATTGAATTTATGACCAACTTAATCTTAGTATTTCTAATAAATAAGTACGTTTGACACAAAAAAAAGGTGACGTCACAATAGGGTAGATGAATAATTATGTTAAAACATTAGACACGTATTTTTTATTTTTTTACAGTAACGAATACTTTCGATGATATATTGATTTGAAATGTCGCGTGACGTCACTTCTATGTACATTTTACACGTAGAAATGACGTTTTAGCCCCCACTCGTAAACTTTGATTCGTTATATCTAAGTATCATTTTATTATACAGCAAAATAAAAAAAAAAATACGTGTCAAATATTTTTTCATTACCTAACTGACGGACTAATTAGATTTTTAATTTTCATACCCTGTCATCATCCCAATTCACAATCTCGTACAAAATTCATAGAAAACTGTCGTTTTTGGCAGTTCGAAAAAAGTATTGAATTTGACTGGTTGGTAAGTACCGTATAAGAATAAAGAACAAATATCAAATACTTCAAACCTTACTACCGTCAAAAACTATTAAAAATTGTACTCACTTCCCTCTAGCTTCATCAAGATACAGCTCAGCAGACTTCCTATCCCTGGGGTTTCTTTCAGTCATGGAGTGCAGTAGATTCTTCAGGTCTTCATCATCAGTGCTGAGGGTCATGGTGGAAGGTCTGTCCTCACCGTTACGGTACGCGAGGAGACCTGGCAGGTCCAGTGCTGGGGTTCCATCGTTCCATAACTCAAGGAGGGCACAACTGTGGAGGATTGTAAAGTGGGTAAAAAGAAGGTAGACATATATGTGATGTGGTTTCTGTTGTTATATTGGTTTGCCCTCTTCTGCTAAAGCTTTTAGAAAGACGAGAAAAGGGTGTGTTTTATGTAATGTATGTTTGTTTGTTTGTTTGTTTGAACGCGATAATCTCGGTAACTACTGGTCCGATTTGAATAATTCTATTTGTGTTGAATAGAGGATTTATTGAGTAACGTTATAGGGTATAAAACATCACGCTACGATGAATAGGAACCGATCAGGGCGTGTGAAACCGCGCGGAAGTAGCTAGTATGAGATTATTGTGCGCTGTTTTACTCGTGGCGTGGCTGTTATGGGTCGTATCATGATGTAATATGGCCTTCCTCAACAAATTGGCTATCCTTACTAATATTATAAATCTGAAAGTGAGTTTCTTTGTTTGTTTGTTTATTTCACCTTCACGCCGTAACTACTCAACCGATTGCTTTGAATTTTTCAGACGTAAAGTTAGAAGTCCGGAATAAATAATAGGGTACTTTTTAACCCGGAAAAAATTGATATTCCCAAGGAAAAACAAAAGTATTGGTATAGATGGCGTTGTGTGTATTGGTATATGAAATATAGGCTACTTTTTATTCTTTTGTGACGCGAGCGAAGCCGCGGGTAACAGCTAGTTTAATATAAAAGTATTTTTTCAGTGCAAACGAGTAGTTTTGGAGCCAACTGTGGCGACACTAAGGTGTTGATATTTTTTATGTGTTCTCAAGTGCGTTGCTGCGCCTGCGACCGTATAGCGTAAGCACGCCAGTGGTCTCCCAACTTTGGTATTAACCAGTAATATTTTGTAATATAAGAATAGCTGTGAATTGTGTATTTCTTAGAACAATACAAACACAAAGTTTTATCTATTTCATTTTGGACTTTCATTGAACACACAAACTATGCTAGAGTCAAGTGAATTTAAATAAGAATACACACCACACACTAAATTGGAGACCCCGCGAAAACTGTTCCGTGTAAATTTCGTGAAAAATCAAATAAACTATAACATGTCGATTCCTGACCTTGCGGCGATTACCGTAGCTTTGGAGTTTCGGAATTTTGGAGTTTTGAGGCCTTAGTACGTAAAGTAATCGTAACGAGTACGCGTTCGGCGCTGTGATTGGCCGGTGCCAATGATCCAACCAATCAAAGCGCCGAATGCGTTCTCGTTTCGATTACTTTTAACGTAAAACTAACACGTACTAGGCCCTCAGGACGCATCAGCCGAGAGTGTAGTTTATCCGGACTGAAGCAGTATTAGCACCTCAAAAACTAGGAGACGCCTCAAAATTCGATTTGGTAGTGGATAGAATAATTTGACTCACCCAGCCGAGAATATGTCCATACTCGGTACCAGTTCACCAACTTTACAGGGTGATTCGCTCAGCAACAACCCACCCATTTTGTCGTCACCCTGTTAGGAAGTATTATTATTATTAATATTTGTTACATAACTTCACGCCTTTTATCCCCGAAGGGGTAGGCAGAGGTGCACATTACGGTACTTAATGGCATTGTACAATGTAACATCCACTTTTCACTATTTATGTTATGAGTCCCATGTAATAGGGGGTGAGCCTATTGCCATATACAGGGGACAGCTGCAGACGCCGTGCTGCTACTGTATTATTTATTTATTTATCATAATGCAAACAAGGAGACGGATCACCTGACGGTAAGTAAGCAATCAGTGCTGCCATTGTCGCCCATAACCAAAGGAGTCTCAAATGCGTAATTGACCTTTCAAAGAAGCACTATGCTCATCATCATCATCAGGTTGTAATACTCTCACTGCTGAGAAAAGGCCTCCTTTCACACGGAGACAGAATAACCACCAAGATAAGTGTAGGAGAGCCATGCTTCGGCACGAATGGCCCGGCTCGACCGGAGTGATACCACGGCCCCGCAGAAAACCGACGTGGAACAACGTTTGCGTTGTGTTTCGTCATGTGAGTGAGGTTACCGGAGGCCCAATTATCTCCCCTCTCCAATCCCCGAATCTCCCACAATCCTCAAATCCCCAATTCCCAAAAAGCCGGTAACGCACTTGTAACGCCTCTGGTGTTCATGTTCATGGACGACGCCGATTGCTTACCATCAGGTGATCCGTCTGCTCGTTTACCGGCTTATGCCATAAAAAAAAACAAATTATACTTAAGCAACTTACCCCAGGTCTATTATGTGGGTCGGGTGCCCTCACGAATCTCTCAGGCGCGACGTAGCAGAGCCTCCTGCGTGATGTGTCGAAGAAGTAGCTGAAGTCTGCAGGATTATCATCAGGCAGGAAGGTCGGTTTGAACGATGCTATGTCTGTCAGCAGTACCCATAGCCAGGATGTCACCATTACATTTTCTAGCTGAAATTAATAAATAAAAACACTTCATAGTTTAATTATTAGTCCAATCGATGGAGCTCGGAACTGTGATTGACAACTCATTTGAATGTAAAATCTTTTTTGAAGAGGAGGCCTCCCTAAGAAACAAACGAAATCCTGATAATAAGTGAAATTCTCAGGCCTTCATATTCGAAATCTTTTATGTCGTTGATCTGGGGGTACGGCAGTGCTCCCGCTAATTCGAGCGCGAAATAAACCCTGCCGTACCATCCTTTACTGTAACTATTTCGCCGCATTTTTGAGAATCTCTGGATAAGACCAGAACGCAGACCAGCCTAGTCACACAAAATTAACTATAATATAATAATAAAGAAATCACAGTAAGGAACCTTAGACTTGGCACGACTTTGTCTAAATTTCATTACTTTTTAAAGACGAACGATCGGCTCCATCGAGTCTTGGCTAGTTTTTTACAGAATATTTTTGGTTGTATTAATTTTACACCGACATCCATTTTTGCGAGCACTGCTCCAGTAAGATATTTTACAGATTTTCCACAAAAATGTCACATTTGTCTAAAAACCGAAGACCGTTAGACATGCTCTGGAGTTGTGCTAGGCGGAGTGACAATATCCTTAAACTGGTCAGCAGTACTGAACATTGAGCTTAAGTGCGTACTAGGACTTACATGACCAAGCAGCAACGAACTCTCCTCACACAATCTTTTTATACATACTTGTCTGGACTTCAAAAGAGACAGACCTCTGAGTTTGTTTCGGCATTTCTTCTCAGAGTAGTCAGTTAGGAAATGTCGACCTCATCGTTCGCTTGATAAAATTGACGTGTAAAAGTGCTGCCTTGTAGCCTATTTGCAGAAATAAATTCACTTGTTTCACTTGAATGGAAACCGGTCTGTGGTTTTCTTGCAGAGATGGAAGATAAAATTACTTTTACCACTTACTTTGATATCCCCATGACATATTCCGAGTTTGTGCATGCGATGTAAAGCGTAAAGCACTTGGAAGGTGATCCATTTCTTCTCCAAGGTGGTCAGGAATGGGCGTGTGGACATGCGGTCGTATACGCTGAACTTGCAGTACTCACGCATTAACAGACCTGCCTTGTCTGTTAGCTGTAAATAAAATTAATACCATGTAGTATGGCAAGTCAAAAATTTCTCAAAAAAAGTATTATCTTGTTGGGATTTACGTATTAAGTAGCCTCATACTCGACTCGATACAAGAATTTGTAAGATAATACAAGAATTTGTAACTCACTGGTAACCGATGTTAGTGGACAATTGATCTTCAGGAGTCATCTATTAGAAGAAAGGCTTGACTAACAAAACTAAGCATTATATATTTTTTAATATTCATTAATCAATCTTTTTACGCAACCTTGTCAGTTGAGGGTACTCTTAAAAATATTATTTATCATATTGAAAACTTACAATAACTCTTTGATACGGCAGACAGTTGAATGCAGAAGCTAGTTGCTCTTTTATCTTCAGGATCCGCTCCTTATGCTCCGCTAATGGTAGCGAAGGATCATGTACCGCAAACACCTTTACAACCACAAGTCCTTCACGGGATCTCGCACGAGCAACCTTCAAGAATCGGGTAGAACCGAGGCTGGAAAAAATTGAAATAAATTCATGATTTATCACCATAAACCTGGAACCTTAATATATAAGTGTGGGAGAGCCATGTTTTGGCACGAATCGGCCGGCTCGAGCAGAGTGATACCACGGCCTCACAGAAAACTGACGTGAAGCAACGCCTGTGTTGTGTTTTGCCATGTGAGTGAGGTTGCCGGAGGCCCAATTTCCCTCCCCTTCCCCAATCTTCTCAATTGCTGAATCCCCAAAATCTCCCCAATTAGATGATTTTAGCTATATACAGTTGTTATTACATTACAATATTACATGTGTTATATTAACTGTTTTACATATTAAATTGTTATTTAAGCACAGTAGTCCCATTATGAAAAATCTACAACATTGTTTATCAGAAGTAGTCTCTAAACACTGGAAATAAGGTCTATAATGGTGTAAGTGGAGAGTGGTCACCAGAGACCTCTCGGATATTGTCCAGTTGAATGTGATTTATGCATTATACATTATAATTTTACTTGAAAAGAGAAAAAATATATACAAGTTTTCTGTCTACAAGTCTGCAATAATGTGTGTGTGGGTAGATGTGAAAACTCAAAACCATATGTATGATTTTCAAAGTGTGAATCCAATCTGTTAGTTTAGTTGCATATTAAACTGTCGAACACCAAGCGGTCACCGGTGACCGCAACCTATTGTTCCTTAACTGTGTCTATAATGACGGTACTCAACGAGTTAAATATGTGTTTCTTATCTCCTAGTTATGTTACTACAAAAGTAATGATTGTATACTTTATATAATTATGGGATAACATCTTGTTGAGTACCGTAAAATGGGGTGAATAGGGACAGAAGAAGGGTGAATCAATACTATGAAGAATTTCCTTATATCTATTCACCCCTCTCTGTCCCTCAACGCCGCTTAAACCCTATTCCCCCCATTGTACTACTACCATATCCAGCATTAAAGTACTTTTAATTAAACAAAAGATCCAACTTTTCTTCATAAGTTTTAGAAATCAGTTGTTTAAAATCATATGTTAACAAAGAAGCGATGTCAAGGCGTAAATTTAACTTTTGGATTTATTTAACAACGCCATCAAGTGATTTTTATCAAAATACCTACATATCAATGTTAATATTGATAGGTGTTACAAAAATTGATTCATACCTCTGATCGAACGCTAGGTCCACATGGTCACTCAGATAATGTTCTACAGGATATATTTGCGACGGTGCAACCCCCACAAGCTGATTTCCCATTGTGAGATTTTATAATTTACAAGTAATTCAATCTAACACATTTCCTGATTTATTTGTCTAGGAGTCTTGCCCTCCAAAAATTCTGAGATCTTGAAAAATTTACTTATCTAGTATATTATTAATTAACACAATAATTACGATTTAATAATAGAAAATTAATCTTGAATAAGTGCACGTATGTATTCAAAACAAAGCAAAATTAGCAATTTTTGACAATTTACTGCCAGCTGCCAGTTCGAAAGTTTGACAATAATTTGCTGCCAGTGTTACCAACAATTGTAATCGGTTGTCCCTAAACTGTAGTTAAAACCTCTAAATACTCACTAATTGAAATAAAGAAGAAATAGGCACCGATAGTTAATCGTCCTTACTTCGCTACCCTCTCTAGTTTTAACAAGATCGTGCTAATGCTTAATTCAGAATAAGAATTTAATAAAGAAAGATTGAATAGTACCATGTAAAATGCAAGAAGATTTTATACTCTAGGATTATTATGTTTGATTTTGTTCAGACATTCACATTATTAAAAATAAAACATACATCGCCTTCAGGCAAGATATGTTTTGTTAATTATCATGTATTTTAGTTTTATTCTTTGTCCCTTAGTTAGGGAGAAAACGGTAAAGTTGGAAACCCAAATGACTGAGTGACAAATGCGTTCGGAAACTGTAAAGGTATTTATTTCTTATTTCGTTTTAAATATCGATGAGACTTTAAGATTTTCATAATATTAAAACCTGATTTAGTAACGATAGCCACTACATAAGTAAAATAAAGTGAGAAATAGTAGTTTTTATTAATATTTTTTTGTCTTTTGATTGAATAACTGCGTGCAAGGTTTTTTTATTGCCGTCAAAAATCATAGAGTAAAATGACAACACAACTCATCAAATCTACTGTCATATTAGCTCTATGGTTTCTCTTTCCTTCAACAAACAAGCATTCCACTAGAGATGGGTCGTTGACGGTATTAGCGTGAACGAAACTAGACCGTTCATTTTCGTTCATCGACTAGTCGATGAACCGGTTCAAAATATAGACGGTTCACGGTCTCGTACATTATGAACGATGGGTCGTGTCGACAAGCGAGCGACTGACGCGACGCGACGTCGAGTGGACTGAATGTAATACATTGATTGTACTATGTAAACAGTTCTGCGTTCGATGTACCTGCCTATTGCACTGGTTATTGTAATTAGAGAAACCATCGTTTCTTGATCTTCCCTTCATACTTTTTCCAGGCTTAGGACTGGCTGAATAAAATTCAGGCGTATTTAGAAGATCAACTGATTTTATTTACATTGATTGATTGATTGTTTCCTTTTTTTATATATTTTTTTAAATTTTTGTCTTTTTTATTTTTTTTATATATTTTTGTTTTTATTTTCATATATTTTTCTTACTTTTTTTAATTTGTTTATTATTTACAATCAAATCAATTCTTCATGTATACATATATTATTTGGTTTCAAAGCCCTTAAACCTTTCATTTGTAGAATTGACATTTATGAACATTATTTGTTCTACTTTACTGGTGGTTAATCTTGTGCGTCTTTCATTTAAGATAAGTCCAGTTTTAGAAAACATCCGCTCGCAAGGAACGGATGTGGCCACTATGTTGCACTGCGTAACATATATCCTTTTTAAATTAGGGTACACATATTGGTGTTGTTTCCACCATTCCAGAGGGCATGTTAAATTACCTGCCTGATCTTTCCGTGGCAACAACTCATCGGAAAGGTACATGTCAACTTCCTTTATCGCTCTCGAAAGTGGCGTTCCTTGAGCAACGCTCGTTGCTACCATCTTGTCAAATATTTTCCATGGGCTAAACTCTTCATCGTGATCGGTTTCTGTTGTTTCGGGAGTAACTGTAGGTGTTGCAGCGTTTTCTGACATACTGATCATAGAGGCCACTAATTTTCGGACCTTTTCTTTAGTTTTCATGGCTTCGTTGGCGTCCGAAAAGCCCTGCATTTTGAAACGCGGATCCATGAATGTGGCCAAAGCAAATGTTCCACTTTGTTCAATTAATTTGAACCGCTCTGCTAAACCTCGCTGAAGAAGCAGTACAGTATCGCGTGCGTCTGATACCAGATCAGAACGGTCTAGCAGCTTCTGACATGCTTCTTTTAAGCATCGTGTGACAATAATAACCGAACTTCCTGTTATGTATTTTTCTCCGCTCATGGAAGAAGTTATTTCTTCAAAGGGGCGCAATATTTGACACAGTTGTTTATACAAAGTCCAGTCATCAGGATTAATGACTGGAAGATGTCTATCGACGAAACCCAACGTTGCCCGCATAGCATCTTCCAGCTCCACGAAACGCTTTAACATGAAATATGTGGAATTCCACCGAGTCTCAACTGCTTGGATTAAACGTTTAGGTTCTAATCCTAATTGAGCCTGGTATTTTTGTAGCCTTTCTGATGAGACAGTGCTTTTTTTCACATGTGCTACTACACGTTTAACCTTGTCAATCTGTGGCTTTATTTGATGCAGTGCACTCTCGACCACTAAATTAAGGCTATGAGCATAACAGCCAAAGTGCTTCCAGCCTAAATTTTCTTTGACTGCCTTGACAACGTTGGCTGCGTTGTCTGTAACCATGAAATTAACTTTATGTTTTAAATCATATTTATTTATTATTTTCTCAATTTCAAAGGCGATATTTTCTGACGTATGATGACCTTCAAAATGACAACAACCTAGAAGTACAGTCTTAAATTCTAGGTAATCCGTCAGGTAGTGCCCGGTCAGTGCGAGATAGCTCTCAGTTTTCAATGACGTCCACATGTCGGCAGTTAAACAAATGCTGTGGACTTCTTTTTTTAATTGATTTTGAACAGTATCAAAAAGCTTTGTATAAGTTTCCTGCATTATGGAGTTGGATAGTGTTTTTCTGGTGGGCAGTTGGTAACCGGGTATCCACCGGCAGAATTTACGGAATGCACGCTCCTCAACGATGGAAAATGGATGAAAACTGTCCACACAAAGATCTAATAATCATGATTTATTTGTTTTTTTTGTTCATTACTTATCTTCTTATTTAGATAAGTATCCATAATTTTTTGGCGTTTTGCAAGAGACTCCACTTTATCCTGAACATGGGTACTGGTACTGGTGCTGGCGGTGCTAGTGCTAGGTACGCTACATGTCGAACTCGCACCCAAGTCACCCAATACATCCGCTTGTTGCACAGTCAGGTTTGCTGGCGGTTGATTTATTAACTGGAGTAGGAGAAAACGGAAATATGTTTTCGTTTAAGGTGACTTTTTAAATTTGCGGTAGAAGATTTGTATGCAAGTTTTTCCTTGCACACATTACAAATTGCTTTCCCGCTAGCAGCATCTTTTCAAAATGGTGCCACAATTCGCTTCGGCCTGACATTATTTCTAGGTATGTCCTTTTATTTTACACTGTAATAACTATTACCCTAATATCTAAATATACACTACATAATTTACTACTGGTCTTCAGAGTGGAAATGATCACAGGGCGGGACAGGGGTTTCAATTAACGCCACGGATTTTAGCACACAAACGTATAATTATCGGCTCAAAGGTTCAGTCAACAGTTAACACTTGCCACACTACACTAGTAACAAATGTTCCTAATAAAAACTTGCCCAAAACATTGAAAACAAACAATAATAAAGATTTTTGGCGCGACAACGCGATCGTATGTCGGATCGTCGACTGTTACCGGACTCATTCGTTCAGCTTCGGCGCTGCTCGGGTTCGTTCGGTCGCGCGGCCGGCGGAGACTGACGGGGCGCGCGGGGATACCCGAACGTTAGTTGCTAACCGAATGATATTTTGAATGTCGCGCGCTACACTATTTATTTACAGTTACAGAGTACACACGAAATTAATGCAAAGCAAAGTTCACTATACATACGCACAAGCTTCGATCAACAAGACGAATACGACTAGATAAAAAACAAAAAAATAAAATACGTCGCTCGCATTGCAAATGTAGATGTTTACATGCGGTGCACGTTTCTTAGAAAAATCGCTACATTTCCTAGAAAAAACGTTGCCATTTGAGTGACGTATTTTGTTCCATATCTAGTCGTATGGTTGATCGAACCGAAAAACTTCAGTTTATTATAAACCTTAATGCTTGAAGATAAAGTTTAATTAATTAGTTTTACAAAAATATTATTTAAGTCCTTTTTTTAGAGGTACGAGCTCGAAATTTAAAATTTCGCTTGTAAAATAAAAAGTCATTAGTATAGAAATGTTTATTTGAAATGAAACTTAACCTCTAAGTAATAAAATTAAAAACTTTTGTTTACAATTATTGTGTGCTTATCTGTCGTAGTTCTTGGTATTAGCGGTCCATGGTATTTTAGGTATTAGTATTGTCCGTCGCGTCGTCGACTCATCGGAAGTTGTCTACGCATTGAACTAGTCTATCCGACAGACGTGAACAGTTGATACGTTCATGGACCGTCGACCGGTCTATTGGACCAGTCCGTTCATTCAACGCCCACCACTACATTCCACCCATTTTCATTGAATTTGATATCGTTTGCTTATAATATTTCAAAGAAATGTCTTCTAAAAGTGAAAAAGATCGAGCCAAACAGATCCAGGACAGATGTCAGAACATACTGATGCAAATGCTGAAGGATGAAGACAATAAATATTGTGTTGACTGCGATGCTAAAGGTACGCGGATTTTTTCTTATTTTGTTTGTTAATTTTTCTGATTAAGCTTCATAAATCTCAATATAATTGGGTAACGTAGTTCTCGAATTACTGTTTCTTCATACCTTGCGCAAATTTCGCGTTTGTAATTGAGGTCCTTGAACTCAATTTTAAAACATCGAAATTATTCAAATGACTCACGTTATCTCGTAATAACTGTCTTACTATCGCTTCGTAGCATACATTTCTACTATTTCCGTACTCTTACTTAGTTGGTGATTGTAAGGAACGTGAAATAATTAACCAAACAAATGTCTGACAAAAAAATCCTTCTTGGTTGAATGATTCATTGGAATGTGTTCAAAATGGAACGAAATTTCTCACTGACAGGTTCTAGTATTACCTGAATTCCTAATTAGCCTTGGCTATACCCTAATACCACTCTCAGTATCAGCAAAGTTCAAGAAATCACTGAGTCCTTAGAAAAATATATCCATAGATATGCTTGATGTGTTTTTTGAGACCAATGTAAGCTGTCATTCTGCCTCTATTGTAAAAAAATCAACTGTATTTGTTAGAAAAATCAGCTGATTGTGTGATGTCAGTCACATAAAAAAAATGTTCTTTTGTTACAATACAGTGTAGTACTTGTACCTACATAAAATTTTATGAATGTTAGATAATATTTACTGTGTACATACTTTTGTTAAGGACTACAAGAGGTTGAACATGAAATCAGAATTCTGTACAATAATAATTATATTTCAAAAATAATTTTCTGTAACAAAAAATGATGATATGTCAAATAAGTTTCTGAAATTGAAGCTTTATTTAGCTAAATGCTTTTCATGGTACTTGTTTGTTGTGTTTTTCTATCTAATCACTTTCTAAAACTATTTAACTCGTCGAGTACCGTATTTATAGACACAATTAACTCGTCGAGTACCGGTTTTATAGACACAATTAAAGAACAATAGGTCGCGGTCACCGGTGACCGCTTGGTGTTAGACAGTTTAAAGAACAATAGGTTGCGGTCACTGGTGACCGCTTGGTGTTTGACAGTTTAAACTTAAATTATAGTTCTAAATTATTATTGTGATTGATTAATGATAAGCAGTGTCAGGTCAATAACTTTCCTATCATCAAACAAGGTTTTTATCAATAAAACCATGTCTTCCCACATTTACACTATCTATGATATTCCGTGTATTTTTTAATTACTATTGCAAATGTGTTTCGTCATTCTTCCTTATCATTTAAATATTTTTATTTATTATATGTGACAGATCTTCTAATGATTATGAAGTGTTTCTATTTGCATTTAAATGGAATAATAATATGCATGTTGGTCTATAACAAGTGGCATAATATTATGATTGAATGCATTATAATAAATGCAATGGAGGCCAGTGACCATAATAATTGTGTTACATCAACTCTGGTGTGCCCTTAGAACAATGTGTTCAATACTTCATTCTCCTCAGTTATCCCTCTACAAGTTTTGTTTTTGAAATAGACCTTTTGAATTATAGGCTCTTACCTAAGGCTTTGATGCAAAATTAGCAAGCAAGAAGTAGTATATAATTGACTCTGGTCACACAATCTCTGGTCATCGTAAGCGTGGGCCTGCGGATGGCGAGCATGGGTGACTCGCCACCCGATCAGAACCAGACCCGAGCGTATAGCGCGTCGCGTTCGACGCGCGCCTCAAGGAGCCATCAGACCACCACAGATGGGGCCTAATAGGATTGTAATAGGGCTAAAAAATAGTAAAATAAATAACTTAATGGGTTACCGGGACTCCGGTTTGAAGTGAAAGAGTAGGAATTTTGGCCCCTCAAAAAAAGTAGTTGTAACTATATAATTAATAAATAGATATATCATATGTGGCTTCATATCTAAAATATGCATTGAATCCAGTGATCATGTTTCAGACAAGCCCTCTACATGTAAGGCAATATAAATTACCCACTAATTCTTCTTCACTATCTACTTATCTCAATGACAGGGCTCTTAATGGTAAATGTCCAACATTGAAATTTTTATCAGAAAAATATTTGATTACAGTCCGTTATCTGTAATACATATTATCCTAATATCACGGTCAAAATATTAATTTCTAGAAGCTCTTAGTGATCATGAATGTTTGGGATTTTTGTTACATTCAAAATTTCGGATTTTGTGTACACAAAGCACCGCTAATTAGTTAGCGGCGCTACACATCGACACAACTATCATTTACACAATATACATGTGTGGGTAATTTCATATCAATAGATATGTATAGAAACATTCGCCTATCACACACATCTTGGTATTTAAAAATCATTTTTGTGTCGGTATACGCAATAATTTAGTAAATAAGTTTAAATAAAAACGAGGGTAAAGATAAAATTACTCATAACAAACTTTGAATAAATCGAAATCAAAAATAATGAACGATCGAGCTATACAATACCCATATAAATATAGTGCTTTCTCATTGTAATTTTATGTTACTGAATGATATAAAATATTTCGATGATCTCATCTACAGCGCGCTTGGCGCAATGGTTATCGCCTCCAATTGTCAAGTAAAGTGCCGCCGGATCGATTCCAACATTCACATGTTGTTTTAGAATTATTTATCAAATATTTGAAATTTGAAATTAGAAACAATTAAATCTTTTCTTTTTTTTTCCTTTCCTATTGTTCTAAATCTTATGTTAATTTTAATAGTAAATACTTTAGATTTATTTATACCTATAATATCTTTTATTTATATTTTAGTTCTAGTTATTTATTATTTAGAATAATCTCATTTGCTTCATGCATTTCAACCAACTTAAATAAGATAAAAACAGTAAAAAAGTAATTAACTGTGATTTCTTAATGGTTCGATACCTGAGTATATTTGCAATGTTTGTGGCGACCATAGAAATCTCGAGTCATTTTATTTTACACGCTTATGAAGTAACTACCGACTATTTAAAACATGTTTTTCAAATCACCCGACTTACAAAATAATTGCGTTCTTAGTTGTCAATTTATGAGGATTTCATAGTTTATTGCTACACTACTTATATTCGTGTGCAAAGTTATTTTTATTTTTACAAGATGTTCCAACACCTATCAACATTTAAAAAGGCTGAAACCATTGTTTTGCATGAGCAAAACATAACTAACAATAACTGAAATAGCAAGGCGTTTAATGATATCGGTGAGTAAATAAGATACTACGTTGATATTCTAAATAATATTTATTTCATTTTGTAACTCGACACACCTATCAATTTTTGCACTAGAATAAAATAATTATTGCAACTTATTATGAAGTTCAATATTATAAAGATATATTAATAATTTATTATTAATTGTATTGTAACTTGACTTGTTTTTGTTAGGAGTGTTTCTTTAAAACATATCTGGTTAGGGATTTTTATTCCTTACGCCACTACTTAATTATAAATTATTATTCTAACATTGTGTTTACTTATTTTATTATTATTTTTAAGTAACTTTAATTCCTGTAAAGTATTTCCTGGTATTTTAAATACTTATTTGTTTGGTATCAACAGAGGAGATCCATGCAGTTATGGGTGCACAGATATGCGGAGACCGGTGACGTTAAACATCGTCGACGTGGGCCTAAACCAAAGGCAAATTCATCGGCTCGGCACTACGACATCGTAGCCAGGCACATGGCTGATCCGTTCCTGCCAACCCGCACTACAGCGACAGCACTGAATGTTTTAATACAAACTGTACGGAGACACCTGCATTCTGGTTTAAGGTGCAGGAAGCCAGAGAAGAAAATATTGTTATCTGTGGTTCACCAGCAAAAGCGCTAAGAATTTGCTAAGGACTTTATTAATTTTGATTGGGCGAACAGTGTAATCATATTGAGCGACGAAAAGACTTTCAAGTCGGATAAGGATGGGCGTAAAATATTGTGAAGAAAAGATGGAGAAAGGTATACGAATTGCAACCTTCTGCCTTGTAGGATCAGTGATTGTATTGATTTCGGAATCAATTATTGAGCCTGTCAAACTCTGCCTTTATTAAAATTAACATAAAATAATGTTTAATTTTTTTAAGAATATTAAAATGCTGTCTAGAACATACGGTGAAGTGATGTTATTGTTTTGTGGTTAGAAATTGTCATAATTTCTTTCTATTCAACATGTTTATTCACTTCACTTTAATTTTTCATTAACAAATTTATTTAACTGCTTTCGAACTTGATTGACATATTATATTTACGCCCATCTTCAATTAATTTAAAGTTTCCCTGATTCTAAAGGTCATGAAAGTTAAAATCGTTCCATAGCATTCGTCACATTCTTTTTACTATCATACAGCCCACTGAATATTGAACCTTATAACAACCGTCGTAAAATAGATAATTAATGGAAGTTCAAACGACAAAAAGTCGCCCATTTCAAGAAATATTATGTTGACAGTGTAATTTTTTACATGTTTTACTTGTTTATTACTGTAAAACTGTAATTTAATAATACATTATATTATTAAATTACAAAACAAGAATGTTGTATATTTGTTTATTACCTACTTAATAAAAAATGTTGCTGCCATCGTATTACCGCTGTACCGCATGATATTTCCCGATTCGACTATGAGGTTTATTGTCATATCTATTAATTATGATTTAAAGAACTTTAAACTTAACATGTGGTATATAATTAATTATTAGATATAAATATTGAATATAAAACAACATATTTGTATAATAAATAAATTAATTGTAATAAAAAATAGTATTGTTTTATTTACCAACTCATTTGCTTCTTTTATAGCCTGATATTTATATTTTATGACAAAAAACAAAAAAAAGATAAGAAAAATAACAAGGTAAAATAAAATTAACTTTTAGCTGGAATAGAACCCACATCATTGATCCTTGAAAGACGATAAAAGCGTGCTCATTAACCAATCGACCACGAGCACTACGATAATGACAGTGAAAATGTCGGGTCATATCAATGATTGTAAATAGTTTTAACCTTACCTATGCATTAAATTATAAAAATACGTATACCGACACAAGAATGAAAATACCAATGTGAACGTGGTGGACGAATATTTTTATATACAGTTATATGAAATTACGCACACATGTACACTGTGTAAATGACAGTTGTGTCGATGTGTAGCGCTGCAACTAATTAGCGGTGCTTTGTGTACATAAAGTAAAGTAAAATAATATACTGCATAGTTTGCAAGCCATACCATAAATCCTTTATTTCTTCTTGTAGTGTTACATGCATACATGTTGTCGTACCTGTCTCCAAGTGGTTTATGATTGTCTAGTGTACAATATTACAAATAGAATGAAGCTGACAAAATCATTGCCATATCTTTGTATTTACTAAAAGTATTATGACTTATAAGGCTATGTCACTTTGACTTACACTATTTTAAACACATTTTTTTTCGGATTGGTGACAGGTATTTCTTTGTCACTAAATCTCAGAAACTACTGAACAGATTTATATTAAATTTTCCTAAATAGATTACAAACTACAAATAATGCATGATATTATCATATTATTTGTGGTTCTGAAAATTAATTTTAAAATAGCAATTAGTTAATGAAGACCTTGCATTAATTGCAAATTATGGTCAACAGGAAACTGGTAATTGTGTGAGCCTATCTACTACGTTATTTACAGTACATAATGGTGCATACTTGAAATTTTAATGTTTTTAATAATTAGGTGTTGGCGGTAAATGCCAAGAAGACAACTTATAATAATAATTATAGATATTAATGATTCTTTGTCTGTTTGACGAATTGATTGATTGTTTGTCTGATTCTGACATTACAATGTAACATCTTAAGAAACATATGAATTTGTGAATATTATGAATATTTCACCGTCTTCTTTGTACAGATACTCATATTTGTATAGTTTTTTCTTAAACCTTTGTCAGTAGACAAAATACCTCTGCTAGCTTTGATCATAGTTGTCTCACACGCCACTCTATAATTTCGAAACTAGTATCGAATTTAAAAAACAAAACGAAAAACAACGAACATCGAAACATCGCCCAAAAATTGTAAGTTGTCAATTACATAACATCACGCCTTTTATCCCCGAAGGGGTAGGCAGAGGTGTACATTATGCCACTGTACAATGTAACATCTAATTTTTACTATTTATATTATGAGTCCCATGTAATAGGGGGTGAGCCTATTGCCATATACCGGGCACAATTCAAGACTCCGTGCTACTACCGTGAATTTTTTGAAAAACCTAGTAATACTATGCCCGACCCGGGAATCGAACCCGAGACCCCTTGCCCGGCAGTCGCACTTGCGACCACTCGGCCAATGAGGCAGTTAATTACAATTGAATAAAATCGGTAATAGGTATGTGTCCGCAAATACCGTTTTCCGTCCGCATTCCACTTAAGTGAAACATTGACCTGTAATGTGATTGATGTTTCGAAACCGTATAACAATCAACATTAAACAATCTCGATTTGATAAAGCATTCATTACACAAACTGATGCTACACTCGACGTATTGTTCATCATCAGCTGAAAGGTGTTTACTCTGTTGAACACAAGTAGGAAGGTCTTTTCTTTTTATATGGGGCTAGGCCGCCCAGTGGCGTAATTATACCCTTTGGAACCCGTGGCAAGTTCATCGGATGGGCCCCCGTTCCCAATAAAAACAGAAGTTCAGATGAAAACTTCTGAACGGGGCCCCTTCCAGCTCGGGGCTCGTAGCTATTAACCGACTTGCTACCCTGTTAACGCCATTATCCCGCAACAATCGCGCAAAACCGCTGCAGCTCCTCTAATCGAGGACCTAGTAGATACAACAATGAAAACACCGGAACACTGAAGTCCGACGCAAAGAAGGGCAATGAGAAGGTACTACTACCCGTGGCTTGTAGTCGGGTCCAAATTTTAGGACATATCCCGGTGTTGTCCGGGTTTAACTTTTATATTGTTATTGGACTCCAAAGTCTTTTTTCTGTCAAGAAATTCGTTTTTTATGGCATATGCCGTAAACGAGCACGCGACGGATCACCTGATAAAACACCAGAAGCGTTACAAGTGCGTTACCGGCCATTTGGGGATTAGGAGTTTGAGGATTGTTGGGGATTCGGGGATTGGGGAGATTGAGGAAGGGGGGAGGGAGCTGGGCCTCCGGTAACCTCACTCACACGACGAAACCTAACGCAAGCGTTGCTTCACGTCGGTTTTTTGTGAGGCCGTGGTATTATTCCGGTCGAGCCAGCCCATTCGTGCCGAAGCATGGCTCTCCCACACTTAAAAAGCTTCAAATTGGATATATTCTTGTATAGAAACCTCATGATATTTTATTTGTCACCAGGACCTCGTTGGGCGTCATGGAACTTGGGCATATTCCTGTGCATCAGGTGCGCCGGCATCCACCGCAACCTCGGCGTGCACATCTCCAAGGTGAAGAGCGTCAACCTCGACTCATGGACACCTGAACAAGTTGTAAGTTATGCTATAATCTTATACTCTTATACTATCATATAAAGCGGAAGAGTTTGTTTTTTTGTTTGAACGCGCTAATCTCCGGAACTACAAGTCTGATTTGAATAATTCTTTTTGTGTTGGATCATTTATCGATGATGGCTATAGGCTATAAAACATCACGCTACGACCATTAGGAGCTGAGCAGAGTATGTGAAACCGCGCGGAAGTAGCTAGTCTTGGTATAAAGAAAAAAATGCGAGGTTAAGTTTCTGAAGGAAAAAAAATAAAAGGTAGTCTTATTAACCACTCAGTTCTTTGGTGGTCTTTACATTTTAAGTTAATAAGTAATAATAAACTGTCGTTGGCAAACGACGAGTAAGCAGGTAATACAAACGATTGGAAGGCGATATAAGAAGAAGAGGAACACGTTAGATGAAAGTCGCAAAAAATAGAGACAAATGGAAAACTTTGGAGGAGGCCTTCATCTAAGGTCCATGTAAAACCAAGAAACAAACATAATGTTTATTTCTTATTTATTTTGTAATTATTGCGTGTAAAGCTTTTTTTATTTATTTTATTTAAGTCTTCGTTTATCATCACGTAGAGTTATCACCTAATCTTGTCATATACTTATTGCTTCGAATACAAGAGGAACCTGGTTTTCCAGCAAGCGGTCGTTTACATTTTTTTTTAAACCCCCGTTGCCCCGCATTAGGATTTTCTCCTTTGTCGTGGGTACGTTTACAAACATACAAGTTCACATACATATGACACCCAGACCCGGAACAATAATTTGTGGATCACACAAAGTGTTGTTCCAGGCAGCCGGTTGCCCAGCCACTGCACCAACCGTGCAGTCAAATTTTATTTAAAGTTTAAATTAGAATTTAAAGGAATTGTAACGTTTCCAACGAACTGAACATTTCTTGTTGATGTTGGTATTTTTACAGTCTGGCTATTGGCATTTTTGAAGTATTAAGCATAAGTTTCGTTTAAATAAATCACTGGAAATTGCAGGAAAAATAATTTAAACTGAAACACGAACAGTATATATATACTAACGGAAAAATTAAATATAAATAAACAATAATACTTGCATTTATTTATACTCTGATGAATAATTGAAAGCGAGGAGGAAATTCTAAGAATATTATGAAAATAAAAGTATGATATCATGTATAAATCGGATTATCGATTTATTATTTTAAAATATTCAATGCTTATGACCTTACACTTGGACTCCTTGGTCGACCGATGCTTTAATAATGAATTTAATGTCAATTGCTACACGGAATCTGGAGTTGTATATGGCAATAAGTTTACTCTTATTACATGTACTATTTTAATGTGTCAAAATGAAAGGGGACATATTAGTTATTTTGTATAATTATCTAAGTAAGTACTTCGATATAGACTTCAACAATAGGTACACTACATTTTTTCTTATCGCCATAAATATATTTTTCTTGCGAAATGATTAAAAACGTTCTTAAGTATCGACAACTAGCGCATCAAGCTACCCTCATTTATCTTAAATGCATTTTCAACTTTATTACTTGAACAATAAGGTTCAAAATCGACTAAAGAAAGTTCTCAGATTAGGATACCTACTTGGATATGCGACCTGTATTTATGGGTGTAGTATTATAATTTCGTGAGGTCGCGTGACTACCAACTATGAGGAGGTTTTACTACGAAAAATACGAAACTACGTCAATGGACTAAAACCGGCCGGCTTTTGTTTAAATATGTATGTAGAGTAGGTATGTACATAAGCGACAGTGCTATTTTTGTGAACTCTTTCTTGATTTCTTTCTATAGTGTTATTTTTGCTTACGTCAATATTGTATGATGGCTTCTAAATCTTTATTCATTATAATAAACTAGCTTTTACCCGCGGCTTCGCTCGCGTCACAAAAGGATAAAAAGCCAATGTGACTTAAACCAATACACACAGCGCCATCTATACCAATACTTTTGTTTTCCCTCGGGAATATCAAATTTTTCAGGTATAAAAAGTCCTATTATTTAATCCGGACTTGTAACTTTACGTCTGCAAAATTTCAAAGCAATCGGTTTAGTAGTTACGGCGTTAAAGTGGAACAAACAAACAAACTCACTTTCCGATTTATAATATATAAGTAAGGAAGTAAGGATAATAAATTGGTCATAGTACAAATACACATTTATTAATTTAAAATCTGAGATCTCACTAAGTTTGATGCCTGTACTAGTAAGAATATCCTGTATCACAGGCGAAAAGAGCACTCACAATATTACTAATTCTAGGACAAATTATTTATATAAACAAATGAAACTGATGACTTATTGATTGTTTTTAGTAACGAATATAGTTTCCGACTTAGTTCCTAAATTAAAGATTTTATGCATAATGCCAAACTCTATATGGATATTCTATCTCTTAGAGTATTTGTAGTAAAATATTTAAAGTGCATTGAGATTAAAGTTGAAATCCTCTCCCAAATGACCGGGGCCCTGTGATCCTGTGAGTGGTAAAGACAATAATGAAGTAATTATCTAGCAGCTGAAGTCAAATGCCATTTAGCGCCTGTCTACTTGTAGAGTAGAAAACCAAATTATATGGAAATGACGTAAATTTTGACACTTGTCAGTGTCATCCCCATACATTTTGATTTCTACTCTCTGTGTAGACAAGCGCTAAAGTGGCGTTTGGCTAAAGGCACTGGAATGAGTAAACACATCTAACTATAGTTAAACAGCTTTCAACTTAATTCCTCAGACAGTTGCAAGCTGGTTTAACGCAAACATAACAGTTAGTACTTAAGTATTGAGGTTGATCTCTTCTCACACAGAGCACCACTTTACAAGTATGCCTTATAAGTTTCCTCTCTGGTTAAAAAGAAATGTAATAGTACAATTATACGTCATCACTGTTCCTCTGCGCTCCAGGTATCTCTCCAACAAATGGGCAACTCCCGAGCGCGCGCAGTGTACGAGGCGAACCTGCCCGATTCCTTCCGAAGGCCACAGAACGACTCCTCGCTAGAAGCCTTTATCAGAGCCAAGTATGAACAGAAGAAATACATCGCCAAGGAGTGGGTGCCACCTGCGCTGCCTAAGGTTAACTGGTAAGTCAAATTATTATAAAAGATTTAATACAATAAAAAATACAATACCTGAGAACAAAAGGTCCTATTTGTCCAATCACCGCGGTGGCTGGGCAACTGGCTGCCGCGCAACGTGGCGTGGTTTCGATACTCGCACGGAACAACTCCTTGTGTGATCTACAGATTCTTGTTCCGGGTCTGGGTGTGATGTGAATCTGAATTTGTATGTTTGTAAACGTACGTACGATACAGGAGAAAATCCTAGTGTGGGGCAACGTTTTATTTAAATAGAAAAGAAAAAGACTGTCCAATGGCTTGACACTAGGAGGATATTCTCTATTGTGAATTTATTATCCACAAGATAAAATACCTAGTCTTTTCCCTCGTGTGGAAAGTTCATACAATCTAACTAAAATAATTTCCTTACATAATGTTTCAGGGACAAAGAGATTGATGAAGAAATAGAGAGGCAAAAACGAAAAAAGAAATCCACCACCTCGGGCTTAGGGCCTCTGCCTGCACCCTCTACTAGTGATAAGAAATATAATGTAAGTCATCTTGACTTTTATTTACATTGTACTAGAGTACAATTTACTGATTGATTTTAACACGTAATCAATACATTTCCAGAAGTCTGACGTCATTCCCAGCATCCCGAAACCAAAATCGTCAGTAAGTCCAAAACTGGGCCGATCTACACCACCTACTGCCCAATCAGACGCGAGCAAAGCTTCCAATGGGGCTGCGGATCTTCTAGGACTGGACACTGGCTCCAAACCTGACGCAAAACCAGCCAATGATGACATATTCTCAAGCTTCTTCTCAGCACCTCAGGAGAAACCAGCGGAGACAAAACCAGAAGACCTAAAACCTGATCTGAAGACTGAAGAGGAGAACTTCTTCAAGCAGGCTGCACCAACGGAGAAGGAGAAGTCAAAGTTAACAAAGGACAGTATATTAGCCTTATACAGTCAGACACCGTCAACTAATTTAGTGAACCAATTCAACCCGGTGCCACCAGTACAACCGGTGCAACCTGCCTACCCAGCGTTCGGCAACGTGTATCAAGCCGGTTACAGCAACATGCCTGTACAAAACGGTATGCCTGCACAATTCAACCAATTTCCAATGAACAGTCAGTTTCAGCAACCATTCCCCGGACAGGTACAGCAACCGTTGCAGAATCAGCCGTTTCAAAGTAATCAGTCGTTTCAAAGTAATCAGTTTTTCAACCAGCCTCAGCAAGGTTTGTCGCAACAGTTTAACAGTTTGAACTTAGGGCAAAGTTTTCCGAACGCGTTCGCGTCGAACAACACGAACGTTGCTAGCAACACCACTTGGCAGTAGACTGTAATGTAGTATCTTTCATTTTTTATTTACCGCAGATGTATTTTTGTATGTAAAAAGCTGGTATGGTCATGTAGTGAGAATTTAATAGTTATTGCCAGAATTTTTGCTTTCTCATTTTGGAACTGCGATGCCATAGATATTACCTCAATTTTGTTCTAGGTTTCTGACAATAGTTTTTAACTGCCAAACTATAGTCTGTGGGATAGAAATTCGCGTATAATTGTATTGGGACGCATTCATGTTGGTCCCCGATATTAATGTGTTCAAATATTAGAAATTATTTGTCACTAATATTGCTACTAAAAGCAAAACACCCAATAATACTTTATCCAAATCATCAGTCAATTGAAATCACTACATGACAAAGCTATATACATCTGCGCAGGAGTTTAAAGCATGTAGATATGCGAATAGAGGGCATTTTGGCTCGGTCGGCTTATTAAACAGTTTGTTCCTATATATAATGCTCATTGTAAAGAGCTACATTTGGCGCTGTGCGGTCGTTAAGAAGTCGTAAAGAGGTCTATCATGTTTGTCACTAGATGGCGCTTTTGAAAATTATGATCTTATACGTCCAAGATCGAAGTTAAAATATCAACTGTCCAACGGCTTACTCGTATAACTGTTTGAAGAGGCATCTCGACTATAGTTTCAAGTTACGTTGGGGACTCATTATCAATAGCAGCTTTGCGCAACATAACATAATTATTGTAAGCATTTAATGCAGCATATCTCACGATTAATAGTCTTTAGGACAAAATACCTAGTTTTTCTCAGCGTCCAAGCCATACTCGGTAGACCTCTTCACAACTTTGAGCCTTATAATTAAAGATCATAACGACGAAATTCCACTGTACGCGATCGCATATAGGTACTTATACTTTTTCAATAAAATGCTATTTTATTTTTTTATTCTTATTATTGTAAAGTGGAATGTTCATTGTGAAATTATGTTATTAAAGTATTGGAAATTAAATTATTATTGTTATTGGTTTTTATTATTTTGATAGGCTGCACCGCGCCTATTGTGCAGCTGATGTAGCTTGGGGGCTTTGGAATAAGTGGAGACCCCTTTATGAAAAAGATAAAATGCAGAAAGATGCGAAATTTAGACAGTATTTTGCTGAAAAATCAACCTTATTTCATGTACAGAGAACTCATATTTAAAAAGCAATATCAGGCTATAATTGGTAGTGTATCAATGAACAACCTGGTTTTTCAGTGTCAGGCTAGACACTGACCCATTTTTCTAAATCTCTTCACTTATTCTGAAGTTACAGTTATCATTACTTTGTAAATTAACCTTATTTCCCAAGGCATAGAATTCAAAATGCATTACATAGTGTTCATTTTTCTACATATTTCAAGCTGTGTTTAAATATTTGGGGTAAACGAAATTAGACCTTATTCGAATAGGTCGTAGAGCACAATGTAATCTAAATACTAATTGTATGTCTAATTTACAATAATTTCTAAGTATTTTAGGAGGTAGTGCAATTAATAAATTAATACTGAAATCTCCTGAATGTACACACAGCCTGAAATATCAATCTTAACTTGTAAAATTGCTGTTTTTAAAACAAATTTTAACCCTTTGGGTACGGTCATTATAGACACAATTAAAGAACAATAGGTTGCGGTCACCGGTGTCCTCGCGGTGTTTGACAGTTAAAGGGAAAATCGTCAATTTTATAAGTAAAGATTATATTTATTAGAACCCCAAGCTAATAATTTAGACCTATTTCGATGTTGGACAGTGAAAAACATATTTAGTCCATCAATAAGGTAAAGAAAATATTAGACACGTTTTTTTGTTTGTTAAACTAATATAAAGTGGCGTATTGAAGTTATGGAGGCTTGCTACGTCATAACTGTGTTTACTAAGGTGTGACGTCATGTGATATTTTGACTCAAATGTATCGTCGTGGAAAAATACGTGTCTAATATTTTTAAACCTGATTCAAAATAAAGAAAATATAATTTTTTACGTAGCCATTCATCCTAATTATTATAAATTTGATATTTCAATTTATAATTTGCAAAAATATCAACAAATGTTTTATATGTTATTATTATTACTGTGTATCCTAAACGTTTACACTTTGATTAATAATTTAGCACTTTTTTAACACTATTTTAAATATCTATGCACAGATAATTAAATTGTGTTTGTGTAACGATCTTAATTCGCTCTAATTTTAAGTAGATTTTTTATTTTTATTTCTTTTATTGAAACAGGCGTCCTGGATTCGTAATTTATGGTACGTAAATGAAAAATATATTTAAAATAAACTCCTATTCTAACAGATGTTTTATTTTTGTATTAATTAATTGAATTTATAATAGAAATCTAATAAATATGACATGATATTTAAATAATTTATGTAATAAATCGTTGCATAATGTTTTCGGGACGTCTGTTGTAAAATTGGTGCGTGTTCAACGGTATAATGTCGTTTTTTATTTTATTTATAGATATTAAATACTATTTAATAAATCTGATAAACATTTTTCTCTAAATTGTAAAGTTTCTATAAAACTATTTACAAGTAGGAAGCCATTTCCATCTCATGCGTTCAGCCTTTTTGGTGTTGCAAGTTTACAAGTATTATTATTTTTTTATTATAACTACTTGATATTTTTAACAATGAGTTTGTATTTTATTTCGGGCTGCGCAAGTTTATTTGTTTTGGTCGTTAAAGACTGAAGTGCATCTTTATTTAGTTTGCAATATTTATCTAATATTTAACTTCGATTAACAACGTGTTAACTAACGAAAATATCTCTTATTAATTTTGAGGCAACATTGAAATTCTTGATAATCTATGTCATAAAATAAAAATCTATGAAGTGGTTACAAAAATATGTGTAGGCTACACTTCTAAGAACCGAAAAAATTATTCATTTCAGTCTCCTCTGAATATCTACTTGTACCTCTGTCTATTATCCTGTTCAACAACAATTTACCCATTCCAAAGTGTGGATTCCCATAGAAATGTAAACTGCATTTGGATGCCACTAAACGAAAATATAAAGCGATCAATTTACGGAACAAAATGAACTAAATAACCGAAAGAAATATTTAAAAATTGGTTTTGCTACAAGCCTCCTCTGTATAAATATCAATTTGATTATTTATGTTCACGAGATGTCGCTACTGGCGAGAAAGATCCTCACAGGGCTGTGAGGATCTCTCGCAGAATATTTCGACTAGCAAAAAACTATCCATTTCATTTTAGAGCTGTTAACATAGAATTCCAGCCAGAGCCGTATCATGCAACTAGGCAAGTACCTAGGGTGCCAGGTATCAGAAGAACGCCGCGACATGCGCATGCCCATAGTGACATCGTGGAAAACATTAAGGACGCCTATGAGGTGCTTGTTTAAGGCGCTCTCTCGGATTAACCATATGAGACACAATAGAAAACACATTGTGTCACACTATATTATACACACACGCGTATATCTAAGTACCACGGGTTAATGCGCTTCTGATTCAAGCCCTATCTACTTATAGGTGCCCCTTTTATGTGCAATATTGATTGAAAGTTTAAATAAATCAAACGTGTAACTGAATAGATCCTCATCTTTCGTCAGTAAAATGTACGTTGTGTAAAAGTCAGTCCTCCATTTCTTATATTATGTGACCGTGTTTGTAAGCCCGTTTTACAACTGATGTATTATTTTTTATTGTCATTCATAGAACCCACTTTTGATGTATTTAGTTAAAATATAAAATGTGATTCTTATTAAGTGAATTATGTAATATAGTAAATGTAACGGGCCATTAGTCATATTGGCTGAATGTAGCCCTGATTGAGCCTGTATTTCGTTTACATGAATAAATATAATGCCAATACTTTTTTTGTTTATATTTTTTCTTTCTGTACTTAAGCAATTAACAATAGCTACCTATCCTATTTATTTATATTCATGCCCAATGAATTGGAAGGCAAACCTAATATCCTTTGACTATTGTGAATCACTGAGAGTCACGAAATCGAATAACCCATGAATGTGTAGTATTTTGCCCTATCTAGAGATTGTTACTAATACCCACGCGCTTAATCAGCCTATAAAAACTTTTGAATAGAAACTACATTTTAATACGCATCATGAGACCTGATGCTAAAAAAGTAGGAAAGCACGAAAATAAGCCTTGATGTAGGAGTAGGAATCTGGGATAGTTCTTGAAACCTTGGAACAGTGTTGTTTTGCATGTAAGATGGTCTTCTGACTGACTGACGTCTGCGTGTGCCAACCCTAAGAAATCGATTATAGAATTAATCTCTTTAATTTTATAAAAAAAAACAATCTCATTTCTAATATCCTGTATTATGTTTGTGTTTAGACAAAATAAATACCTATGTACATTTTTAATTTAAGTACAGTATCATGATACCATGCCTATTTAAACGTTCAAGACTTTAAGAGTTGAATGGTTCTGCGTGTAACTAAACGTATTCACAAAGCAGCTTGGGCTCGAAACTGTTTTTAACCGATTTTTTATAGTTTTGTATGTTAAAGGAAGTGAATTTGTGAGATTTTGAAAACTATGGATTGTGGGTAAGTTTAGGAATATCAAACAGTAAATTAATTATACTAATTTTGTTTACTTTTATCCATAAACTCGGTAAACTTTTGTTTTGGCGCCCGCAGCCATATTGTGTCAAACAGCTGTTGCGAGGACGACTTCTGTGCGCTCCGTTGTTTTTGTCGCTTGTATTAACAAAAAATGTTTAACAACTCGTTCCGTCGTAATAAACAATGATAACATAGTGCAAAAAACGTGATTAATTAATAAAAAATAGTAAAGTGGTTCGTCGAAATGTGTTTTCGGTAATCAGTGAATAACATGGCTTGTGGATTGCAAAACTACGAGGACGGTGACATGCCCGCGGCAGAACTTGAGTTCCTAACGAAATGGAGCAGGTTTTCCGACTGGTTGCACTGCATATGTGTTGTTACGTTCGATTTGGAGCTCGGACAGGCGATGGAAAGTGTGTATCCTCCTGGTGTGAAACTCACAGATCAAGAAAAGTGCAATATTTGTTATTTGGCGTTCCCTGACTCAAATTCAGGGTGTATGGGAGACACTCAGTTCCATGTCCGTCTGCGTTCGCGAACGGGGCTGACGCGGCAGCAACTCTTGTACAATGAGGATAGTGTGCCTACACTGCGCGCTGATTCTACGCACTACTGGGGCTTCGTGTACTTCAGACAAGTGAAGGACCCGTCGCTGCCGCGCGGATACTTCCAGAAAAGTATAATTTTACTTACTAGATTACCTTTTATAAATCTATTTTATAAAGTAATACAGTTGATTGCTCCCAAACATTTCGAGGAAGGGGAAAGGAGCCTAGAGGCTGCATGCCATGACATTAACAGGTGGCCTTCACTCGACGCCGGCCAGAATGTGTTATTACCTGTGCTTGGTACAGTTTTTCAGTCATACATTCCTAACCAACAGACCGGAAAGATTACTCGATCTGATATAGCCAAACAAGTTCACTCTCCTAATGTACCACATATACTTGCATCCATACAGGATGTCAATGTATTTGATGTGTTATCTAGTGTCATCTCACACTTACACTTGTTGTGGGAATTAGTGCTAACAGCAGAACCTATTGTTGTAATGGCCAGTTCACCTACAGAATGTTCCGCTTTAGTTCAAGCCCTCACTTACTTAATCCAGCCACTGCCATATGCAGCAGAATATAGACCATATTTCACAATACATGACAGTGAATTCAAAGAGTTCACGAGGAAACAATTCAATCCGCCGTGTGTAATACTAGGCGTGACCAATCCATTCTTTACGAAAACATTACAACATTGGCCACACACTATTAAGCTGGGTGATGCTACATCAATAAAAACGAAACTACGAAAAGTTGGTAATCTCAAGCTATTAGATACTGCTCCTGGAGTATATACTCAATATAAGCCATTTTTAGAGAAAGATAAAGCAATTATTAAGAAACTACATAATGGGATAAGAACTGACCGCCCATCTGAGGTGCAGACTGCTATGGTCAAGAGACACTTGCTTGAACTGACTCAAAGCTTCATGATTCCTTTAGAAAGGTATATGGCATCTCTAATGCCATTGCAGAAGAATATTTCGCCATTCAGGGCACCTCCAGTACCAAATCCGTTCAACCCTGAGGATTTCTTTGCAACACTACAACAGTCTGGGCCTCAACTGACAACTGGTATAAAAGGCGATTGGATTGGACTGTACAGGAACTACTTCAGAACACCAAACTTTAGTGCATGGTTCCATGAAAGACATAACAATTTGACAAATAAATTACATGCTTTGCAATTAGAGGCTTTAGCTGAAAGTGACTTGAAGAAATGGTCGGTAGGAAAAAAGGAAGTTGAGATTGTGGATATGGTCTTGAAACTTAGGGAGGTGTTGAAGAGTAACCCTCCAGTGGCTGATAATACTAGGACATTGTTGGCAAGGCGATTGGAGGACTTGAATTGTGTGCTGCCAGAGGATATGAAGTCTATATTGAATGCGGCCACGTGACAGAAGCACTGCTGCGCCTCGAACTTGAGAGGATGCAGCGATGACTGCAAGATGCAATTCAAGAAACTAAGATATGGCCAGCCTATTGTGTGCATGTGAAATGTTAGAGCAGTTTATTAATGTCAAAAATTAATTGCATTGCATTTACGGGATTGCGAAAACGAAGTTGCGAACGTAAACTGTTTCATTGCAATAATTTGGTTACTTGTGTGTGGTAAGAGAAACCGTTTCAATGTCTCAACTACACAAGTTTGTTTGTACTATCTCATTAGGTTTTATATTATGCATTCTAATCTAGATTTCAATTAGTTAAATGCGTTATAATAATACCTCTTTAGTACTGATAACTTTTATAATAACACCTTAGCTAACAGCATAAAATGCTATATTGTTTGACAAATTGATTCCATGTGACCAATACATTGTTTTGTGAACAGGCTTCCAGCTACCTAATGTTGATATTAAGTATATTATGTTAATTAAGGAATTTATTATAGAACTAACAAGTATCCTGGTAGGAATGACTGATTTTTGATCAATTTCGGAGTTTTATTCTATGAATTCAGATTCAGAATGGTGATGATTTTCCAAACAACAAATAATTAATTTTAATCATCATGTTTGTTAATATTCCTCGTTTTATAACTGCAGAGCATTTTCCTGTAGGTAAAATTATGTTATTTGCTTCAAAAATGACTCAGTAGCAAACACAAATAAAATAAATTCAAGATATCTTCTGCTTGTTTACTTGTGTAAACAATATTGGTGGCAAAAATGAAATCGTGACTTAAAAATCGAATGTACAATTTATACGGCCATAATTCTCCATAATAAAATATGTTTCTATTCTAAAAATTAAAAAATCTTGCCGGTATGTCTGTATATAATTTGAATTATAGCGACACTAAGAAATTGCGTCGATTATATAAATAGATTGTAAATATTATAGTTGTAAAATTAATACTAAATCATTAATATTATCTTGTAACTTAAACGGGGAAATGTTGGAGACCTTTATAGATAGAGATAATGTATGTTAAAACATTGTAATCCAATATGTTAGGCAGTTGTAAGTCTGCTAGTTTATAGCAGTATGTTCAAGGTCACGTTGAAAAAAAACGTGGTTTGCTTTTGTATCGTACCAGCATTTGGTACACATGCAAAATTGTCTATGCCACATGTTTTTATTGTTCGAAATTCGAATCAGTTTCGCGCCATTGCGCCATATGTAATTACTTCGGTTTACCGTTTCTTTGACCATCTAAAATCGTCAGTTAATACATACTACCTACGTAAAATATCGTTTTGACTCAGTACATTATGAGTCAGTAGTTCATACTCATTTAAAAATAAATGTTCGTCAAATACTTTAGGGTCGTGCTTGATGGTAGGAATGAAAGATCTTTGCCCAGCCGTGGGTTTGTAAGGGATAGTTGTTATCTGTGTATGCTTATGTGAAATGTGAATAGTAGATAAAAGGACGAAAACGATTTCAGATAGATAGAAAGGAAGGAAAAATAAGTGTAGTTGTATTTGTATCTACGGGGATTTCGGGAAGACTCTGTTAGCGAAAATCTAATTAGGTAATGGATCTTGCGGAAAGTTTGGCTTTTAAAAGGATCCTAATATTTTGTTTCTGTTTTCATTCGATGAGCTTTCATTTTATAATCGCAGTCTCGTGTCAATTACATCTGCAAATAAAACTAATTAAAGGCTTTGGAATATAAAGAAGTCTATAATTATTCATCTTTACATTCGCGGTGTAAATTCAAAGCTTACAGCAAACAGTCCAATTTAACTAGACATAAGTGTTTAGATAATCGTCCTCCTTCGTGCTAAGTCTAATTAAATATGTGTTGGGCACATCGAAGTATATTTTCCTATACTGTTTTACTGTAAAATATGTTTAGAATCTCTGTATCTCTTGTTTATGTATCGTATAATGTGTTTTACGATTGTCAGTGGCTTTCGTCAGTCGTGTATCAGTGTAATCGTTCATTATTTGCCCCAGCAGATAGCTCTTATCCGAATTATCGTTTAACACTCCCTTATTATCCCTTATCTTCATGATAAACAGATTAGAGGTTTAATTCGGTAACCGGGAGAGTGTAAATCTTGACTTAGATTATGTTATTCAAACTTTGACTGAGACCGCCAACGGAAACAGATCAAATAGTTCTGTGATAATAACAAATTGATTTGCAACTGTCTACGTAGATTTCACCGCGGTTTTTGCTTGCGGTCTATAATATCTTAACCTGTTCCTATCTATTGTAATATTAGATAGTCTATAATCTACCTGTGTTCTGAAGTTATGAGAGTCTAATGTAAACACATTTTTAAATCAAATCGATAATATCCGATTCATAAATAACTGTTTCGAAGTACTATCTACTTTTTTTCGTAATCGTAACGTCCAAATGCGTAATAATATCTACGTCACAACTGTTGATGAATTGTTCTAATAATTTATAGGATTGATTACTTTCAATAAATGTCTTCGTTTAGCCGTATAAAAGCAATATGGCGACATCAAACAATGGTCGTACAGCAGTTACATAAAAACTCCACAACTGACAATCGTCATTCACATTATCTATCTATCCTTATGTAAATCATCTTCGCAGAAAATCCATCCATTTACTTATTACTTTATTTCTACTAAAGCCGGTGAATAAATTAATGTGCTGTTAAACGTAGATAAAGAAACAGTATACTGTATTAAATAATGATAAACGATGTACATTGTTATCGCTTAAAGGTTTTTTCTAAGATGTTTTTGTCAAAAGTCCGATTGCTTTAATAAAATATGATATTAAAATGTTACTAAACTTTAAGTAAATTATGGAGCTAAATCTAACTATTGTCGGGTATGTTTAATCCGATTGGAGATAATCGAGATAAAGTATTAATGATACGTAAGTACTCTTAATTCGAACATCAATTAAAATCCATTAGATTTCTACTACTACATCTCTCGATTGTCTTCAATTCGTTGTGAAAATTCCAATTGTTTTATTTATGACTATAAATTAGAAGGAGTAAGTCAAAATTTTAGCTAACCGCGTCTACATTGGACGGCCAATTGGCAGCTAGATAGGTCATTTCAAGTAATTCCAGTCCCTAATCGCGGACAACTGCAGTTTCCTGTGGGTATTCCCTGGCCTATTTTGTAATAGAACCATTACAATAATATCCCCCACGCAACTCTTACAGTGACGTGCGCTGTCCTATAATTATATTAACCGCTTGAATGTCCGTATACGAGACACGGTAGAATATACATTGTGTCTCGCGTGGATCCACGTTTAGACACGAGTTAAACGTCAATAAACCAATAACTTTCGTTACTCTGAAAGTCAAGGTTTGATGGCAATATAAATGAATATGTAAAACCCAGAGAGCTATGTCCGTATTTTACGTAATTTTGAACGCTAGTTAGCCACGCTAATACAATTCAACTGCATTAATTTTACGCGAATATTTGTAAATAATTCGGTGCCAAATTGTATTCTTTCTATCGGATTATAATGATGGCATTGTAACTTTTATTTTTGTAAGTAGTTTTTATATTAGATCGTACTGTAAGAAGGGCCTGTTTGCTCAATCGTTTTGAAGATGTATGTTTATGGAAAGTAGTGGACATATTAGCGAAAACGCTTAATATAATTTTGTCATAGTTAATTGGACGTGGTTGCCTATGCAAGTTGGTAAGACCCAACAAAAGCAGAATATCAGATTTCTAATTGTGTCAAAACTCGCATAATTAACTTATTTAAGTAATTTGTCGGTTGGAATACTTGCATAACCACGTCCAATTTACTCTATGCAACTCGTGCAATGTTTCCGCGTTCGCCAATATGGACACACCCCTAGGGATTATTATGTCAAGGTCGGGTCGAGCTAAGGCGACGTCAGTTACTCGTGGAGGCGATCTTAACTAGATTTTACTGGACTATCTGACCCACTTGCTTTGATAAACGATAACTTGTAAGAACATTTATGCGGGTGTTCCTTGTTTTAGTTGGCATACTCGAGTCTGGTGGTAGCATCTAGTGTCTACAAAGGTTTTCCTAAGCAAATTTATGTAAGTTTAGGAAAATATATTGTTATTTCTGAAGAAAATTTCATATTTCATGGTCAATTATATCATATGCTGTAATCTATTTTATCATAGTGGGTCAGGTAAAAAAGTTACATTATGTAGCAATTCGTCACAGATGGATATGGATCAGTAACTGAAAAGTGAAACCTTAATTTTGTCACAAATTGTCTGTAACTGTTTTTATTTTATGTTAACTATATGAGATTTTCTATTGTTCTACGACTCCCATTGGCTCGACTTGATTAAAAGGGTATTGTATAATATCCGCCCAAGCATCATGTATTGTAACGTTACTTATCGCAGACTCCACTAGCTATAACATATCCCATCGTATTCGCCACATGTAAATACAAACATTGTACAAACTGCACTGTGTAAAATGAAATAAACATGTTATTTTTCAAATATAACTCATTTATTAACGCTTATGCATATTTGTGCGGTCCTGATACGACAAGGCGGGAATATGTACGCAATACAGGGTGAGCTATCCATAAACTGTACACAAATAGTGATAATTGTGTTCAAGGCTGGTGTGAGTAAATATTTAAAGATAAATAATTTATTTATAGATTCAAGAGACTGAATACTGTACATTCGTATTCATAGTTTCGAAGACATGAAAGATGGGTAGTGACAGACTACCATCTTTACTGTCATCAAGACATTTGAGCAATTTTATTACCTATTTGACTTCCATAATAATTTATAATACCCCACTTTAGTTTTGGCGTAGGAAGCCCTATGATTGGCAGTCTAAAGGCTAATTTCCAATTTTCTATAATCTCTAAACTACATTACCCAATAAATATACCATTTAAAAACAGGAAGAATATTTATTAAGTACATTGCATCTATGGCAAAAGCTACACAACTTGTCTGCACAGTTTATGGATACCAAAAAGCACTATACATAAATCTAAACAGGTACGTGGAACATGGTACAAATAAGTCCCTGCGTCCCGGCAGATCCTTTGGCGTTGACCATAACAAAACTAAAAATAACAGTCTATTAAATATTTACAAAACTAGGCGGGTTGAATCACAATCTGTTGTATCGGGCTTTACTCCATATGTTGTCATTGTCGGTGATGAGTGTGTAGACTCCTGCGAGGGTGAGGCCGACCGCGGCCCCGAGGCCCATGGAGCGTATGCCAGAGGTGCTCTTGTATAAGACCCCGGTAGTGGCAGCTGCGATGAAGGTGTTTGCTGTATCCTCCTTGTCACGTAGCCATGTGACGCCGAGCGCGATACATGAGTAGAATGATGCGATGATGCCGAGAGTGCAGCCTGTGTTTGTGCCTGGAACATTTAGTTTAGTTTTGTAAATATATTGGGATTTTTTAAATTATTTTTTTTTGTTCGGTAGTAAAATCAATTAATAGAAACAAAGGTCTAATAAGTTTCAGACACCAAAGCCTGAGGTATATTTATGATTACTTTGATTTGAGAAAGGTAAAGGAAGGTGGAAAGGAAAGGGGACTTAATAGTGGATTTGTAGACAAAGTAATTTTTTTTTTCATATTTGGGTTTTCATTAATAACATGGGTGTTATTGCCACTCATAATTTTTACTTGTTAATTCTTCATTTAAAAATTGTAATTCCTACTACCATCTTATAAATATGACTTCTCTTTATTTTATTACTAATATTGTTCCAATAGCTGACCTTGTTTCATGATGTAATTGATGACTTGCGTTCGTCGCACTTTGCCCGTCTGTCCTGCCAGTGTGGTTGCCCTCAGACCTCTGTATAAACCTGCCATTCCACCTAAACCTAGAATTAAGTTTGAAAATATTATTTAGTTTGGTTTTTAAGAAAACAGAGCTACTGTTAGTTCATTTTCATTCTACTGGGTATGCTATGATTTGCCAGGACGTAGAACTCAACAGGACAAGATGTATTTTTATTGCAGCTCATATATTTCTTTCATAGCTCCAAGATAGAAAGTACAAATATTTGATAGAAAATAATTCAGTAGTCAGTATTGTTCACATACAAATTACTAACAAGTAAAAAAGAAACTGTTAAACTCGTCGAGTACCGTATTTATAGACACAATTAAAGAACAATAGGTTGCAGTCACCGGTGACCGCTTGGTGTTTGACAGTTTAATCTGCCTTTTTTAATAAGATTATTTGTTCTGTTTATCATAGCTAACAGACAATCTACTGCTGCACTAAATGTGCCTCTTCTAAATACTGTTTTTAATATTCTTGGGTTCCAATATAACTAGAACATAACAATAATAATACATCTTTATCTATCTTAGATACTTGTTTAGTGATTAATTTACGCATAATTTGTTGCAATTTGGCTTGATGCCCACTGTGTAAATAAACATCGTCAAATATCACTTTCTGGAACATATTTTCTTATTACTATGATACTATTATCTAAACCTATAACTTTTAATTCATATCAAATATATAGAATACACATAAATCTGTCTGACGCAGTGTTATGTAAAAATTACTAATAATTTTGAGGTTATGTTTGAATTTCATCATTTTATTACCTGATCCCGTCATGAAAGACATTCCAATGATAGGTAGTGCTACGTTAGACCTTCGAGCTGTAGATGCCATGTGACTGTCATCAGGATACAAGAATTCCGGCTGCATTTTCGGTATGATATGGGGATCGAAGTTCAAATAGGGAGATAGATTCGACCCCGCCTGCTGTGCTTTCTCCTCATTCTTATTTATGGATAATATATCGCCGAATAAAGACATTTCGATATTTTTTACACTATTTTAACTAAACTAAACCTAAAACGTGATTAGATATCACGCAGCGAATTTTTGAAGAAATCGAACTTTACTGAAATGTCAATGTCAAAGAACCTGCAAAGGTACAGATTAAAAAATATTTATTAATGTTGTCATTGTTGAAAATTGTGTGGTCATAGACAAATTCTTTGAATACTAATTCTCTGTGGTATAAATAAAATAATGATTTGATTATTTTAAATTGAAACAAGGAATGCAAGAAATAAGAAAAATTGTTTTATTTTATGTAGTAAATATAAAGCAAAAGTAACTATGTGTAAGGAAGGTCTGGACCATATAGCTGCTATTCTTTCGGAATTTAGTTCTCCATGTGTTATTTTATACAAAAAATCTTACCAAAAATTAAGCTTTTGCGTTTGGGACAAATCCATGAGTTTATGAATTAACAAAATTATTTGCTAATTCCAGTGAATTAAGAACTCCAGAGGAGGCGATGAAGATAATAAAAACCGCTAAGCTTCACGAGTCCGAACTGACAGAAATCACACAAGTACTGAGGTTTCCAAACCCGAGCGAACAGAATGACAGACTGAAACTTATGTTATTAGATGATAATCTTCTGAAAGAAATTGAAGCCGGAAACGATCTGTTATTTAAAGGTAAAGTTTATTAATGTGCAGTTTTATGTAATTTGTAATCCTACCTAGTGATTGTACACGGTTTCGGGTTCGATTCCTGAGTATAGAAAAATGGTTCACGATTGCCGAGCAAGCAGTTTCGTGTTTGATTCCCGAACCTATAGTGGAGTTTTAAATTTTTTGTGTTTTATTATATTCTATTCTTAACTAGCTGACCTGGCAAACTTCGTACTGCTTAATTTTTTTTCTGACCTTTTAAACGTTCCCTGGACTTCCACGAACATTTAAAAACCAAAATTAGCCAAATCGTTTCGTCGGCCGTTCTCGAGTTTTAGCGAGACTAACGAACGGAAATTCACTTTTATTTATATAGATATTGCCAGTGCCAAGTAGACAGCAAGAAAAGTAGTTGTAGGTGGTCACATGTAATTTTACTTACGGAAAATTACTACTATAATTTTACTTACCCAAAAGGCGCCTTGTTACATTTTTGACTAACATAGCATAACTAAAATTACAGGAGATCCAGATGAAAACGTAGTACTATGCACAAACACCAAAACATACGATGTGAAAGAGGCAGAAACATCAAACAGCCTTCTTCTAGTCCCAGAACTATTATTTGCAGCTTCAACAGGACTGGACGAGACCATTCAAAACGACTCTATAGAATCAGAATCCTCATTTGAAAAATCAAACGCAAGTTTAAACAAGTCCACAGAATCTGATGAAGGGTCAAGGCCCCCAAGACAGATAGTCCACAAAGACATATTAAACACTTTCTTCACATACTACGAATTGAAACCTTGCAAACCAAGGCTGACAAAACTGAGAAAGATTCTAGAACCCACAAAATACCAAGGATTGGAACTAGAATATGCAGTTGATAAGTCAAAATTACTAAGTTATGAAGCTCTTTGTGAAAAAATCCAGGCTTCTAAAGCAGAGCTAAATGAAGAATTAGAGAAAATCCAAGCTGTGTTATTAGATGGCCATTATAGGTTGTTAGAATTTGAATACGAATTTCGAGTTTTATCCTACATGTTGGATCTTATTGATGAAAATTCTTGGCCTTTGGATAAAATATCTAGAGAAGTGACTATAGAGAGCTTGAAAGAGTTAGTGCCTCTGCCAATTTTGGAGGCTATGTTCAGGTTTTATACTGATCCGTCGATTGAAGAGGATGGTGTTCAGTTCTATCAGTATAAGCAGGAAAAAGTATGTAAGTTTTTGGCCAGAGTGCTGTTAAAGAGTGCTGGGAAGTTTAATCTAGAAGAGTTTTTGCAAGCCTGGAAAGATTCTGTTCCTGATGGCATGGTGACTGATGTAAGTATCGAATGTTTATTGTTGGTTAACAACAACAATTTGTAATTAGCGGCTACGCGCTCTCCCGGTTAGTTGTCCACTTTCGTTGGCGGGGTTCGCTTTCACTCCGTTAAGGGTGCGTTCGTGCAAAGACAATAAAGTCACTCAAAAATGAGCCCATGATCAAATCCCTGCTTCGCTGTTCAGTGCAGTAGTCGCTCGTCCAACCACTACGCCAAGCATGCCAGACTGGGTTTCATAATTCTTGTTTCACCTTTCCAGGAATCTCTCCTGTCGGGAATAGCTCTAGTAGATAAATCCAGCACACCACAAGTAGTTTGGGGATTTGCTGAGACTGATTTACCGGAAGAAATTAACCAGCGATTCAAAATATTATTCCAAACGAAACCAAAGTGGACTGTCGATCAGATATCGCCGTATATTGAGTAAGTATTTCTGTCATAAATATCGTTAGGTACCTACCCATGGCTATAAAGATATTTTGAAGCTTTTCATTAATAACCATTCGGTCAAGTTTTATGTTGTATGTACGATACGATACATCGAGACTTTCGATGTTCGAAAATTTTGCCTTATCAGTCAGTAAAATGTTTTATGGGGTGGCTCCCGCCTATAGGAGGTGGCGAAAATTTCATTATTTCTTGGCTAGGACCTTTATTTTCAACATATGACAAGATTTTCAAAATTTAGAAAAAGTGTTCAATATGTTATAGATGAGTTTAATTTTGAAGTTAAAAAGTCTATTTCAAATTTGACGACGATTTTCGAGGAATCACTTTTCATCAAGGGGTGCAAGCCCACCTAGCACCTGCTGCCAGCCCTTATGATTGACTCTGTTTGTGATCCGATGGCTGTAGTATTGACTCGTTATGTAGCAAGTGAAATTATAGAAATTGTTTTAAGTAATTAGTGTATCACAATCACTTGAATGTGTGTATTCAAATGTTTCACTATGTTTTCAGATGCTACGCGACTGAAAAACTGAATGTAAATGCGTTACTAACGAAGTATGCGCGGGCGTCCACGCAAGATGGAGTGCGAGTGTTCTCAGCTAAACATATGAAATAGATGTAAGTGTATTGTGTAAATTAAGCTAAGTAATTATGATGTGGGCGACTAAAGAATAAAATTCAAAGTTACTCACTGAATAATACGTTTTATTTTAAAAATTAACTTACATACAAAATATTCTATACATTATTTTGATGAGTAAATTCATTATCATTCATATTATACATAATTATTACTTATTCATATAATTATTTACTTAAATAACACAGCCTTCTTGTTCGTCATTACTACGTTCTTAAGCCAGCATTTTTCGTTACTTTCGATTCTAGTATTTTATTAAAACAATTGTACGACCAGCGTTCGATTAAAGAGAAAAATACATATAACAGGAATGTTCGCAAAGAGTATACGAGAGAAAACATATAAGTAGTATCTTTACATTCCGAAAAACTTAACTATGAGTTCTTAAAGCTATAAATCTTTGGTATAAGTTAAGATTGCTGCACGTTGTTCCTCAATTTGTTTAGTTCGTCCCACATTTCTTGTGGCAAATCTTGTCCTACTTCTTCCTTGAAATACTTTTCGATGGCGTCCGCTTCTTGGAGCCAGAAGTCCTTGGGTATACTGAACAGGCTCTTCATGTCGATGGCACCAAGGTTCTGTGTGTTGAGATCGCCCTCAGCGGGGATGTTTCCAAGTGGAGACTCAGTGTAGCATGTCTCGTTGTCACAGCGGCGGAGGATCCAGTCAAGGACGCGGGAGTTCTCTCCGAATCCAGGCCAGAGGAATTTGCCCTGGAAAGAGAAAATTCGATTAGTGAAATGTTAGGTGTAGATTGAAGTTTTAATACCTATCGTTCAATCGTAATACCATAAAGAGGTGTTATTTCATGAAATTATTTCTACTTATAATATCTCATACTAATTTTGAAAAGAAAGCAAAGAAAATTTTAGTGTTCACCTAAACAATCTATCAAGTTTTTTAACAGAAAATATTTTTAACGCATTTCCTTTATATTATTCTTGCAATGTGTAAGTAGATACATACCTCATCACTCTTGCGGAACCAGTTGACGTGGAAGATCTTGGGCATCTGGCGACCAGCCTGGGGCATAGACAGCCAGTGCTTCAGGTACTCGCCGAAGTTGTAGCCAAAGAACGGACGCATGGCGAACGGATCGTGCATTACTACTTTGCCCTGTGAGAAGGAGAATTTGGATTAGCTCGATTTGTTAAGATATACAAGAGATTAAAATGCAAATATATTCAAATTATTCTTCATCAGCATCTTTTGTCCGCTACTGGATAAGTTTCTCCTACAGTATACCACTATGTTCGCTTACAATGATTCCTTAGAGGTAGGAGTTTAAGTAAACCCGATTTTACTAGTCATATTTTGTTACTTTTGTGAAAAACATATTCTAAAAGATGCTTACCGCATGTTCAGCTGCAGCAGTAGCTTCAGACCTCATGGTAGCTCCCATAAACACACCATGTTGCCAGTTCCTAGACTCGACCACTAATGGCACGCCAGCAGGACGACGTCCTCCAAGCAAGATGGCGGATATCGGTACTCCTTCAGCACTCTCCCATTGATCATCAATAATTGGGCATTGTTCAGCTGGGGTGCAGAATCTGCAACAATAAAAATTACAATTAGAGTTTTTATTAAATTCCATACATCATTTGTCATTTTTGTAATCTGGCAACATCAGAAACCATAGACACAGACATATTTTTTATTAAATCAAAGTAATCAATCCATTCAGCCTACCTAGAGTTAGGGTGTGCAGCTGGGGTCTTCTTGCTAGGGTCCCAGGGTTGTCCCTTCCAGTCGGTTAGCTTTTCAGGCGCAGCGCCCATGCCCTCCCACCAAACACCACCGTCACTGGTCTCTCCTACGTTCGTGAATACAGTGTTTTGGAATACTGTCGACATGGCTATCGGGTTGGTCGCTTCAGACGTTCCTGTGGAAAATGGATAAAGATATTAATTTTGTAATATACTTATTGCATGTTTTATTAATCGTAGAAGCTTTTGAGTACGAGTTTGACGTTGAATTAGGTATAAAAAGTTATAGGGGGTAAATGGTAGTTCAGTAAATTTGATTAAGATTCAATGCTGTTTTGCACAAAACCACAAGTTTTCGTAAGTGCCCGTTCACTTAAATAGAGAAATTAACAAGATTTTGCAAAAAAAATAATCAGAATTTTTCAATAGCTTACCTGGAGCAACTCCAAAGAATCCGTTCTCCGGGTTGATAGCTCTCAGCACGCCATTCTTATCGAACTTCATCCAGGCGATGTCATCTCCAACGCATTCCACTTTGTACCCTGGCAGGGTTGGAGTCATCATGGCAAGGTTGGTTTTACCGCAGGCCGATGGGAAAGCCGCTGCGATGTAGCGCTTACGACCTTTGGGGTCAGTTACGCCTACAATCTATAGAATGAAATGGCATTTGTTAGAATTTTTACAGAATTTGATAAAAATACGGCTGTCAAATTCAATAGTTGGATTTGTAATCGTTTGCGGTGTTAAGAAGCAGTATATATTCCAAAGATGGTAAGTAAAGTCAAAATTATAATAGCAATGTTTAAATAAGTTACAAAACAATAATTGCTATTTTGTTCCTGCAGGGTCAGTCATAAAATGTACACCTTCATGGTCAAACAAATATAAAATATGTATCTTAATTTATATATTGTACTATTTAAATGTATTTTTAACTCACCAGCATGTGTTCAGCGAGCCAGCCTTCACGGCGTGCGATAACGGAGCCCAGACGGAGAGCAAAGCACTTTTTACCCAACAAACTGTTGCCACCATATCCACTACCTGTTAACATAAGTAAAATATACGTTAAAACTACTGCAAGAGCTATAAAAATACTAAATAACTCCCAGGGGAACCTTTGGCTGTATGTATGAGATATGTTTTCGCAACGCTGCCAATAGATGGCGTTAGGAGTTACATTTTATTAAAGAAATATATTTTTCATATTTCTCATTATTGTTTGATTTAAAGATATTTTTGTTTGGAAATTACTGTATGAAATTCACAAATAATTCTTAAGAAACCTCTGTATCGGTCAGACACCATTTTAAATAGGATATTTTTTGTTTTAAAACTCACCATAGCTAACAATCTCGTTGTCAGCGGGCTTGTGTAGGATGATGGTGCGAGGAGGGTCGCACGGCCATCCAGCCACACCACCACCAGTGCCCACTGCATGGAGACAACGGACGAACTGCTCATCTTGACGGAGAGCCTCCAATACTTTGGCTCCTGGAGACAAAGATAAAAGATTCTTTAGATTTTGTCGCCTTTTTTGAAAATGTGATATGTGTGTTGTAAAATTGAAGTATTTGTTTTGCCTACATTATAATTAGAGACGGGATTAGATAGGTAATAATATAGAACCTAAGTTTGAATAAATGAGACTAATTAAAGTGCAGATTCATGCAATCTTATCGCTTGTTTACCTACATTAAGAACACCTGCTTTACATCTGCGAATAAAAATTGGACTGTAAATTAATTAAGCACCCGTTTATATTTTACCAACCGAATTGAAAATTACAAATATGGCCTGAAAATGAAAACAGATTTATTACATTAATGTAATAATTCGAAAGATTCGCGCGGTAATTTCCCTGTCCTCTGATTGGTTTTCCCGAGTTCGGGCTCAGCAGCGCACCTGCGTCACGCCGCCGTTCCACGCAACACGTGTTCTATGAGAACCCCGATTTTATTACAAATTCGAATTTTAATTGTTTTTCTTTACAACGAAACAAAAATATAACCATATTTTATTATGAAATGATTAAATATTGTAATTACTAGCAAATGAAGTAATAATATTGTCTTTGGGAGTTTTTAATTGTGTTTGCATTTTGTTAAGTAGTTTGTTTTTTACAAGTGCATGTCTAGATGTCGCTGCAGTTGTGTCGAGATGCGCCGTTTTGCCGCGCGGCAGTGTCGCGTTAACATGACGGCCAGCGGTAACATGTCCATTGTTGACGCACGACCGGAGACCAGTCAGGGCATTGACGTCGATCAGTTGATACTGGAGATTAAAAAGCGACCACTGTTGTACACCAGAGCTCAGACTGAGTACATACAAAAGGTCGCAAGACAACGAGAGTGGGCAGAGGTCTGTCACGCTCTTTGCAAAAATTTTCGCCAGTTAAGCGCCAGGAAGAAACGTGAAAAAGGTAAATATAACATTTTTATTTTCTTTCATCAAACTTTTCCTTAATATATTTTTGACCTATATTTTTTTTTGTTACGTAATCGGGAGTTTTGTTTTCTGTGTATTGTTTTCTCGACTTTAGTGCTATTATTAAACTTAACAGGGTGGATTTAAATTATTTTTTTTGTTTGAAAGCGGTGCTAGAGATTAGTGCGGGTTACGCGACCGGGTTCGATTTCTCGGTGAAGACAAAGAAAAAAATTGTACTTTTCTATAAAATCTGTGTAAATTTAATCGGGGTGATAGGATTAAGTTTTGTATTATAATGATAGAAAGTTCGCGAAGTTGTCCTTGACATGTATACAGACTTTGCGCGCCCAATTTGAGATAAATCGATAGAGTCCTATATTTTTAATTTTCTTCTTTTCAGTGCGGCAAGTTCAGTCCAAGTGGTTCCGCCTGAAGCAGTCGTTTCTACGTCAGTCGGGGTACGGGGTCACGAAAACTGTTGGGAGGATTAGGAAACACAAGCAGATACAAAAGCTCTCGTTTTTGATCCCAACAACACCCGTCATGGAGGTAGATACAGGAGCAGGAGCCACGGCTGCGCCTGTCGTTAGCAACAACGAAGATGATTTAGACCTTGTAATGGACACGCTCAAAGCCGCAGAGAACAACGTCCCAACGGCTTCAACATCCTCAGAAAACATCGCGGCATTCGCTAAAGAAAATGAAATCAAAAAGAAGACTTTCTTTATTCCATTGCCGAAAATAGAGGAACCAAAACATGACCCCATTGACGAGAACTTGCATTTCGCACTGATGCTGGTGCCTTTGCTCCGTGGTTTGAACCAGGACCAACGTTTTTATGCTTGGTCAAACATCTTGAACGTTATCCAGAAGGCACGTGAACTCGGGTCGAAGAAGTTATCGATTTTGCAAGAAGAACTCCGTTACACGGATGGGGAAGCTCCCAATTTGCTCCAAGATCTGGCTTATGTGCAGCCAGAACCGGAGCCTCCTGTGGACGAGGAGCCAATGTTCCCAGCTGCGCATGGAAGACCAACTAATGAGGCCGGGGAGATTATGTACCCTGAGACGGATACTGAAGACAATGAGGAGGCTTAAACAAGCCTTAAGATTTGGAGTACTCTGTATTCGAACCAAGTTATTGTATGTCTTTGTCAATGTTAAATGTACATTTTCTTTATGTATGTCTATTTGAGGGTATATCCACCAGACCAGAGTTGCAGATTTTGGGAGATGGGTATAACCCTTGTACCTATTGTCCTCGTGTCCCCCAATCCCCCTACCTTGATCCCCCTAATCGTGTATTCTTGTAAACGTTTACAATTTATAAATAGATTTAAGGCATCCGAATTGTTCTACTATTTCTATAATGATGTTCGTCTGTTATTTTGTGTAATTGCTGTATGTGTGGGTTTTATTTTTAAGTAAATTAAATGTTCGGATATTTTTAAGAGTTTAATTTAGTTTTAAAATATATTTAAGTGTTATGTTTAACTGTTCTAGTTAATTTTATAGTTTTTAAGGTTACTGGCCTATTTGTAATTTCATTACTTGTCTATGTATGTGTACTCACTATGTAAGCTGTGCGTCTGTGTGTCTCCTTTCGAAATAAATGTTTTAGTAGTGTCTATGGTTGTTTTATTTTTAAAATTTTACCTAAAAGTCAACAAAAACCTTTAAAAATTCTATAATGCTTTTCTAAAATTCCTGGTTGACTATAGGTAGATTTTTGCTGGCGTCTTACTATGCGGTCTGTGTTTTCGCTCGCAATTGCAATTTATCAACCACTTTGCTATCAAACACCTAATTAGGAACTCCTAATTCAGCTATAAATTATCAAATACAGATAATTAATAGCAATAGCGAGCAGAACACGTAATTGGTCGCTAGGTAACACACGGCGGAAAATCTGAAAACGCCATTTCTATACAAATATTATTTATAGAAAGCCCTATATGTTAGAGCGAGATAACAGATTTTCCCGCTCTATCGATCCGACGGCCTCCGAAGCCCAGATTTTGCAGCAAGTCGCATCCAGTGTAAATTGACACGTTATTTTAAAAACGAGATGTATTTTGTTGTTCTTCTTGCCACGCCCCTAATGGGTCAACATATTTTGGTTGGTTTTGCGTACACAATAAAACTATGTAATTTGTGTAGATGTGTTATTGCGATAATTGATATTTTTGATGGACGTTTGTACTTACCCATTCGAGTCATGACGCGCATAGAGTAGACGACGTATGGCGAGTCTGTGATCTCCACTCCGATCTTGGAGAGAGGAGATCCTACGGGACCCATAGAGAATGGGATCACGTACATCGTGCGGCCTGTTGACAAATTAGAACAATGATTTAATTGGATACCTATTTATCAATATTACTAGTGTTTAGACTCTAATTTGTTGACCTAATAATTAGTCTAATGATGATGAGTTTAAATGGCTTTTAATAAATGATGTACGATAATCATCATCATCATTGTCAAATTAAAGTTACGCGCAGAAAAAAAGACGTTCGAATTTCAAAACTTTTCCGCCTTTTGTCTCATACTGTAAAAGTCTGAAATGCATTCAGCCAGTAGGTGTTATACTATTTAGCACATACTACAAAAAAGTTTTTACTTTACCAAAAATATTTTTTAATCTTTGATTCTCTGTTGATTTAATCTGCCTGCGTACCTGCATCTGTCTACCAATTACAACATTACAGGAGTACCTATAAGCGGAATGCCCGGGACTCGGGCTCGCTGTATCGATTTTGAGGGGAGTCTGCCGACAGACTGACATGCATGCATACACAAACACAGATTTAATATAGACATTCATCAAAGCACCACGCGATATCGAAACCCTTTGAATAGTTATACAATATAGCGTAGATTGGACATTTTGGAGACTGGATACGGTGTCTCATTGTTAAATCGGAACAAATAGTCTTTTGTTTCTCCTTTCACCATAAAGTTTCCATTCCATTTTTTACTGGAAAATTGTTTTGTAAACATTCGATAGTCGTTTACGTATGTTTTGGTGGGATATGGAGCTTTTGTTATGTCTCACCTTTGTTGCTGTTAGAACCAGGTAGCCAACCGGCTTCCGCATACGAGTTTCAAGTCATGATAACATTTACAAGTGTTGATTGGTTGAAAAAACTGTATTATATTGATAAAGGTCATGTTTGACACGTCATTTCTTATCCTTGAAGTGGGTAAGAGGTTTTTGAATAACCACTTCAGAAATCGGTATTAGAACTTTAAGAGTAAATTTTTGTAAATACCCCTCCCAAAGATCCTATAGGCTAAGTAACGTACGCGAAAATTCAGGGTCTGTACAACCCCTTAAGCGTTATTAAATTCCTTTCACCTTTAGACAGGAAGATCATAAAGTCATTCTCATTTCTTTTAGAAATGTTTTGAACTCACCTCGCATGCATCCAGGGAATCTCTCAGTGATGGCCTTCTCATAATCGTCAGGGGCGATGTAGTTGCCAAGAGCGGACTTCTGTCCAGCACGAGCGATGGGTACCACATCCCTCTCCTTCTCGGAACAGATGAAGGTGCGGGACTCTACACGGGCAACGTCTGCAGGGTCGGTGCGGGCCAACCAGCTGGTGGAGGGAAAAAGGCTTTAGTATCCGAAAAGCGAAGATAGAAGTTGGATGGAAGGCGAATTCGATGAAAATTTGAATTTTTGGCGGTATATTACTTTAGTATGGTCCTTTTGTCAACGTTTTGGACATCACTGAATAATTTGGTAGTTCTTCTTCTTTCTATATCCTTAAAACCTTCTTTGGTTTAGATTTATGGGATTCAAATCCTTTATTCGGTGCATAAACTATCTGGAATCCACTTACCAGTTGTCGTACTTAGACAGCCGTTTCAAGGTGCCTTGTTGCTGCATGATGTGCAGGAGAGCAGCAGCTTCGGCTTCCGAGCCATCACACACGTGGACGTGTTCGGGCTGGCAGAGAGCTGCTGAGCGCTCCACAAATGCACGGACCTGAGGAGTTTGGGATATTATAATAATATTGTCAAGTAAAGATCTTTGTTTCAAGGGATATTGCAGTTATTTTGTTAGGTTATTATTTTCTATATTTTGTCTGTATAGTTCTTTGTGTATCTAATCAGAGGCCTTAGTACGAGTTTCTGCGCTCTGATTGGTTGGTTCATTGGCGCCGGCCAATCAGAGCGCCGAACGCGTACTCGTTTCGATTACTTTAAACGTAAAACAAACTGGTACTAAGCCCCCAGATTTATTTATCCGTAGAACGAAAGACATTTTTGTGAATATCCGTAAGTGGTCACCGGTGACCGCTCTCCACTAACTACATTATAGACCTTATTTCCAATGTTCAGAGACTACTTTTGTATGATCAAATTTAGGGGATTGATTTCAACGGGTTCAATAAAGACATTATTTTACCATTTTGGTTATCTAGCAAAACTTATTTGTTCATTCTTGTGCATTTTCCGCTATCTGCTAGTCACAATAAAAGACATTCCCTTCAAACGAAGAATTCAAGCTATCGATTAGATAATAGTACACCCCCGTGCGACTGACTAAGCCCTTCAATAATTCACGATAGCATTCACTACTTTGTAAATTGTCCTGCAGTTAAAAATAATAATGACTAAATATTTTGTAATGAATCATTAGGAAGTATCTTTTTCCCCCTTTTGAAATTATTTAAAAGTTATTGGTAATCTAAAACAATAGATAATTAATAGTCATACCATTTAAATACGTACAGCAAGGTACTATCACGTGCATTTAAAAACAATGAATTAATTTAAGAAAATATGATCTAGGTAATTGGTAATGAAGACTCTGTAACTGTTAATCATTATTATTTATCATAGCTAAAACTTCTTTATAATTAAGTAGATAATATTGCTAATAATCTTGTCTGCAAAGAGGCTGTCTATTAGAAAATTTCCTCCTGTACGAAGGACCAAAAAGAATATGATTTCCTGTCATAAAATCGATTCGTCTCGGCGTCAGGGTTATTTTTACCTTGGGAGTCAAAGCAGCGAGCTGAGGGTTGGGGGAGGTGGCGCCTCGGACGGCTGTCTGGTGGGCCGCGCGCCCGCATGCCAGTGCCACTTGAGCATACCTGTAACAAAAAACAGAAAACGTTACGCATTGAATTTTTGACGTTTAGTTGCGCGCCAATTTCTGGGACTATATTGGTAGAAGTTGAATTCGGAAATTTTCACGAAATTATTTTTTTTCTTACTGAAACCATTCCCGGGTAGGGTTTATAATTCGAAGATGTAGTATTTGTTAGTTGAATTTTATCTCCTATGACCTGTATTAGGTATAATTAATACGATTAACTTACATTACATCTAATATTAACGTCATCGCAGTTAATAATATTTCCTATGATCGTCATAATGTTGGTATAATATCAAGCCTAACGTATCAATTTATATTATTGGTAAAATGAATGTTTTTAGGATTTTTTCAAATAAAGTAGACATCTGTAGGTAATGTAACCTTGATGTAAACTTTAAAATATTTCTGGCTATGTTTATATCATAGAGTTCGACGAGATATTTTACATGGGTTTACTTACAGATTAAAAAAAGTTTATAAATAAAACTCTTTTAATCAAATACTCCTTTTGACATTGAGGAGCATTAAATATTGATGTTGAAATATTTCGATAACGTATTAATACTTAGTCAATTATTATTTCTTATCTGTTATGTTAATAATATTGCGCTCGGAGCTGCCGTTTAGTTCCTTTTAGTTTAGAACTTTGAACCGGTCACAAAATGTCGGTCAAATCAAATTAAAGGTTATTTCAATTTATTTATCGCAGCACTTTGTACTGTTTCGTAATGTTATGGTGAGATAACGTGGATTAATTTAATTATAGGTAGACATTTTAATGTGTTGTATTTTTGTAGCTATTGGATGGCGGGAATAAGGAAATATTTACAACTAGTAATAGAGTAGTGATTTAAGGATCGGGCCTGGGCCCAGGGCCCCCATCTTTAGGGGGCCCCGAAGGATTCCCGCACTGTGCAAATCTTTATGTGATTCACAAATTAGTTTTTCGGGCCTAGGTGTCATGTGTATGTGAACTGTATGTTTGTAAAAGCACCCACGATAAAGGAGAAAATCCTAGTGTGGGACAACGTTAAAAAAAGAAATGTGGCAAACGGGCCCCGAATCATATTGTGTTTTCAAGGAGCCCAGTGCAGTTTAAGACGGCCCTGGCTATGGGTATCACATAGGTATTTCCCGCAGGAAAATGACATTTTTCCTGTTTCAACAAAAAAATAAAATGATGATATCATAAAAATCGTGATAATTTATGGGTTGTCGGAAGGAATATTATACTGAAATTACATTAATTACATATGCATACAAGTCTTCATTTTCTTGTGCTATGTGTGCAACGGTGCCTACAATAAATCGAATAATGGCCATTTGAACGAAAAATTCACAAAGTCCTAAATAACCGCTACAGTTAGGCACAACAGTCCACTATACTCAGATCGATCGATACTTGTTGCATTAAAGATTGTCTTTGTACCGCAAGACCGTAATAGCAATCCATTCACCGGTTTAAGTATAACTTTTTATAGCAATGTAGAGGCCTTTTTAAACACTATTCAGGTTTGAGAGTTCTAAAATAGACTTTATTTCATACCCATAAGACGTTAGTCATATATTAGTTTAGAAAAAATGCCCTAGTATTATCTTTTGCTAATTGAAAGCATATTTTTTTAGGTGACCATGGCCTCAAAAATTCCATTGCTCTCCTGTCAACGACCGGCAAAATCTTCCATAGCTTAATTTATGTAGTTATGCCTATACGGAGACTTGTTAATAGATACAGTGTTTTACAATCCACACATAGGCCGTCTGCAAAGAGGTGGCGAGTGCAAAATTGTTTTTGGTTACTTTACTTTTTAATTCACGGTCGAAGACATTGAACGCGCTTAGTAGGTCGATTCGTAATTTGATTCAAATTTGAACTTAGAACAATCGATGTTGTGATGACACAAGAGAGGCTGATTGCGATGTTGTATGTAAAATCGAAGATTTTATGCAATTTATGGCCAGTACGAAAAGGTATTTTTTTGTTCCTGGCCTATTTTCAATCAAGTTGTGGTTGACCCTGAGTCTTAAAATTCGATTGTAAGTCAATATTTCAGTAATTGCCATCTGCCCTCTACCATTCATATTACTTATGAAGAAAATATTCATGTTGGAAAATATTTTTTTAGTTCAATTTATTTTCCAAACACCTAAAGCCAGTCACATTAATGTATGATATCGAATTACTAGCTAATTGAAATATTCATTAAGGCACGTGGCATTTAAATGAGTTGGACATTATATTTTTAAATAATAAAATGGAATTCAATTATGTAATTATGAACTTAGACAGAAATTGTATATTTTTTGAAATTGAAAAATCTTTTGAGAAATATGTATTTGCGAGCCATGTTAAATTATTTTATTTATTTAAGTTAGTTATTTTGTAAGTTTCATAAAATGCTGCCAATGAAAGAAAAAAAATATATTATTCTAGTTGGTAGTCTCGAATGAATTTGTGGGAAATATTTAAAAAAGTCCACGAGGGACTCGATGGTAATTTTTTTTTGAAAAAAGAACACGATGGTGATGGACTGCGAAAAAAAATGTAAAATACTTACTGGTTGGTCTTCCTCACGTAGTCTTCGGGAACGGTGTTGAAGTGCAACATTTTTAATAGAGAGTTAAGTAAAAACAAATAATTAAAACTATTCAACAAATTAATACTTTAAAACTGGAAATTAGCGGAAAAAACAGCTAAAGTCGATCAAAATTACTGAAGCTGAAGAGAAATATTAGCCATCTATAATATCCTATAACGTTTAGGTTGTAACCCATTTAATAACTATGCGTGTCCAAAGGCTAGAAGCGCAATGATTTGAAATGAGCGCGCGCGCATTATATACTGGAGGAGTGTTTGCACGGCGCGCGCTGATTGGCCGAGAGCGCGGGTGTGTCGTGACGTGTGCACTCCGACGTATCAACTTGTTTTTCTACTATTATTGATTTGTTTTGTAATGCTGATAATGTTGTGATTTTTTGCCGTTCCCAAAATATTATCATCCGATTGCTTGATTTTTGTTAGAAAATAATAATCGTGATTCGACAGTTTTTAATGTCACGTATATCTTTCTATATATGGCATTGGTATTTAATCAAATATAAAGTAAGTAAATCAAATGAAAACGGAGATTTTACGATCAAAAACTTGATTTTTCTATTACAAAATCGTAGGTAAATTCCATAGAACCTTAAGAAACAGAAGCAACAAGTGGAAGGGTCGGTTTTGTTCTCAAGATCGAAATGTCTTTGTATGACATGTGGGCAAGATGGAAGCCTTATTGCATCATCCATCAGCTAATCATGTGGGGCACTTTATCGGAGTATTTTAATCAACACATTCGGTGTCGTGTCGATCGTTGCGAATTCATGGACAAGTAACAATCAATCTAAAAAAAAAAAATACTTTCCCGCCAATTTTTGACATTTGTGTTTTTTTCATGACATTTACCCTTTAATAACGTGTTCTAATAATTTGAAGAAAAAAAGGAGTATTTATGGATTTATAATGTAATGTCATGTTAAAAAATGCAAAAAGATTAGAAAAAAAATGAGTCAGGGTCAGATTTTAATACTAAATCTGTCTACGTTTGCTTTTGCCTTTATAAGATCCAAATATTTACAGAAATAACCATGTCTTATTTGTCTTACTAATGTATTAATTTCCTTCAACATTAAACTATCTTAGAACTCCGAAGGTTCGTTTAAACTTCGATAGATACAAGTTGTTTGTTATTAAATGTAACTAAAGACGTGTATTTCGTCAGCAAGTTGTAAAGCTCAAGGTGAGTTTCGTCATCGGAGGCGTGTGTCTGTGGAATGCACAATATTGGTTGCACTACAGATTATAACGCTTACTTCTATGTTATGTGTACTGTGTTTATGGTACTTTGGACTCTTAGAGTACTTGTATTTATTCATTTAGCTTGTTTAGTCACTGCATTTGTAATGTAATTTTTTTATGATTTTTGCAAAATTTTGTCTGCTTTTTGCACTTCTATTTATTTATGTGATCCTAGTCCAGATAATCTAGACTATAGTCTAAGATTTATAAATCTTGAAGACAAGAGATTTATAAATCTCTTTTCCAGTTCTTCTAATTGATTTGGGCTCATTAATCACTGTTCGTCTTTCTACTCCATGCCAAAATACTTGCATAATTAACATTTCATTGTCACTTAACAGTCCATTACGGTTGACTACAAGACATAGTCTTCTCTACATAAAAGAGGTATGCCATAATCACCACGCTTTATTACCATGCGGGGTAAAGATTGCACTTTAAAAAGTTCAGCTTTATCAGAGATCGTTACTGCCCCATTTACGTACTTACAGTAGCCAGCAGATCTAGCTACACCAATCTGTCAAAATTCATTGGGATTTTTTATTGGATAAGTCGATAAATGAACAGACGGATCACCTGATGGTAAGTACTCTGCGTCGCCCATGGGAACATAGAACACCAGAGATCGTCGAGGATTCAAGGATTTGGGAGATTGAGGGAAGGGGGTTTCGACTTTATGTCAATGTAATAAGGATGAAGAAGTAATAGAAAAATTTGATAGAAAAAAGATAGCTTGACCAGCTGGCGATCGAACATAACTTCAGTATTAAACGCAAACAAAAACAAGTGAATAACGAATGCCATCTAATTTGCCGTCACAATTTGATCAATAGGTCTTCTGCATGACGTACGACAACATTGTTGGCAATGAACAAAGTGCGACATAACAAACTAAATTGGAGATAGATCAGAATTATTGTGATTGTGACGCATGTATTGAGTACAAATAAATAAGTCTCTTTATAACTATTTGTCCATGGGGAAGTATTGACCTTGAATGTATTATGTAACAAAATCGATTTCAATCATGGCGAGCATTCAAATGTTTGCAAGGAAGATAAAATGGTAAAGAATTTGTGTCAATTACAGGTGCACTCTATTTTTCATCACTTTCATCATGATTCTAGGCTATAAAAGAGTCTTCGGACTGGTGGGAGGTCAGAATTATAGGACTAACAGATTTCCAAAGAAACTTAGAGAAAAGCTGTTGTGCACACATTACAAGTTCTTTTTTTATGTCATAAGCCGGTAAACGAGCAGACGGATTACCTGATGGTAAGCGTTCGGCGTCGCCCATGGACACCTGGAACACCAGAGGCGTTACAAGTGCGTTACCGGCCTTAGGAGGATTAGGAGTTTGAGGATCGTTGGGGATTCAGGAATTGGGGAGATTGGGGAAGGGGAGGGTAATTGGGCCCCCGGTAACCTCACTCACACGACGAAACACAACGCAAGCATTGCTTCACGTCCGTTTTCTGTGAGGCCGTGGTATCACTCCGGTCGAGCCGGCCCATTCGTGCCGAAGCATAGCTCTCACACACTTGTATGTATATATGTATATAAGTGACATGAAAACGTGTAAAAATACAATCAAAACATTCTCAGGTTTCAATTGAAAACAATAGAAACTTGTCTTTCCATTATAATACACGTACACAACTTCTGAACAACGACAACCTACGGATTTATCTTCCATTAACACAACTTAAATATTCCTTAACTACAATATTCCCTCGTCCAATCTTTTCACTTTGTTATATTATAAAATGCATTACACTAATCTAGACGACTGGCAAGTTCCCTCCAACGATGCGCTACCTAAGCCGAGTTACCCCTGCAGGCGGTCCTTTGAGCACAGTCGCAGCTCGTATACACTTTAATAAACATGATTGCTTGGTATCCAACCTTAGGAAAGAGGTTTTATATTATCTACCTTACTTCTTAGTAATATTTTTAATGTTACAGATTACTTCTCCACGGATTCTTGGTCCGTGCGGCGTGCCCTTGTCATACATTTTTTTTATTACAATACATGTAGTCAATTTTTATAAAGTAAAGAAGGTACCTAGTTACACACTACAATTAACCACATCTATAATTATTACTAAAAGTATTAATTACATAATAATGAGGTATTATCTATTTATATAAGGCTCTGCGAAATCAGCCCACCAACAAGATGGGAGAGCCGACCTGACCCGGCAGAAGGCACCCGTTCACGAGTATGACGTGTGTGTCAGAAATTGGCGGTCAACCTTTTTATTGGGAACGGAACAACCCAACACACCGCGCCACTAACTGTAGGACATTTAAGTATGTGTGTATGACGCCTCAACCCTTGCCACGTTGGGGAAATGTGAGTTTGTGTGTAAGTACCTATATTTGTTACTCAATCATGTAAAAATGGCTCAAAGGATCGGGATGAAATTTGCAACAGGGATAGACAATAACACATAGGTACGCTAGGCTTATCCCATGGGAACGCGTAGCTGCGGCCATGTCCTTGACATATCAGTGTTCCGGTGTTTTCATAGTTGTATCTACTGTAGACTGTAGATGCTGTCTTACAGGAGTTTTTATACACTACTAGCTACTTCCGCGCGGTTTCACACGCTCTGCTCAGCTCCTATTGGTCGTAGCGTGATGTTTTATAGCCTATAGCCATCCTCGATAAATGGGCTATCCAACACATAAAGAATTATTCAAATCAGACTTGTATTTACGGAGATTAGCGCGTTCAAACAAAAAAATAAACTCTTCCGCTTTATATAATAGTATAAGATAAAAAGCACCTAAACACGAATGATTCTACTCATCCTTCATCTCTGAAAACGCTCAAATAATTCAAAATAAAACCATTTACTCTACCTACAACAATATTATTGAGTTTGACGTCAAATTAAATTGTATGTTTTTAATATTATTTCCTCGATTTATGCGTAACTAATGTTATTAAACAGAATTGTTTATCTGACTGTCTCTGATATTGCAATGTTGATCTTATTGCCGTCATTATAGCAATAGTAATTACATTATTACATACCATTATTAATAACTTTAGTATGTCTATTAGATTAATTATAATTCATAAATATAGCTACATACACCCCTCTATTCAATCTATCTATATTATTTCATTTTTATTAATATATATCTATTTCCGTTGGTTAGTCTCGAGAACGACTGAAGCGATTTGGCTAGTTTTGGTTTATTTATGTTCGTGGAAGTTCAGGGAAGGTTTAAAAGGTGAGAAAATTTTCGACTAGAAAATCTGAACAAAGATATTTTAAAAGTTATATAGATTGTCAGACAATGACATTATGTACGTAGAGGATATACCTATGCCAAAAACAAAACAATGACAACTTTAAAACAAATATAGTAACTAAATCGACCCGATATCAAGTGGTTACGTTTTCATTCCCATTTTATTAATTCCTACGCTCTTGCACCTCGTGAGCTATCGATTTCATCCCTCAGAGCCTCAAATATAAACTAACTATAACTTAAAACGCGTGCATCGCTCGTTTTCCTGGAACAAGCCCTTTCATAGACCGTACCGTAGTCACTGAACAGACTTACACAAAATGTACAAAGCCACTGTTTACTAGACTTTCAGTTTTATTACATTGCCTTAAAGTTGAAAATGTATGTCGGGAAATGGGTAGCTTGATGTAATGCTGTCTGTAGTTACACTCTGACATCACTCGAATGTTCTTAGACTTTCAGTTTTATCACATTGTGATAAAGTTGACAATTTCATGTCAGGGAATGGGTAGCTTGATGTGCGGCTGTCTGTAGTTAAATCCTGACATCGCTCGAATATTCTAGATTCCGCGAAAATTGTTTGTGATGTATTTAATAATTACGCGATTCGGGGAATCATGAATTTGATTATAGGATTATTATTACATAAAATAACACAACTTCACGCCTTTTATTCCCGAAGGAGTAGGCAGAGGCAGAGACATTATACATTTCAGCACCTGTACAATGTAACACCCACTTTCACTATTTATGTTATGTGTCCCATGTTATAGGGGGGTGAGCCTATTGCCATATACCTATTGCCTTTTGCATTTATATATATTAATATTATTAAGGCAAAGAATTAATAGTTTTAAAAAAAATTTCATTAGTAGCACGGTGTCTGGAAATGTGTCCGGTATATGGCAATAGGCTCGCTCTCTACCTCTATTACATGGGACTCATAACATTAATAGTGAAAAGTGGGTGTTACATTGTATAGTGGCATTAAGTGCCGTAATGCCTCTGCCTACCCCTTCGGGGATAAAAGGCGTGATGTTATGTTAAATCAGACGATACATAGATATAAACGATATATAAACTGATGCAAGTATTCGCCGACAGAATTAGCACATTTTACTACGCTACGTGACTACCAAAAGGTCGTAAGTTCGCACAGATAACGTTAACATTATAATCTTTTAGTTTACATCAGTTTTTTTGTATATTCATGACGAAAAGTGTCAGTCATATGACAGGCCGTGTGAATTTAGATAAAGAAGATGCCAGCAAAAATGTGTGCAAAGAAAAAATCCCGCCTATTGCTAATGTTGACTTTATTTGTATTTGTTTTATTTATTATCTTTACTTCAACGGTAGCAAAGTTTAATATGTATTAGTTCTGTAAACTTTGGGTTTTTTTAGAAAAATTTGTTGCTTCTATTTTATATTAGTTGTTGTTGTTGTTTCGGAAAAATGACGTCAAATGAACATAGAAAAGCGATTTATAAAAAATCTACCTACTTTCCAACTATATATATTTTTTTTTTCTTCTTTGGCAACTGAGTAACTATATATAATACAGGAGTAGATTATTCGGTACTTGCCAACTAGTCAAATTCAATACTTTTTTCGAACTGTCAAAAACGACCGTTTCCTATGAATTTTGTACGAGATTGTGTATCGTGACGTCACGTTTCTTTAGCGTTAAACAGCATACTTATTTCTTAAAGAATTGCTAGAAAAATATTAAAATTAAGTTAGTCATAAAATTAATTAATGAATGTGCAATTATTTTTTAACATTTTATTGTATTGCACAGTCGAAATAATTTGATTACGGAAAGTACCCAATTATAATTACTTAACTATCTCCAAATCCGAGCGACTAATTAACTAAGTTGGATTTCGTCCGTCACTTTTTCAGTCGCATTCGTAGTCGCTACGAAACTTTCGTAACTGTCTTTTTTAGTTCCAAAATTTTCCTCCGCATTACAGTGGCGCTGCGGTTGGCCAGTCATTGCCATAGATAAGCAGGGTAATTTTTTATAATCTTATCTGTGTGAGGTAAAGGACACGCCCTCTATGACTCGTATTACTAATACCGGACTTAGGCAGACTATTTGAATAATTGAATAATAGTGTATGGTATAATATAATTTTATTGAGTTACAGCTGTATTTTATTACTACTTCATTTTGGACGACAACTGAGATTATGAAAAAGTTAGTTGTGTATAAAAGACACCACGCGCTTTTTCTATTTAAAGTCCAATGTGATTTGATCAGGATCTTTAGGCTCTTTCCAGAGCTAGTGAGATCTTTTTTTATTTATGTGATGTCTAAGTTTTCGAAGAAACGTAAATTTGGAATTTGGTATCGAAAAATTTGGAATTCCTAATAATTACTTAAGTAAAGGTACATAGCAACAAGATGCCTTTAAAATGTACCTAAATGTCGATGTCGTACATACATAAGTAAGCACTTAATACTTTTTTAAAGATAAGCAGTTGATCCTTTAACTTTGAGACATTTCAAGGCACGTGTAAGTTACCTGTGACTTGCGGAAAATTAATTATAAATTATTTAAAACTTAAATACCACTTACAAAACAACTGAATTAGAATTTGACGTTTAATGTCACTAAACCCGTTCCATTTACATTTTCAAATATATAGTTCTAAATTTAAAAAGAAAAAATTAAGACTTGTCTGTGATCAGGTTTGTTTTGAATTCATTAGAATATCGTACCATTTCGTACCTGTTTTGGATGAAAATTTAATAATTTAAAATAACAATATATGGTTATGTAACGTACATATGTAAATCGTGTGTTTTATTAACAAAAGTGGTAGGCAGATAGACGTGCACATATTAAATGACACACCCACTTTTAGCCAGCTGTGTCACGATTGCCTACGTGCTTAAATTATTGAGCAGACTACTACTCAACATCACATTGTTAAATACGTATTCCTGGACAATAATTAAAATCATTTCAGTCCCCTTCATTAAGGCAGTCAAGGCCAACCCATCATAAAACAAAATAAGCATTCGTTTTATGCAAAACCTTTTTAAAACATCGACAATGCACC